ATTGAGACAGTTTATGGGCAGAAATACATAGATCTTGCTGGATCCTTGGAAGGCTTGCATCCTAAAGTCCCACTCTACAAAATCAATGAAGGGAATGAACCATGCTTCTTCACGACTTACTTTTCTTGGGATGCCACTAAAGCTATCGTAAGTTTTCTTGTGGATGAAATATGTTTAGTTTCTTTTTCTTTCAGTGGCTGGCATGAAAATGTGTCTGCTTTCCGTGAAGTGCTAGTTAGGGACTTAGTGTTTAAGAGGGATTTAGATAATATAAATAGATAACTCTGAATGTTACCTCATGGATTTTCCTTTACTGTTTCTCTTTCTTTTCTCCTTGAATTTACTTTTCTTCTGCTTTTAACATGGGATATAGGTACAAGGAAACTCATTCCAGAAAAAGGCAGCGTTGTTATTTGGCACTCACCACGTTGTGGAGGTAATACACATTTGCTTTTTCAGTTTGGTTAGGACAATAAAAAAAAACGCTCTTATTACTTTCCGGCTACTTGGGTTCATGATATTTGTCCTTTTTCTGCTGCAGGATAAGTCTAACGGTGGGAACCAAGGACTAAGGCAAAGGGCTGAAGCACTAGCTGCCTTAAATTCTGCTTTTAATTCTTCTAGTAACCGGCCTGCCTACTCGGTAAATATCTTTACTCTAATTCAATGTTTCTACTATATTCTTTCTGAGATATATAAGTCAAAGAACTGAAGATATTAGCATGTCTTGAGAATTTTGATAAAGAATAATGGCTTTGACTTTAGTTTTCCATAAATTTCCCAGTAATGGACATTTCAATGACCCTGCTTGTACAAAACCAAACTGTGACCATTTAGCTGTTAAACCATCTATCTGGTTGGAAGCTGAACAGATTTTCAGCCTTCTAGTTCAGAGTCCCGTCCTAAATCTAACTAAATTGGAGGGTATAATTCTTTACATGATTCTCAATACAATGACCAAAATTTGTTGCAGTCTAGACTAAGCTGCTTGAATACATCAATGGGGTTCATCGTCGTTTGTTTTAGCCAAACCTAATCCATTACAAGGAAAAATAAACTTTTGTATGTTTACCAAGTCGCATCTGATTCTTTGATTAGTGAACTTAGACAGTCATCTATTTTAACTGCAGAGCCAGGACAGATCAAACGAAAGTCACGACGGCCCAAGACAGAGAGCTGAAGCTTTAGCAGCATTGTCATCCGCATTCAATTCTTCTTCGTCATCAACTAAATCGCCTCCACCACCAAGGCCAGTGGGGACGAGTCAGGCTTCACAAAGAGCAGCAGCAGTGGCTGCTCTCTCTCAGGTTCTTGTTGCGGAGAATAAAAAGTCACCTGATACCTCTCCTACAAGAAGATCCACTAGCTCCAACCCAGCGGATGACACCCCTCTAAGTAAGTTTTTCTCTTTGATTCCACATTTTGAAACTTCGATAACACAATTGACTATAACTATCTTCATCCACAGTGGAAGCAAAAGATGAAGAAGAGGCTTCAGAAGTAGCTGGTCATGAAGCCAAGGAAGAAGAGGAAGTCTCACCTGCAGCAGATGAAACAGAAGCAAAGCAGGAAACAGAAGAGCAAGGTGATTCTGAAATAGAACCAAGTGGAGCAACTTTCACCTATGAACAGCTGAGAGCTAAATCTGAGAACCCAGTGACTGGAATCGATTTCAAACGCAGAGAGGTGAGTTAGTTAGATAGTTAGCTACTAGGAGAGGAATCACTCTATCTATTACCTAACTGACTTGCTGTTTCTTATTGTTGTGATCAATTTACTACAAGGCTTATCTATCTGAGGAAGAGTTCCAAAGTGTGTTTGGGATCGAGAAAGAAGCATTCAACAACTTACCACGTTGGAAGCAAGATCTGCTTAAGAAGAAGTTCGACTTGTTCTAGCGATCGTGTGTTAATGGTTTTATGTGGGGCAGTCAATTTGTTGTTGGTTTGAAGAGTGTGTTTTTTGTTTCTCTTCTTCAGTTTTATTTACTTGGCTCATTTATATTTCTCTCATGGGTTGGTTTGGGTTTGATTCTTTATATTTTCTGACAGCACAATGAGCTTTCTTGTAATGATGATGATCATATAGATTGTAATGATTGTTTCACCCGAGACAGATTTGTGATTGTGGGTAGCAAAATTCTTTGATTTGTGATCTTCCATCGTTGTGACTATCTAAGAACAAATTGTGTACAATCAGATGCTTCACTGTTTTATGCATTTTTGTTCTTAAATAGTCACATTGACAATGTTTTCAATGTCTGAACAGACTTTTCTTCCAACCCTTAGATAATGCCGACAAAAACAAAAGGCTGGCAAAGAAAATAATATTATCTTCTTGGTGGACAAGCATGTTTGACTATTCTCATTTTCTTGTTCCCCAAACATATTTGGTAAGCTCCACAAATATATAAACAAGACATTAGTAATTCAACAATTCATCAAGTCTCAAATCAAAATAAGCAAACATGAAGAGTGAAGGTCGTCACCAAGGCATCGTAAGGACAGGAATGATTCATCCGCGGGGGTTTAATCCGCGAACCACCAACCGGCTCGATTCACCACCCGCTTTTGGTGATTTTACCAAAGTTCCATCAAAGACTACCAACCATTCAAATACCACTGAAGAAAGTGAGCGGTCCAAGTACAGTAATTGTCATGTGTCGCCGGCTATCAAGTCGGGTCACAAATCTAAAGGTCGTCGTAAGCTACAACCGACAAGTTGGTGGAGTGAGGATAAGCTAGACCGGCTCATCGGGTCGAACTCGTCCTCTGCTAAAGATATTTTGGATACATTATGTGGTGAAAATCATGATGACCATTAATTACCATCATGATTAAATCATCTCGTTTGAGATATATGAAGATTATTGTTTTTTATTTGATGTTTGAACTTTGATAAACAATGATATTAATTATGGGAAGAAACATTTAGTAATACTTTGTGTCAATGCTTTTTTCTTTCAATGCAAATTTGAGTTGGAATGATAATAAGATTTAATGATTATTTTCAACAAACTAACACTAGATCGATCAAATTGATTTTAGAATATATAAACTCGGGAAGCACTTTTTGCAGACATCTATTATGTTTTGGATATTTTTGTTAAATTACTCTAATTTTGATTTTCATATGGATTTTATTACTGTGAATCCATCTTATGATCTTAACTTTTAAGGTGATTTTTCATTGAAAACCTCATCTTCTCATTTCTTTTTTTCCTTCAAATTTTAGGTTTTTATTAATTACAAGTAATTGTATCGTTGTTTACAAAAGATAAAAGAAATTTGGACAAGTATATATTAAACAAAAACTATTGTAGACCAATCTTCATTGTTTCTAAGGACTAAGGTCAACATCTTATTATATCAAAAATTCAAACCATGTTATAAGAGTTTAACGAAATCGCAACATATATAATGAATATGATCGTAACTTGTGTCAATTGATCAATTAAATTATGGCATTTGTCATGGTTGATTTAAAATTTTCATATTTATTTATTTAAAATTTTATTTTCAATTAGAATTATGTGAGATCGCAACACATATTTTTTTTTTTTAATATATATTCATTAATTTAACCCTAGTATTTTTTAAGCTTGATATTTTGTCGGATTCTCATTAGAAGTTTCAAATTTTATATAATAAGATAAGACAAACCAAGAAAAAGTTGCATGATAAAATAACTTCCTAAATTAGCTAAAGAAATAGAGTTATTCCTATTTCATTATATTGTGATCTTGGTCCTTTGAGAAATAGAGCTTCCCATTGCAGACTATAAATTAAGTTTTTGCAGTTTACCTCTTTAATTGGATGAGAACATGAAAAATATGATATTCAACAAAAATAAAAAAGTTTACATCAAAGGCTATTTGGTAAATGAAGGCTAATATGATATCGAAATGATGGTGGATGATATATATCATCTTTCTTACAAATAAAAATCGATCCCTTAGAAGTCCAAAAACAATATCCGAAATTCTACTTTTGTATTTGACTATTTGGTAGCCAGATGGGGTCACAATGATGCATACATTACAGATGAGTGTTGAGTTCCCTCGTTTAAAGAACTCGAATCGAACGGCTTTTGTGCAAAATTGGATAATGGTTTGATACTATCCTTCTCTCACTATGGAGCACTTTCTTGATCGATGTGGTCATGAGCCCAACCTTCATATCAGTTACTCAATTAGATCTTCTTGATTTCATCCCTAAAACTAGCCTTAAAGTATCTTGTGAATTTTTTTGTTATAATGACTTTGAGTTTCGCCGAGCTGCTGTCACTTGAAATCTAGTTGAAGGATGTCTTCCACCTTGTGCAGAACCTAAAGGTGGTGAAGAAAGACGAGGAATTGCTGTGCAAACAGGTACATATTCACAAAGACAATTTTTACAATTTTTGCAGCTGAAGGGAGCAGTGGTCAAAGATGGTTTCGGGACTAGTAGTAGGTGCTCTTCCCCAATGCAGACGGAATTCGAGAGAAGAAACTCAGAATCCATGCAGACGAAATTAGCATTATATAAAAATTCGCTACTGTTATTAAAAAAAAAATCAAATTGGTTTACAAATTGACCATTAAATAGTAACAAAGTCATGTTCTCACCCCAATTCAAGAGCTAAATTGCAAAAAAACTTAATACCATAGTCGGCAATGCAATAGATTAATTTGTAAGATACCCATGCTTCATGCTTGTGATAAAGAGCATAACTCATTTTTTAATAAAAAAAAAATTAGTAGTCCGAGATTACCTGAAGTAAAAAAATATAAAAATCAGATGCTTCATTGTTTTACTACACTTTAAAATAAATTAAAGTTTTAACTATAAAATCACACTATTCCATTCAAAATAATTAGTATTATAAAAAAATTCGCTAATGTTATTTTAAAAAATCAAATTGGTTTACAAATTGACCATTAAACAGTAATGGGCCGAAACATATTGGAGATGGGCTTTAAGATCCGTAACGGCGAGTAATGTTATCCTGTTTTATCCACCGAAGAGCCTTCCTTGCTCGTTTGGTTGTGAATGGCTACCGTTACCAATTTCAAGCTCGTCACTCCGCCGGAATCTTCCCGCGCCGATAAGCTGGGAGCTACGAAAGCATCCGACGCATTCCAGGAGAAGAAATCTGTGTCTGTGAACTACGACCGAGGTGAGCATGAGGTCTCGGTCCGCGTCGGCGGGCTCAGGAAAGCTGATATTCCGAGACGTTACCGAATTCGGGTTGAGAACGACCGGTTTCAGAAGGATTGGAGTGTATCTGAGGTGGTGGACCGGCTTATGGCTCTCAATCGTTGGGAAGAAGTTGATGGTGTTCTCAATTCCTGGGTCGGCCGGTTTGCTAGAAAGAATTTTCCGGTTCTTATCAGGGTATGTACTGTATGTCTCGATTTTGATTGGTATTATTCACTAATGTTGTTTTGAAATTGAAATTAGTGGAGTTTGAATTTTGGAACTTTGCAGGAGCTTAGTAGAAGAGGGTATATCGAGCTTTGTGTGAATGTTTTCAAGTGGATGAAGATTCAGAAGAACTACTGTGCAAGGAATGATATATACAATATGATGATTAGGCTTCATGCTAGGCATAATTGGGTTGATCAAGCTCGTGGTCTCTTCTTTGAAATGCAGAAATGGAGGTATGTGTGAAGTTTTCATCTGAAAATGTTCTATATTGGAAGTGGGATTACCTTGGAGTTATTTTGGCAGCAATCGATTGACAAGATTTATGGTATGGTTGTAGCTGCAAACCGGATGCTGAGACGTACGATGCTCTTATCAATGCCCATGGTCGAGCTGGTCAGTGGCGCTGGGCTATGAATCTTATGGATGACATGTTACGTGCAGCTGTGTGTAACTTTGCTTAACTCATGTAAAGATTATATGTCTTTTTGGCTTTCCGTGATGCCCAACCAACAATTCAGAATAATCTCTTTCACTTCTGATACTGTTTTGACCCTTCTCTTGTTTTGCAGATTGCTCCTAGTCGTTCAACCTACAATAATCTGATCAATGCTTGTGGTTCTAGTGGAAACTGGAGAGAGGCTCTGGAAGTTTGCAAGAAAATGACAGATAACGGAGTTGGACCGGATTTGGTCACTCACAACATTGTGTTGTCAGCATACAAGAGTGGTCGCCAGTATTCAAAGGCGCTATCTTATTTTGAGCTCATGAAGGGAGCTAAAGTTCGTCCCGATACTACAACTTTCAATATCATTATATATTGCCTGTCAAAGCTTGGTCAAAGTAGCCAAGCCCTTGATGTTTTCAATTCCATGAGGAAGAAGAGAGCTGAATGTCGACCTGATGTTGTGACATTTACTAGCATCATGCATTTATACTCTGTCAGGGGAGAGATAGAAAACTGCAGAGCTGTGTTTGAAGCAATGCTTGCAGAAGGTCTGAAACCTAATATTGTTTCCTATAATGCCTTAATAGGTGCCTATGCTGTTCATGGAATGAGTGAAAATGCTCTCTCAGTTTTTGGAGAAATAAAGCGGAATGGTATTGTCCCAGATGTGGTCTCTTATACAAGCTTGCTCAATTCTTATGGAAGATCACGTCAACCTGGAAAGGCAAAGGAGGTATTCCTCATGATGAGGAAGGAAAGGAGAAAGCCTAATGTTGTTACTTACAATGCATTGATTGATGCTTATGGGTCTAATGGGTTTCTAGCTGAAGCTGTGGAAATCTTCCGGCAGATGGAACAAGATGGCATTAAGCCAAATGTGGTTTCAGTATGCACTCTTTTGGCTGCTTGTAGTAGGTCTAAGAAAAAGGTGAATGTTGAAACTGTACTTTCTGCAGCACAGTCGAGAGGTATCAATCTCAATACGGCAGCCTATAACTCAGCCATTGGAAGCTATATAAATGCTGCAGAACTTGAGAAGGCCATTGCATTGTATCAGACTATGAGAAAAAAGAAAGTCAAAGCTGATTCTGTTACTTTCACTATCCTTATAAGCGGTTCATGTAGGATGTCAAAATACCCTGAAGCAATTAGTTACTTGAAGGAGATGGAAGATCTCAGTATTCCATTGACAAAGGAGGTGTACTCTTCTGTTCTATGTGCTTACAGCAAACAGGCAAGTGCTTAGAGTTTGAGCTCAGAAGAAGACGTGTGTATTCGATAGAATTCTGATTTGGTTTGACTGTCACTTTCTTTGTGATAATTTCCAGGGTCAAGTTACAGAAGCAGAATCCATATTCAACCAGATGAAAATGGCTGGGTGCGAACCTGATGTGATTGCATACACTTCAATGCTCCATGCTTACAATGCTTCAGGTAAATACCATGAGTGCAAGGCTGTTAAAGATGGTAACAAAATGTTTTCAGTGGATCTGAATTCGCTTGGAATGGTTTTGTGTTGCCAGAAAAGTGGGGAAAGGCTTGTGAACTCTTCCTGGAAATGGAGGCAAAAGGAATAGAGCCAGATTCGATTGCTTGTTCAGCTTTGATGAGAGCTTTCAACAAGGGAGGTCAACCGTCAAATGTCTTTGTCCTGATGGATTTAATGCGGGAAAAAGAAGTCCCCTTCATTGGTGCGGTTTTCTTTGAGATTTTTTCCGCTTGTAACACGTAAGTTCTTGTATGTCTATGTAAAACATTACAGTAAATTACTTGCCCGAAATATAGAAAGAGCAATATATCATCCTTCTTCTTTCAACATTGCAGCTTGCAGGAGTGGAAAAGAGCAATAGACCTCATCCAAATGATGGATCCTTATCTACCATCGCTTTCTATCGGGTTAACTAATCAGATGCTGCATCTTTTCGGGAAGAGTGGTAAAGTTGAAGCAATGATGAAGGTGCAACAAACTTTTAGTTTATCTGCTTATTACGCAGTCTCTTTCTTTTCTGCCAAGTTGTTTACAGAAATGAAACAAGAATTTTAACGAAACCATGTTTTACATGCAGCTGTTCTATAAGATTATAGCCTCTGGTGTTGAAATCAACTTCAAGACTTATGCCATAATGTTGGAACATCTTTTAGCTGTTGGAAACTGGAGAAAATACATTGAGGTAATACTTTTTTGCTTTGTCTCCTGCAAAATGATTTTCAATTAACAACAATGATCTATACAGAGCAAGTTCTTGCGGTTCAGAAATAAAATTTGACCTGGTGTGAATGTTTTACAGGTTTTAGAATGGATGAGTGATGCTGGTATTCAACCCTCGAACCAAATGTATCGTGACATTATCTCCTTTGGTGAAAGAAGTGCAGGGATCGAGTTCGAGCCTCTAATACGCCAAAAATTGGGTGAGATGAGCAAAATAGATTATCCTGCCACATGATTTTCGATTCAGCAAAAGTTTTTTGGTGTCTCACATTACATTTTTTGTTGGTTATTCCATAGAATCACTGAGAAACAAAGGAGAAGATCTGAGTCCAACTTTTAGACACCAAGGCAAATTGTTGTAGATTCCACTGTATGTATTTTTGGCCCAGTGATAATGTAAATGATGTTTGTAACTTGTAAGTCCCCTCTATCAAATAATATGATAATTCAATTCAGAAATCGAAATCATTTGGATTTTGGAGTATTGAAAATAAAAGTAGATTGTTGGCTAGAGTTACATTTTGAATTGCTAAAGGATCTAGCTATGTGCAGATAATAGATAAACTGATAGTATAATGAACAAGACAAGACATTCAATTCAACCAATCATTTCAGAAAATTTGAATTATGATTTTTAAATGGAATGATTCGATGTGTAAGTCATTACAACGGTAGCAATATGAAGAATCAAATGATAAGAAAAAAATTCCGAATTTAAAATATTCAGAAAACTATTAAGCTAAGTTTGATAAACAAAAAAACAACATCGTGAGTGTACGGTACACCCTCATCGTGAGTGTACGGTACAACCTAGAAACAGATTACGTACACGTGGACATAATTAGTACACGTCAGCATAAGAACCTATTCAGCTAAATGACGAAAACACCCTCATCTCCGTACATAGCCGTTGCAGTTGTTATCTTTCGCTTCGTTAAAAAGGGTAAACAAAATTGGGACGTAATGGTAAATTTAAGTCCGTAATTTTATTTTGCCGTTGTTAAGACTCAAAAATTGAAATCATTGTATTCGGTGAAAAAGAAAGAGTCAAAGTTGAATTTTCTCAGCTCTCACTCTCTCTCTCTCTCTCTCTCTGCTTCTACTGTATCAAGCTCGGTTTTGCTTAGCCATAGTGCGTCTAGGGTTTGGTTGGGGGAAGAGGTTCCGATCATGGCGTCGGTTTCGTCGTCGGATCAAGGACCTAAGACAGAAGCAGGATGTAGCGGAGGAGGTGGAGGAGGAGGAGAGAGCTCAGAGACAGTGGCGGCGAGTGATCAGATGTTGTTGTATAGAGGTTTTAAGAAGGCGAAGAAGGAGAGAGGTTGTACAGCTAAGGAGCGTATTAGTAAAATGCCGCCGTGTACTGCTGGGAAAAGGAGTTCCATATACCGCGGAGTCACCAGGTACTGTGACTTTTTAAATCGGGATTGTCGGTTTATGATGCGGAGGAGATGGGAGTATAGGTTTGATTGTGAATTGGGAGTTGTGGAATCTTGTATTAGAGTATGGAATGTTTAAATAGGTGGATATGCACTTTGGTTAGAGATCTTGTGTGGAGTTGATTTATCTGGAATCCGTAAAAAACACTAATTTGATTCACCTATTATCAGATTTTATAGTTGCTAGATATACTATAAGAAATGAGGAGGTTTTTTTAGCATCCGCCTGCAGTTTTTGTCCCATAGCAGTAGGAGATGTTGATGCGTTTTGTTTGTTATATTTGTTGTGTACAGACATAGATGGACAGGTCGTTATGAAGCTCACCTTTGGGATAAGAGTACCTGGAACCAAAATCAGAACAAGAAGGGAAAACAAGGTTTCTCTTTTTTTTTTTTTCTCTCCGCATCTGATAGAATCACTTTTGTAATTTGCAATGAGTTTTCTCTTGTTTGGGGTATCAAAGCTGATCTTTTCTGTTTCCTTTATATTTTCATGGTTGACGGAAATTTCGCCACACCAGTTTATCTAGGTAAGCTAAAGGCGCTTTATAGGTGTTGATTATGTTTTTGTATATTAAAGTGGATGATCTTTGACTGAAGAACCCAACTCTTACTTGACAGGAGCATATGATGATGAAGAGGCTGCTGCTAGAGCTTACGACCTTGCTGCCTTAAAATATTGGGGCCCTGGGACACTTATAAATTTTCCGGTGAGATTGCTACGGTAGTATGCTTTATAAGTTGATGTTAAACTATTCAACCAAATTCCTTAATAATAGTACTGATCAGTTTATATGCATAAGTGGAAGAAAGATGGTTACATGTGTTTTGGGGCCACCCTAATCAATTTTTGTTGTTTTTCACTACATGCATTTACGTATTTCATTCTCGTAGGTGACTGATTATACCAGGGATTTAGAAGAAATGCAAAATCTCTCAAGGGAAGAATACCTTGCATCTCTACGTAGGTGCGTATGTATTTAAAAGTAACATATTTTTTCTTAAGAACCATTTATTGCTGATACTCTTTAGATATCCCTTTGGCAGAAAAAGCAGCGGCTTCTCAAGGGGAATAGCGAAATATCGGGGACTTCAAAGGTAAAATTGGACCGACAATTGGCTTATGTTCCCATTTCTCTGTTTTGTTTGAAAAACTATGGAGTCAAAAGTGATTGATTTTGTGTGAATGCCAATAAGGAAAAAATTTTAGTGACACATCGTCGAACATCACAGTTTGATTAATTGATACATGGTGGATTATCACTAGTTGATTTCATAGAAAAAGTCTATATGCTACTCTAAAGCATAGGGATATGACAAAGCTATCTTCACTGTTTTGCCTGTAGCCCTCTTTCGTTTTGTCTTTTTAACTTTCTTTCTCACAATTAACATTCATACCTGATATCAATTTCTGCTGTCTTCCCATCTATTCTGCAATTCCCGACCAGCCGATGGGACGAATCAGCCAGTCGTATGCCTGGACCTGAATACTTCAGTAACATTCATTACGGTGAGTTGCTAACAATATTGACCTAATTGAATTAAATGTGTGCTTGCATCAGACTATTCAAAACTCATTGTCATTAATAACAGGGGCAGGTGATGATCGAGGAACAGAAGGTGACTTTCTAGGTAGCTTTTGTCTGGAAAGAAAGATTGATCTAACAGGATACATAAAGTGGTGGGGAGTCAACAAAACCCGTCAACCAGAATCTTCATCAAAAGCAGCAGAGGATGCAAACGTCGAAGATGCTGGTACTGAGCTTAAAACACTGGAACACACATCCCAGGCAACAGAACCATACAAGGCGCCAAACCTTGGCGTCCTTCGTGGAACTCAGAGAAAAGAAAAAGAAATATCATCACCATCAAGCTCTTCTGCTTTAAGTATCTTGTCTCAGTCGCCTGCCTTCAAGAGCCTAGAGGAGAAAGTGCTGAAGATCCAAGAAAGCTGCAATAATGAAAACGATGAGAATGCAAATCGTAACATCATCAATATGGAGAAGAATCACGGCAAGGCAATAGAGAAACCAGTTGTGAGTCATGGAGTTGCTTTAGGCGGTGCTGCTGTGTTGTCTCTTCAGAAAAGCATGTACCCACTTACCTCTCTCTTAACTGCTCCATTGCTCACAAACTACAATACATTGGATCCTCTTGCAGACCCTATTCTCTGGACACCATTTCTTCCTTCAGGATCCTCTCATACTTCAGAGGTTCGTAGTTATTTATCTATGGAACCACAGACTTCAGAGGCTTACTACAACACATCTTCCTTATGTCATTTTCTTTGTCTCTCTTTCTTCTGCAGGTGACAAAGACAGAGACCAGCTGTTCCACGTACAGCTACCTCCCACAAGAGAAATGAGCCGTTCCCTTTAGACTTTATGTATGTCAGATTCTCCTTTTGTGAGATGAATTTGTCGACTTGCCATCTGTTTTTGCCTCTTTATGGAGAGGAAGTTGGGAGAAGTGTGACAATGGTCTGAAGCAGGAATGTACAGGTTTTGTTAGTGGTTGTGTTTTTTTTTTTTTCAGTGTGGAATATAGAATCGTCATATTTTGTGTAAAACAGAAAAAGTTATCATTATAGTATAAAAGTTTGCTCTTAATACTTCTGCACAACGTATATAATTTGTTCATCTCTACCAAATGTTACAAATATGTATCTTTACATCATCTACACAAGACTTATCCAGTTTTGATACAACTAACTGAATCCTACTACCCAGACAGGGACTGAGTATATAACAGTCCCAATCGCAAAAGAAACCGCAATGGTGAAAGATGCATACGCATAGGCTCTCCATGGGTAATCACTTTCTCTCATCGCATTGAACTCAGCCATGAAGGTCGAAACTGTGCTCAGACATCCCAACAGACCAAACTGTATGCTCGAAGCAACCGTGTTACAAGTTCTCGTGTTTACCTGTTTCCCAAAATTATACAGAGAATGTTATCTTCTATGTTCTGTTTGGTAGAGAGAGAGAGCGGGAGGGGGGAGTTTATACCGATTTCTTTATAGTGGCCAATGCTGCCATAACGCAAGCTGCAGCTACATTTGCAATGAGGGTGCCAAATGGGACCCACCTCAAGTTTTGTCCATCTTTTCCCAGTCCACGTCCATTGAGTCGGGCTAAGAACCATCTGAGCCAGACACCAGGGGCTGCAACTAAGCAACCTAACCATAGTTGAGCCTCGCTTGTTCCTTTGTCAAACTCTTTCACAAGCAGAATGGAACTCGCAGTGAGTAAAGCCACAAGCAACAGAAGCATCAGGGTCATAGACACAATATGGCTCTGGAAGGTATTAACCTTGATACAAGAGTTTTTTTCCTCAGAAGAAGCTCTTCTATGAAGAAGCCATTTAAACCCTTTGGCCGTTTCCACTCCCAGAATTATGGAGTATGACGTGAGAAACAATCCTGTAAAAAGTTATTTATGCTGTAAGGTAAGCAAGTATGTTTAATCCAATTTAGGAGGTGATTGGAGATTTTGAGAAGGAAATTTTTTGTTTTTACCTAAAAGAAAGCCAAGCACGGCATATACCCATTGACCATCAGCACTAAGATCCAGCATTTTCTGGTTCCAACCGCTGAATGTTGTCAGGCTCCCCAAATAACCAGTCGATAATCCTATCGCCACAAATTCAGAAACTCTTGCTATATCTGCTTTGAATACGACGCCAAACCAACCCATCAAGAATGATCCTACCTATAAGGAATCATGTGGACAATTAATCTTAAGAAAGATAGGTTTATAATTAAGGTTGAGATGAGTGCATTGCGACTTTTACCATGTTGGAGGGAAGATCAAGGTACAAGATGCTTCCATCACTTGTTACTCGAGCACCAGTTGGTCCAAACAATTTCTGCAGCAAATATCTCGTAATGGCCTGTTTATTTGGAGACAAAGAGGGGATTACAATGATATAAACCAAAACAAAGTACAACAGAGAGCCAAACAGAAACATGGAAAATAAGCATCTCCTAAGAGCAAAGCCTCTGGAGTTTACCCCAAAAATCCCAAAAACAGCCAAATGAATTAGGCATGATATGTATTCCAAGGACTTTGGTAACACACGCTCTTCCTCCTTTTCCTGTGCAAACGAGCTATTATAGATCAAAACATTGAACTAGAAACCAATACTAAAAGCTTTAATGTGACTACAAGAAATTAGAGATGGTCTCTACCGGGTCAGGTGACAAGAGTGACTTGGTCGGTAAAGGAGATGCTGTTATATCCTCAGGCAAAGGTTTATTTACAGAAGCTGTGTTGAAAGCTCGAAGATCATGTAATACATCTTGTTCTTGACGAGAAGTATCATGAGTCCCTTGTTCCATCAAATCATCGGCAGACAAACGACTGCTTCTACCAGCACTATGCCTTCTCCGAAGTGAGCGATCCCCAATATCCCCAGCCTCTGAGACACTCTCACTATCGACGTCATTGTCAATCAGGTGAGGCAAACTACGTGATAGGCTTAGAGAAGAGGCTACACTGCTCTCCCGACTAAAAGACTTGGTCCGGTAGGGTTCTTCTACGCGGCTTTGACCGGAATCCATAGGCTTTGTCGCCAAAACACAGGACTTCTTAAAAGATGAGGATGATGAAAATGATGCTCCACCTGCACATATTTTAAAGCCATAGCCACACACATAAGAAAAAAGACATGAAGGAATGTGCAAAAAGAGACAAGAGATAACCGAACAATGTGGCAAGTAAACATTAAATGAAGTTAAGAGGAAACATTCGATTATTGAAGATACTGTTTGCAAAGTTTAGCTGTAATCTTCAAAACCATAGCTTTTTTTTATACTAATTCACAAAAGTTCACATATTCATGATAGATTATGACTTTAGTTTATAACTTTCTACAGAAGCAGAAAACGAATGTCCTCATGAATGAAGATTTTGTCATCCACTATCCCTAAAACAAATGATAAAAATGTACTTGCTTTTTAGACTAAACAACTTGGAAAAGTGGAAATCGAAAAAAGAGTAGACTAAAATAATCAATCACTTGTTCACCAATACAGAAAGCGAAAATCTTAGAAAGTTGTACAGGTGGCAAAGACGAATGAATACTTTTGCTAGATTGGGACCTGTTTTGTGCTTGAGTGAGTGCATTTAAAATTCAGGAGCTTTACCTAATGGCGAATTCAATCTTAATCGTGAAGAATCAAATTTAATCCAAAAGTCGCCGGCGGAGAAAGCGAGCTTACAACAATCAGATTCTAACAGGAGAAAATCGAAAACCAATTAATTTATTCTCTGTTTTATTGGAAATTAAGGGAAGTATGTTCGATTGAAGAAGATGGGTGACCAACGAAGCAGAAGAGGCGATTGAAACTTGAAAAGGTTTATCGTTTCCAATTTTTTTTATCGAAACACACGTTCAGTTACAGACAGTAGTTGGTTTAGTCGGGAAAGCCGCACAAAAAAAAAAAACAATTTCTGAATCTGGGCCTCAAAGAGCCGGCCCAGTAGCCCCCTTCTCATATCTAACAGAAATTTTTTTTTTGAAAAGTTAACATTTGTAAAACAAATGAGATGTTGTTGTTTGGTCTTTTCAAAAAAAAAAAAGATCACTAGACTGAGTCCAAGCACCAACACCAAATGCGCAATTATAATGCCAACATTAACATATGTGAAGTCTTCAACTTTTCTTTATCTTTAGTCTTTACCTATGTTTTAGATTAGTGCTTAATGCATGAAATAAATATAACGATCAAGTTGGGGAGTGGGAATGAAAGGAATATTCTAATGGCGGCTTTCATTGGCAACCTTTGGTGCGAGAGGAAGCGGTCATACCTCCCACCCACCCAAACCCATCTTTTTCTTGTTTACCTAAAAAAAAAAATCCTTATATTATGATATTTTGCCGTCAAACTTAGGAACGTCGTCGTTTTCGTAATATAATTGGCGTAGCTGAGTCAAGCAAACGCAACTCTAAACGAGTCAGGATGCTCCACGTACGCCAGGCTTTTGATGTGGAGCCCAAGAGAACCGCCCCTACTTGGCATTGACGCAAAGGTTTATATTTGGGTCAACATCAACACCTGCTTATATTGATTACTACTTACTTATACTAATAAGATTTTTTTTTTAATATCTACTTACTAATAAGATTATCTTCTAATAACACGACATTAATCTAATCTCTGCTTATTTTGTTTCGTATAATTATCCAATCTCTTCCTTCTTCTTTTTTTTTTTTCCGTGAATAAATAAAACAGTTTCGTAATTCTTGTATTTTTGTCGACTACTTGCGTTATCCGCAGCTAGTTGCAAAATTCATTTGTTTAATTGTAGAATAAAATTGATTTAATTAACTAATGGATCAAATAAATTGGAAAAAAAAAAACAAATTGAAAAAGAAGAATGGAAGCACAAATGTCAGTGAGGAGAGCCTAAGTCTTGGCCACCTCTCTTGTTTCTTTCATAGTTTGCTTTGCTTTTTCCCCAGAAGAACCATAAAGTATGATTTCTTCTTGAAGCCAATATCAGAATCTCTCAATCTATCGTCTAGGGTGATTTCTGGGTTCGAACGAAAATGGCTTCATCGAAGAGGCAATTGAAGGCCATGCTCCGCAAGAATTGGCTCCTCAAAACTCGTCATCCCTTCGTTACTTCAGCTGAGGTTTCTCTCTCTCTCTCTTTCTCTTGCTCTCTTTGATCCTCAAAACTATGTCGTTTTCATGTTTATTCACTGATCGTCTTCTCATGGGTCTTCTTCTCGTTGTTGCTGAATGCAATTTTTGTGTTTTGTTTCTGAAAATTTCGAATTGGGTAATGTTGATCAAATTTTGCTTCTTTCTCTTATTCTCTGGCAGATTTTGCTTCCGACTCTTGTAATGTTGCTGTTGATAGCCGTCAGGACTCGGGTTGACACCACAATTCACCCGGCTCGCTCGTAAGATCACATTTTCATACATTGTCTCTAGTCTAGCTTTGCAATTTTGTCACTAAAATTGGATTTTGATTTCGCTTTCTGCATTTGTTTCTGTTGATTATTTCAGGAACATAGAGAAAGATACAGTCGTCGAAGTGGGCAAAGGCAACTCTCCTAGTTTTCCACAAGTTTTGAAGCTTCTGCTTGCTGAGGGGGAATTTTTAGCTTTTGCACCTGACACTGATGAAACAAATAACATGATCGATATTTTGTCTCTTAAGTTTCCGGAACTGCGGGTAATCATCATCACTTCTTCATCTTATGCTTCTTAGAAATCTTCTAGATCGATGTTACTTTTTTTTCATAGCATTTATGCCTCTTCTTTCCTCTTGATAACCTTTTGGCTCAGTGTTTACTCTTCATATGTCACACGGTTAATTGACCTTGTGTCTTCTGTTTGCAGCTAGTTACTAAAATTTTTAAAGATGACATAGAGCTGGAAACTTATATAACCTCTGCTCATTATGGTGTCTGCACCGAAGTGAGGTATGTTTTGTTCTTTGTTTGATCTGATAAGAAGGCAATTTCATCCCTGGTTTCTTGTCGCCTTCAAACTTTTTCTCTCTGTTTAATCAGTGAATTGGTTAGCATTTCTTAAATAATGGCAGTATCTCCTTGGGTTAGTTGTTACAAATATGCTACAACTTTGATGATAGTACTACCTGAACAAGAATGGTTTTGTATGTTGGAATATGATAGAAAAAGGGAGATATTTTGGCTTCACATGCCCAGTGTGTCTGCATTTTATCTTCACGAGTAACCAATATAGTCTTATAACTGTGCTGTTTCTTTTTTTTTTTTTTGTATGTTAAACTGATAAAGCCTCATCATGTTTGCTTAGGAATTGTTCGAATCCAAAAATAAAAGGAGCAGTGGTATTCCATGAACAAGGACCTCATTTGTTTGATTATAGCATCCGCTTGAACCACACATGGGCATTCGCAGGATTCCCTAATGTCAAGTCGATCATGGACACAAATGGACCTTATATCAATGATCTGGAAATGGGGATTAATACCATACCAACAATGCAATACAGCTTCAGCGGATTCTTGACTGTATGGCCATTACTTATTTTCATTGAAAGTTTGTCTAATCTTTCCCCATGATTTTTCTATCATCTTCGTAGCTCTCCCCATAAAGCTACTAGGCAGTACAGTAGTCAAATAGTTCTTGTCTGTAGACTATTTATTCTTCTGCTATTATAGGGAAATATAGGGTTAGTCAAACAAATTCCAAATCAGGTGTTAGATTATCACACAGTAAACCAGTAGTTACTATTTAGTAAATTAAATAATTCGTCAGATTTGAATTGAAATTCTTGAAATAGGGGGTTTTATCTTGGTTTTCACCCAGTTTTGATTACTCTTATACCCTTTTGCAGCTTCAGCAGGTGGTAGACTCTTTCATTATATTTGCTTCTCAGCAAAATATCGACTTGCCATTATCACATTCAAATCTTGGTTCAGCTCTAAGCTTTGAGCTGCCATGGACTCTGTTTAGCCCCTCTGTGATAAGAATGGTTCCATTTCCAACCCGCGAATACACTGATGATGAGTTTCAATCTATTATCAAAAGCGTAATGGGATTGTTGTATGTATCACCTGCTCAATGTTTTTTTTTCTCCCTACATGTATGTATGGTATTTGAGTCTTTATGGTTTGGATGATTATATAATTGTTGAACAGGTACCTTCTGGGATTTCTGTTTCCAATCTCCCGGCTTATCAGCTACTCTGTTTTTGAGAAGGTTGGTTTGGGTTTATGTACTTTGCTTACTTTGGAACACAGCTGATATGTATTTTGCGTTTACCAATAGTTGCTTTTCTATCACTTAGGCTGTTTTTTTTTCTGAGCTTGCAGGAACAGAAAATAAGAGAGGGACTTTACATGATGGGCTTGAAGGATGAGATCTTTCATTTGTCGTGGTTTATCACATATGCATTGCAGGCAGGTTTTCTGCTTGAAATTTGACTTGTGAACTTTTGTTTGCCTCTCTTCCCATGGCTATGGTCAAACCACAAGTTGGAGTTGGGTAGCATTTTCTGTTGTCAACAATATTGACTTCAGCTGGAAAAAGCAGACGCTTTACTTCTTTCGATATATTGTAGTTCTTGGTATTCTTTTTCTTTTCTAACTAGACTTTGTTCTGCAGTTTGCATTGTGCTCTGGGATTATTACAGCTTGTACGATGGGAAGTCTCTTTAAGTATAGTGATAAGACATTAGTCTTCACATACTTCTTTTTATTTGGGCTCAGCGCAATCATGCTCTCATTTATGATATCAACATTTTTCACTCGAGCAAAGACAGCTGTGGCAGTTGGGACCCTAACCTTTCTCGGAGCCTTCTTCCCTTACTACACTGTAAACGATGAATCTGTCTCCATGTATGTTTGTGCTTTTCGCTTTTGGTTTTTTTTTGTGATGGCTGTTTTATGGATAGACAAAAGTTATGCTTATCTTTGCCACAAGCATTTGGTTTAGAGTACATTAATGTAAAATTAAGTGTCTGACGTGCAGGGTATTGAAGGTAGTTGCTTCTTTGCTTTCGCCTACTGCATTTGCTCTTGGGTCAATCAACTTTGCTGATTATGAGCGTGCACATGTTGGACTTCGTTGGAGCAATATATGGCGGGTATAGTAGTTATGTATGTGGCTACAGGCCAAGGTTGATTCTCCTTGTATTGTTAACTTTTGTTCTGGTCAATCTTCATGTAGGCATCTTCTGGAGTAAGCTTTTTTGTCTGCCTCTTAATGATGTTGCTCGACTCTATTCTTTACTGCGCACTTGGACTTTATCTGGACAAGGTACCTCCTTTTGCTACTTGTCTATATTTACTACCTGTCTTGTAAATAGATGTCTGCTATGTGATGATCAATTTTGTGAGCTGATTCTTATGTTCTTGACATTATTTCTTGTTAAAATATAATTGTAGTTAGGAGGTTTATCTTTTCTTTTCGTCTATTGTATCCTGCATCTTTGGGCCTAATCCAAGAGTTCATTTCCTCAGGTCCTCCCCAGAGAAAATGGTGTGCGGTACCCATGGAACTTCATCTTCAGCAAGTGTTTTGGGAGGAAGAAAAAAACCTTCCAGAATCGCATTCCAGGTCTCGAAACTGATATGTTTCCGGAGGATATAGAGGTTATTCAGGGAGAGCCTTTTGATCCTGTTATTGAATCAATAAGCCTGGAAATGAGGCAACAAGAGCTTGATGGGAGGTACATTCATATCACAACCGAAAACAAAATCCAATTAATTGTTTTTCATAGCTGGACATTTAATTCACCTTTAAAGTTTACCCTGTAGGTGCATACAAGTTAGAAATCTGCATAAGGTCTATGCCTCAAGAAGGGGAAATTGTTGTGCAGTTAATTCATTGCGACTTACATTATACGAGAACCAGATACTTTCACTTCTGGGTATGTCTTTCCTGTTTGTTAAACATTCGCATCTCCTCTAACCTCATTTATATTTGCTTACTAGAGTACCAGGTCCAGATCGTAATGTTTCAGAAATTGTAGATTGAATTTATTGGTTTGGCTTTTGTCTGTGTCGTGTGGCTGAGAATTTCCATATAATTCTACATTTTCGCAAACAAAATATCTAGCTTTGTTCGCGAGCTCTTCTGCATGTTCGTTGAAGCTAATTTGGTCAGTTTTTATGTATTCATTTTTTAACATATTGAGAAAGCTTTCTTATAACACCTTTATCTACATATTTTGATATTTTCTGTTCTCTGGCTTTATCATCTAAATGGTGTCTCTGATGAATTTTGGTCTCTGCAATAACTTCACGACCACCATGCATGCAATCTCAATAGTCACAAACAATGAAAATCACGTTGAAAAAAACATATTGCTAATCTGTTTAAATCTTGCTTCCTTTGCCTGAAGGACATAATGGAGCTGGTAAAAGCACAACAATATCAATGCTTGTTGGCCTTCTTCCCCCAACGTCTGGAGATGCCCTGATACTTGGAAACAGTATCATAACAAACATGGTAATTTTTTTCTATTGTTATTACTTGAATCTCTAATTTTCTTACATAACCAAAAAGCTCTGACCTATAAGCTAGTAAGATAGGCATTCTTTTTTCTAGCATCACTTGAATACCATTATATGTTTTGTATGCTGTTAATCCCCCCTATTCTTGCATTTTAGTTTCTGACTATATGAATCTCTTTCGGTAGGATGAGATACGGAAAGAACTAGGTGTTTGCCCTCAGCATGACATCCTCTTTCCAGAACTGACAGTAAGTGAAAAAATCGCTTCTTTTGCTTCTGGTTTTATTCTAAGTGACGGATGTGATGCTTGCAATTCGAATCCAATACATGGTAATATCATCTTTAGTTTATAAAATGATCAAAGAAAACACGACATTCTTTTTGCATTTAGGCAAATTCGAAAGGTTTTTTTTTTTCCTTAAATTTACAGAGCTCATTCCGCAGATGTTTTTTTTAAACATCTTCTATAGTCAATGGTCAATTTATGCTTTATAGTTCTTACCTTTTCTGTGTGCTACTGATACTAGAAGTAAAATCACTGCTAGGCTCATGCTTGTTTTAATGATTCTTCTCTCGTGTGCCTTTTTTGTATCTTCTTTAATCGAGAGTACTTGCTAAATATCATGTAAGCGTAGGAACATGTGTCATATATGTAATGTACGATGAAACATTTATCTGCTTCTTTTGTTTGTTATTTCGTTTCTTTCTATGCAAACGTTTCAGTCTTATGACAGATGTTTTTCAATTCGAATATGATATATAATATGATGTCTGAATGATTTATATCTACTGTAGGTTAGAGAACACTTGGAGATGTTTGCGGTTCTTAAAGGTGTTGAAGAAGATTCCTTGAAGAGCACAGTTGTTGATATGGCGGAGGAAGTAAGTATGTAGTGAAATACAAGCTTTGTGGATTTCCCCTCTCCAACTAACCATATTCACACACTTGGATTTCTGAATTCGATTTCATAACATCTGGTTGCTAATGCTATTATGGCCTACAAACATCAAAACTTCAGACTGCATAAGTTTGAGTCTGTAACATTGCTTTGGAGAACAGCAGATGAATTCATTTTGTTGTTTGATGCTGCCGTTTGGAGTGGAAAGCTGTAGTTGTCTTCCCTGCCAATTTTGGGTATAGGTCACAGTTATCTGATCTTGGGTATTGATTTTTTCCAGGTGGGATTGTCCGATAAAATTAGTACACTTGTGCGGGCACTTTCCGGAGGCATGAAGAGGAAATTGTCACTTGGAATCGCATTGATAGGTAACAGTAAGGTGAGAAAGAAACACAAAGGCATCTTATTTCGTATGTTTCTCTTAATTGGTTGTCGTTGAATAAGCTTTATCTTTCAGATCGTCATTCTCGATGAACCAACCAGTGGAATGGATCCGTACTCAATGCGTCTTACATGGCAGTTAATTAAGAAAATTAAAAAGGGTAGAATAATATTGTTGACAACACATTCCATGGATGAAGCTGAAGAACTTGGAGATCGGATAGGAATCATGGCTAACGGGTCTCTTAAGTGTTGTGGCAGGTTAAGTGTTTTTAAACTACTCTGGCTTTTTCTGTTGCTTGTCCTTTCCATTTTTTTTTAAGAAATCATTTCATTCAAAGTTAGGAAGAAAAACGATGCATATGTTGAAGGCATGCTAATAACACATATTATACCAAGCATTCACACCTTGGGATTGCTTAATTTGAGTTGGTTACTATGAAGTGATATGATTGATTTGAATTTTTCAAATGGTTGCTCATGACTCGAAGAAGGTGTTTTGATTTGGTGTCGGTGCTGAGATAATTTCAAAAAAAGGAAACAAAAGATTCCCCAAGCTTACGCTATCTGACTAGACATGTTAAAGCGCTTCTCAAATTAAAAAAAAAAAATCTTTCTTTTTCTGACCCATATGAATTATTCATGTATAGTTTTCTGAATTTCCAGTTAAATTATTTAACATTTTACCAATTATTTTGGGGTTTTTATGGCTAAGCAGTTCGATTTCCTGAAGCATCACTATGGGGTTGGTTACACTCTTACGCTAGTAAAGGTTTGTTTGCATTCTTTTCATTCTCTTCAATGTTGTTGATGTTTCTATTTAGGACATCAATAACTGTTGGTCCTTTATGTTTTAGACTTCTCCAGCTGTCTCTGTTGCCGCACGTATAGTTCATCGTCATATTCCATCAGCAACCTGTGTGAGTGAGGTATATTATTTACATTCTCTAAAGAGATTGAGTGCATCTGAGCAACTAAAACATTTCATGAAAGAAATATTCTGCCTTGCTGCATGCTTGATACTTTGCAGAGGTCCAAGCTTCTAGAGTATAGGATTTTTTGGTTGATAATCTTCGAATTGTGACCTAAATTTCTAAATAATGGATATCATACCATAATTATGGCTGCAGATATTTCCCCTAGAGTAATTTTTTACTGCTTTTAGATAAGTTTAATGCCCATCTCTTGCCTAATCTTTATAAGTGATGATTGTCTAGGTGGGAAACGAAATTTCTTTCAAGCTGCCTTTGGCTTCCTTGCCTTGTTTCGAAAACATGTTCAGAGAAATCGAAAGTTACATGAAGAATTCTGTTGACAGATCTAAGATTAGTGAGATTGAGGACTCAGATTATCCTGGTATTCAGAGTTATGGTATATCTGTCACGACACTTGAAGAGGTGTTTCTGAGAGTTGCTGGCTGTAACTTAGATATCGAAGATAAGCAGGAAGAAATATTTGTTTCTCCTGATACCAAGGCTTCTCTGGTATGCATTGGATCTAATCAGAAAAGTATTATGCAACCCAAGTTGCTAGAAAGTTGTAATGAGGGGGCTAGAGTTATAATTACCTCAGTTGCAAAAGCTTGCAGATTAATTGTTGCTGCAGTTTGGACTCTCATTGGATTCATTAGCATGCAATGTTGTGGTTGTTCCATTATCTCGAGGACAATGTTTTGGCAGCATTGCAAAGCATTGTTCATAAAAAGAGCCAGATCTGCTTCCAGAGACCGCAAAACAGTGGCATTCCAATTCATCATTCCTGCAGTTTTCTTGCTTTTTGGCCTTCTTTTTCTTCAGCTCAAGCCACATCCTGATCAGAAATCCATAACTTTGACAACTGCATATTTTAATCCTCTCCTGAGCGGCAACGGTGGTGGTGGTCCGGTTCCTTTTGATCTGTCTGAGCCAATTGCCAAAGAGGTCTGTTGAGTATCATTTATATTCTGTGATATCTCTGAATGCATGTTCTCGCAGTTTAAATATTAGGTGGCATCTTATGTTACTCGCTCTAGTAACTATCAGTCTATCACATTAATCTTGGTAAATCAAAATTCATTTCACTCTCTTAACTTCTACACAGGCATAAAAAAACTAGTTTCTTGATGACATATTCGTTTCACTATTTGAGATACTGGATCCAGAGGGTTTACTCTTATGCAGCTGTCAACAGTTGACCCAAGGTTTTGTTACAAGTAGTAGAGCGAGCAGTAGTTCTGTTAGATTTTATGTTTGCATGATTTTGAAGACAGTGCTCTATGGTTGAATTCATCTTACCAAACATTGTTTGTGTTCAATTTTGTTGGTTGCACGCATTCAGGTTTCTCAATATATCGAAGGAGGCTGGATTCAGCACTTGAGGAATACTTCATATAAATTTCCTAATCCAAAAGAGGCACTGGCTGATGCAATTGATGCAGCAGGTCCCACGTTGGGCCCCACTCTACTTTCAATGAGCGAATTTCTGATGTCTAGTTTTGATCAGTCCTACCAGTCAAGGTATGTATAGGTCACCAACAGATTCATTCTTTGTTATCTTTTGTGAAAGTTAAGCTAAATAATCCATGTGCTCCAGATATTGCTGCCTTCACAATTATTCTGTTCCCCTATTTTCTTATAGCAGTGAGGGCTTAAGTGCTCATGATTCATGTAACGTATGCATTTAATTAGCTGCTCCCAGAACTATGTCAGTTTTAAGTTTGGAGGGCCCTAGGGTCGAAGAAATTTCCGCTTTCAAAATTAAAATGATTTTCTTGTTTCGTAATATCTTAATGAACATTTTGTTTTATTCTGCGGGACATGCCTTACACTGTTATTAATCAGAGTTCATTGTTTTAGACAAAACATTTACTTAGGTGATATTTTCTTTGCATTTAACTTTCCTACGTTGGTGACCTCTTTGAAAATGTTACATTGTACTATTTTATATACTGACTTTGCTAAATGCTACCCGTGAGTGTCTTTAGGTATGGGGCAATTTTAATGGATGGCCAGCATCCAGATGGGAGTTTAGGATACACCGTATTACACAACGGTACTTGTCAGCATGCTGGTCCAATCTACATCAATGTTATGCATGCTGCGATTCTCCGACTTGCTACGGGTAACAAGAATATGACAATTCAAACCCGAAACCATCCTTTGCCCCCTACAAAAACTCAGCGCCTACAGCGTCATGTATGTCTTTCTTTTTGGAGTAGTTCCCTTTCTGTGGTATCAATAGTATTATTTTGTTGAAATTATGTTCAGTTTGAGCGATAAGTGATTTGATGGGATCCCTCAAACTGATTGTCAGTAAATGGGAACCAATGTAAAAGTCTGTAGCAAAAATTGACAGGCGTCTACCTTATTTTTCGTCGGACACATCGGATCAGATTCTACTGTCCCTGTCTCCTCCTCTCAAAATTGTTTTATTCGTAACAACAAAATGTGACGATATTAGTAGTTTTGATCTTATTTTCTTTTCAATGCAGGATTTGGATGCCTTTTCCGCTGCAATTATCGTTAATATTGCGTTCTCCTTCATCCCGGCCTCCTTTGCTGTTCCCATTGTTAAGGTATGTATGTAAGGTCAAACCTCAAGTACTTTTGGCATAATGTTTTTGTTCCACCTTTTCCAGTATTTTGTTCTGAATATCTATAAGGATTTTATTTTATTCAGGAGCGGGAGGTGAAAGCAAAACATCAACAGCTTATCAGTGGGGTAAATTTTCTAAAACTTCTGGAGTACCAAAAACAAGCATAGCATCAGTCCCAGGTTCTTACTTTTAATCCTGTAAGATTGGGCTCATGATCTCTTATGGCTTGCAGGTTTCTGTTCTTTCATACTGGTTATCAACGTACGTATGGGATTTCATCAGTTTCTTATTTCCGTCAACATTTGCAATAATCCTCTTCTACGCTTTTGGTAAGTTAGTTTTTTTTTTTTTATTATTCCATTTGCATTGGGACTTATACATAATTCGCTGTACTTTGCTATAAACTTACTGAAATGATTAATTTCTTCCCTTAGGTCTGGAACAGTTTATCGGAATAGGACGGTTTCTTCCGACTGTTCTTATGCTCCTGGAGTATGGCTTGGCAATTGCATCATCAACGTACTGTCTTACATTTTTCTTCACCGAGCATAGCATGGCTCAGGCAACTTCTAGCTACTCTGTGCTTTTACCCATATCGTTATTTGGTTTTTCTTTTTCCTCAGTTACTTCATACTGTTAGATGATTTTGACTGATGGATAGATGTCTTTGTTGTAATCGCAGAATGTTATTCTTATGGTGCACTTCTTCTCTGGTCTTATCCTTATGGTTATCTCATTTGTTATGGGCCTTATTCCAGCGACTGCTAGTGCAAATTCATATCTAAAGGTATGGAATCTTCTGATTTCCTGACCTCGGTGATCCTTGAAAAGACTAGGAACTGATTCTTTTTCGTTATGCTTCTACAGAACTTCTTCAGATTATCACCAGGATTTTGCTTCTCTGATGGATTGGCTTCATTAGCTCTTCTAAGGCAGGGGATGAAAGACAAATCTAGTCATGGGGTGTTTGAATGGAACGTCACTGGAGCGTCCATCTGTTACCTGGGTTTGGAGGTTAGAGTCTTCCTTGTTCTTCAACTTTTTTGTTCCTACTCCTTTGAAAACCTGAGATTTGGATCCATCATAAAGTGTCAATGATTTCGTATTTGTGAATTTAAAAGGTGGAATATCGTCGTTACTCTTATGGTACTTTTGTCATTTTTTCATGGGATAGTCACAAAATTATAGTTAATTTATATTATAGCGGCATCTCGTCTGACTGAAATCATATATGACAGAGTATATTCTACTTCCTTGTGACGCTGGGGCTTGAGCTCATGCCTTTCCAAAAGGTGATGTCGTTCTCAATTGGGGAGTGGTGGCAGAATTTCAAAGCTTTCAAACAGGGTGCTGGTTCTAGTTCTACAGAGCCACTTCTCAAGGATTTGCCTGGAGCCATTTCTGCTGATATGAAGGATGACATAGACGTGCAAGAGGAAAGAGACAGGGTGATTTCGGGGTTGACAGACAACACCATGTTCTACTTACAGAACCTAAGGAAGGTATTGAAGCCTGCTCTTTTTACCTAAGCGTTGACAGAGGTTCTCCTCTCTTTTTTCCTAAAGTACAACTGTGCAGGTCTATCCTGGTGACAAACATCACGGCCCAAAAGTAGCTGTACAGTCTTTGACTTTCTCGGTCCAAGCAGGAGAATGTTTTGGCTTTTTAGGGACGAATGGAGCTGGGAAGACTACTACCTTGTCTATGTTATCTGGTATGTTGTGCGTATTTGGTATTTGGAAATTATTGGCGGAGCTGTTATCTTAAATACTTTGTTAGCGCTAAATAAACAACTGCAACTTCTGAAGCAATAGCGTTGACTATTCTCACTTCTTTGGGTACAATAGGAGAAGAAACTCCAACTAGTGGAACTGCCTTCATCTTTGGGAAAGACATCGTAGCGAGTCCCAAAGCTATTCGTCAGCATGTATGTCAATTCATTGACTTTACCAATCTCACTGAGTCTGTAGAATGAACGTTGAATGGTAAAAAATCTTGTCTCTCCTACACAGATTGGCTACTGCCCCCAGTTTGACGCTTTATTCGAGTACTTGACTGTGAAGGAGCACCTTGAACTTTATGCAAGGATCAAAGGAGTAGTTGATTATAGAATTGATAATGTAAGTGGTATATATTCAAGTACTTGACTATGACGTTTAATGTTTGCTTACAGGCCTGATGAGTTCTGTGATTCCCCAATAGTAGTATAGGTTTTTGGCGAAGTTATATACCTACACAACATTTGAACAAAATCATCTTTCTTTACCGTCTAGGATAAATTTTTAAAATGTATTCAAAATCACAACCATAATATTAGGTATATCTAACTAGTGGAAGTTCCTAATTGGATATTGGCTGATATGTGTTATCTAATAACAGGTGGTTACGGAAAAGTTAGTCGAGTTTGACTTGTTGAAACATTCTCACAAGCCATCGTTCACTCTTAGCGGCGGAAACAAGCGCAAACTATCTGTTGCTATTGCAATGATTGGAGATCCTCCTATTGTCATCCTCGATGAACCATCTACAGGTATAACCCAATCAAAATTTTGGTTGACTCGCCGGACCAGTTTGACTTTAAAATCACTAACGTGGACTTCATTTCTGTTCTACACTAGTTCTTAGCTACTCTGTAAAGTTTTTTAGTGTTTTTTTTTTAATGCTTCAGGTATGGATCCTGTTGCCAAAAGATTCATGTGGGATGTGATATCCCGCTTGTCGACAAGGAGTGGAAAGACAGCGGTCATTCTGACTACTCATAGCATGAATGAAGCTCAAGCACTTTGCACTAGGATCGGGATCATGGTATTTTTTTAACTCCTTTTGAACTCCTTAGGGCGTTAGTTCCTTAAATATTTCCACCTCACAGAACCATACTCCTCAAATTACAGGTGGGAGGCCGCCTAAGATGCATAGGTAGTCCACAACACTTAAAGACACGCTACGGAAACCACCTTGAGTTAGAGGTACTTTTTTACAATGGTGTTTTGTTTCAATGGTATGAAGGATCTTTTTTTTAAGCTTGTGCATAATGTTGGCTGTCTTACAAATTAGGTCAAACCCAATGAAGTCAGCAATGAGGAATTGGAGAACTTTTGCCAAATAATTCAGCAGTGGCTGTTTAACGTTCCTACGCAGCCTAGAAGTTTGCTGGGTGATCTCGAAGTTTGTATAGGTGTCTCTGACTCGATTACTCCTGATACAGCTTCAGCATCAGAAATCAGTTTGTCACCAGAAATGGTACAAAGCATTGCCAAGTTTCTTGGTAATGAGCAGAGAGTGAGTACTCTAGTACCTCCATTGCCTGAGGAAGATGTGCGATTCGATGACCAGTTATCAGAGCAGCTGTTTCGAGATGGTAAGAGCACACATGTCATATACTTTTTTAGATTTTGCCTTGTTTCACGACTTGTAAATATATGATTTCTCCATTTGATGCTGGACAGGTGGTATTCCACTTCCAATATTTGCCGAGTGGTGGCTAACCAAAGAAAAGTTTTCAGCATTGGATTCTTTCATACAATCTTCGTTTCCTGGTGCAACATTCAAAAGCTGCAATGGACTGAGTATCAAGTACCAGGTAACTATTAAACACAAAATCCAGCTCTCTAAGATTACTCAACACAAAATCCAGCTCTCTAAGATTACTCTTAGACTTGTGCTCAATGTTTGTCTATGGGTTGTGTTGCAGTTGCCATTTGGAGAAGGAGGATTGTCACTTGCGGATGCCTTTGGACACCTTGAAAGAAACCGGTAAGACATTCTTATTTTAACTGTTTCTTTTCCATGATCCACACAAAATCAGTCTTTGTAAGTCTGAGGAAAGAAATTTTCTTCTTGCTATGGCAGGAATCGGCTGGGAATAGCTGAATACAGCATAAGTCAATCCACACTTGAGACCATATTCAATCATTTTGCAGCTAACTCATAGCCAGTGAAACCATTATCGCGGCTTGTATAACCAAAACCCTTCGTGACCATAGCCCAAAGAGAGATCTGATCACTCATAATCTCATTTACCCAACATAGTTGTAAATATATATGACATATACATGAGAATGCTGTGCTCTTAATGTCTCTATATATACACGATGCTTCATATTTTGAACACGAGGCTTTTATCAACACTACACAAAATCCAAGATTTCTCGGACATATGTTTTGATCTTAGATGTCTTAAAAGACAGACTAGTAAGAATCTGAAAAATCTGAATCAATTATTCTCAAAGGGAATAAGTGATAGGAAGATCTCAAACCAATTTGATGAATATAAACGTATAAGTTCAAGCACAGTAAGATCGTTTAGGTAGTTTTTTCATATGGAAATTTGGAATCTCATATATAGTTGATGATTTTTTTTAACTCAAATATGTCTAAGCCAGATGGAGAATTCAGTAACCAGTCAACATAGTCAGATGCTTTTATGCTTTTCCATTGACTAGTTTATCTCCAAAAACCTGCTAAGTGAACACAAAAAAAAAGAAAAAGATTAACTAAAATAGTTGTAAAATTTGCAAATACATGAGAAACTGTGCTCTTAATCAATGTCCACGATGTACTATGTTTTGAACACGAGATCGACTTAATCAATACAACACAGAATCCGACATTTCTTTCTGATCTTGCATGCATGTCTTAAAAGAGTACTATAGTGGATGCAAAACTTGTAAGAGTCTGAAGAAACTGGTAATGAATATCAATCTAGCGATCTAGTTTCATTCAAGTTTTACTCCGAACAACTTAAGCCCATCATCTTCTTCATCATCATTTTCATCGGTTTCATCTTCGTCTAATTCTCTGTATCTCTCCACCAACTCCATAAGCTGCTTGCATTTCTTCTTGGTTTTCCCCAGTTCGCAGCTTAATAACTCGTTTTCATTCTTCAAGCACTTGTTTTCGTCGAGTAATGCAGTGTATACAAAAGAGGAGGAAGTGGCGGAAGACCGTTGATCCTCATGGTGATGATCAGTCCCAATCCGTTGATGATCTTCTTGCTTCACCGTCGTTGTTGTTGGTACAACCTGATAATGAGACTTGTTGTGTGACCAATGTTGGCTCTTCCTTCTTCGGATATTGCTCATAAGCTCTCTTTGCCCCTTTCGAAACATCTCATTACTAAATTCCCATCTTATCGTCGTTACTTTTCGAAACCCCTATAATATTAAGCAAATCCACGTACAAACCCCTATACAAGTGTTATTTCTCAATAAAAATGTTATTTTATTAAATAGCATGTTGATTAGAGATGTATTACGCTATTCTATGTAAACAAATGAAACCTTGCTATTTAGAAAACATAACACTCGTTATGTGTTTATAGCAGAACCAAAAAAAAGGTATAGTCATTTACCTAAGTTATTTTGGTATGAATGCTAAGATCATTTACCTAAAGTTAATAAATGTTCATGGACCAAATACCGAAGAAAATATTTTATAGGACTAGTAAACTCAAACAAACATGCACAAATAGTTTTGACTACTTAATTGAAACAGTGGAGCATACGTACGTAAGTATTGAGCTGCCGAACGAAGCTAGAGAAGTTGCAATGCTTGAAAAGTGTTGGTAACAGATCTCTAGAGAATTCTGCCGGCTGCCACACGACGAAGCCAGTTCCGTCTTCGTTCCAAGATATAACCTCGTCCGTTGTCGGCTCATCCACCACTTTGTATGTCTTTACCAAGAACGGTGGCGGTGGTGGCGGCTGTAGCTCCGCCGTGGATGTTGACTTTCCGATCATAAACTCCAATGACAAACGCTCCTCGTCGTTAATGTTATCGCTACACCGTGAATGTTCACCAGCATCTTCCATAAAACGAGAATTATTATTCTTGAAGAGAACAAGTAGTAGAAGATCTCAAATTAGAAAGACGTAACACGACTCCATAGAAAGATATAGAGACGTTATTTAATTTAATAAGGTGGTTGAGACAATATATAATAGAAATACCTTAACAAAAAAAACAATAATAGAAATACTTTGAACTATTTTCAAGGAACATATATACGCTTCTAACTATTTACATATTCGATGAGAATATATGTAACTGTAACATTAACATGCATATAATCATGATGCATATACACACACACGATTGTGTTTATATATTTTTCTTATATTAAAAGAAAATCGATTTTTGATGACATGTAATTTTTAGCTTTGAAACCAACCATTGATCATATTTATGTCGGATCCACAACCACAACACAACACAACTTTTTTTTTTCCCTCAAGTCGCTAACAGGTATAGCTTAACGACATTTTGCATTTAATTTTTGTATACTACTGGATTAATTTACCCACACAAGATAATGGATTATTTTTGTATTAATATTGATTTCTTAAGTTTTACAGGAAACTGCATTAGTCGTTGCTTTTACCAACCGAGCTATATTGTCAATATATTTTTAGTTGTAACGTAGACGTATATGAAACAAACGAAAATGATTTTATAAAAAAATCACGAGGTATATGTGTGAATACACATATATTTATGTATGTTGGTAAAATTGGATATTGTGATATGAAGCAACTAGTTTGGACCCCCTTTAGGTGTGGTGGTACTATCAATTTACAAAAACAGTGAACGCAAATCATGCATATTATTCATCATGTTTACCTATATTTGTAAGATTTTGTTTTCTCTCATGATTAATCAAGTACTAGTCATAAAAACAAATTTCTCGAAATGGACGATTGCAAAATATCACATTTATTATCAATCTTTTTTTCTCTAAAGAATACCACTTCTTAAATTTAAAATAGCATGTATATATATATATATATAACAGAAGTTATATTCTTTAAAAAATCCGTTTTAATGGTATTTTTTAAAAAATAATTGTCAATTTGATATAGCAAGAATAATTATGATTTTCATTATCTTAGCTTCGTTGTATTGTAGGAGCATGCAAATTGTTCGTTTTATCAAAACCGATGACTTTCCTGCAGTTTACATATATATGCTTTGTTAATTTATCATAATAGTATAAACAAGTGGATAACGAGTATATACAAAGAATAAGGGGTTCAATCGATCTGAATGGGAAGTAAAAAGGTGATCATTCATCACACTCAAATTTGATCATATAATTAAGTTTTTTTTTAAAAAACAACTCAGATTATACCATTAAGTTCTGGTATGGTAAAAGTATCTAAGTTTATAGAAGAAATTCCAAATTAAAATTAATCGAAGTTTCAGTTGGATGAATAAAAGTTCCCAAAGTAATATTTTTTTCCAAGACGTAATCAAGTAATTTAAGCAAATGTCGGTTTTAGCACAATAATGCATCTTTAGATCTCTATTGGTCGTGTGCCAAAAAAAAAAAAGATCTCTATTGGTCAAAGTAGGGGACAGTGATGTATTTCAAGTCATCTATCTACTGGTGTTTGAAGGGTTTACCGACAACTTTCCTTTGACGGCGCGTACCATCCACGCGTCTCTAGAAGAGAGAAACAAAATAGAGAGAGAGATAACTGAACTAATAGTACAAATCAGAACAGTCAGGCATGGTTCAAAAACTACTCAAGCATATACTCCAGCATTTTAGGGCTCAAATGCAAGTCTTTAATTAGCAGCCGTTGTTGAATGTTGAATGTGAATTTTATTAATATAGGTGCATGGTAAGTTACTTAAAAAAATCGAATTTAACAGTTTTAATAGTCAAGAACAGTTTAAGAAACTTCAAATGGCAAACCATCGAGTTTGGATGACAAGTAAGAACACGGTGCGTTTTTTTTACCATAAAGTAGTAATTTACGTTTAGTGGCGTGGCGTCATAACAAATCTATACAACATCAAATGAAAGTACATTTTGTTGACTAAAACATTCCAAGTGCATGGAATTCAGACATTAGACTAAAGATAAAGATCCTTCCTTTCATTGGGCTGCTCTTTTTGGTCTGCTTAACTTTTTTGACTTACAAAAAAATAGTCTGTCACCTTCCCTCACCAACTCCTAGTTTCATTTCCACTTCACATCGAACTAAGTAAATTATAGTCTCCGTATTTAGTTAATTATAATTGTTATTTCTAATCTAATCCGAAATATCTGATTTACGAATGTCATCGTTGAATTTTGTTATCTTATTCTAAGAAAGATGGTTCATAGTGATTCATCACTGTATAGCTCTAAAACAGAATTCAACAGATAATGAAACCTTGTGAGAATATTGCGATCAAAATGGTGAAACTATATGTGTTTATGGCCCAATAAATCCGGTGGGTTTATGAATCTTCGTCGTGACTCAATCTTTGAGACCAAATAAGGCCCATTTATGGCCCAATAAAAAAGGCTAAAAAGCGTCCAGCCACTTAAACAAAACACTTGGTGAGCTTTCCAACTTCAAAAAAATGCGATTGGCTTATCCCTCCGTTGAAAAGACGAAGTAAAATCAGTCAACACACATCTCCACCGTACATACGCTTCATCACATAGATCCAACGGCTAAAAATAATCTAAGCCTGTGGACTTGGAAGCAAAGAGATAATGCTGAGGCGCGTGAGGCACAGTCGCCAACAGAAAATCGGGATGTTTTTTTTTTTAACTGCAAAGCCAAAAAGACAATTGTATGGTCTCTGGTAAGGTAAGGCAACAAAACATGGCTGCGTCTCCCAAGATAGGCATCGGAATTGCCTCCGTCTCATCGTCTCACCGTGTCTCCGCCGCATCATCCGCTCTTTCTCCTCCACCTCATCTCTTCTTTCTCACCACTACCACTACTACACGTCACGGCGGCTCCTTACTCCTCCGTCAACCAACCCGAACTCGCTCTTCCGATTCCCTCCGCCTCAGAGTCTCCGCCACCGCCAATTCGACGTCTTCTTCTTCAGGAGGTACTTTAGGACTTCCTCTTTTCTTCTTTCTTAAGGTTTTTGGCAGTGTAAGTAATCGAGCTCTGTGTTGGTTTTATATTTCCTAATTGCAGGCGAGATTATCGAGAATGTAGTGATTATAGGCTCCGGTCCGGCCGGTTATACGGCGGCGATATATGCAGCGCGCGCCAATTTGAAGCCGGTGGTTTTTGAAGGGTATCAGATGGGCGGAGTTCCCGGTGGACAATTGATGACAACCACTGAAGTTGAGAATTTTCCGGGATTCCCAGACGGGATTACGGGGCCGGATTTAATGGAGAAGTGAGCATTTTGATTATTTGTTAGTTTGTGGCGTTTCTTTCATGAGGCTCTATATAGAGATCATGTTTTCTGATGCAATTTTTGTGTGAAATTTGTAGAATGAGAAAGCAAGCTGAGAGGTGGGGAGCAGAGTTATATCCAGAAGATGTTGAATCTCTTAATGTCACAACTGCTCCTTTTACTGTGCAAACTAGTGAACGTAAGGTGATTATCTTTCTTTGTTTCTCACTATTTTTTTTTTCAATTCAAATTAGTTTTTATTGGCTTGAGCTCTCTTCCGATGTTTTTTCCATTTGGGTTAATTTTTTATAGGTGAAGTGCCATAGTATTATATATGCCACTGGAGCTACAGCAAGGAGGTTAAGGTTACCTCGGGAGGAAGAGTTCTGGAGTAGGGGGATAAGTGCTTGTGCTATCTGTGATGGAGCTTCTCCTTTATTTAAGGGGCAAGTACTTGCCGTGGTTGGAGGAGGAGATACGGCTACAGAGGAAGCCTTGTACCTCACGAAATATGCCCGTCATGTTCATTTGCTTGTTCGCAGAGACCAGTTGAGAGCTTCCAAGGCTATGCAAGATAGGTGAGTTCTTATATACATCACTTCCGGCCCGGGTTATATTCTACTCCTCTGTCAAAAGTAGGAAATGTGTATTGTCATAGCTATGTCATTCTTTGTCGCATGCATTGATTGCTATTCACCTGTTCCCTCGCAAATCCATTGGATATTTCTGGAAAGACTTTGGTTATGATTTCCATCCCAAGTAAATTTATAACCAACCAGTATAGTGCTTATTTCGTTTGCTGGCTGTCGGAATTATAGACTAATGAGCACAACGTAAGTTGAGTCTTTTCAACACCCTGAGTGTTTTTTTAACAGGTTGGTTATGGCGAATGTTTCAGAGTGATCAACAATCCAAACATCACAGTGCATTACAACACGGAAACCGTGGACGTATTGAGCAACACCAAGGGACAGATGTCCGGCATTCTACTCAGAAGACTTGATACAGGTGAAGAAACTGAGCTGGAGGCAAAAGGATTGTTTTATGGAATAGGGCATTCGCCGAACAGTCAGTTATTGGAAGGCCAAGTCGAACTCGACAGCTCGGGGTACGTCTTGGTTCGGGAAGGAACATCAAATACATCAGTTGAAGGCGTATTTGCTGCAGGAGATGTGCAGGTTATGCTTTGGAACTTTTAGCCATCTTTCGGTGTTGGTATTAACTCTTTGAAGTCATATTGGTTCGATAATTGTGTTAGCTACTCTCCCATTTGTCACTCTAGGACCATGAATGGAGACAAGCTGTAACTGCTGCGGGATCAGGATGCATAGCTGCTTTGTCAGCCGAGAGATACCTCACAAGTAACAATCTTCTTGTTGAATTTCACCAGGTAGAAAATTTTCAGAAATATCTTATATCTTTAAGCACACTATACAAGGCTTACACTCTTTCATGTTCATGTTCTACCACATGATAGCCTCAACATGAAGAGGCCAAGAAAGAATTCACACAACGCGATGTCCAAGAAAAGTTTGACATCACTCTTACAAAGCATAAGGGACAGGTTTGTTAACATATGAACCTTAACGTATTATCTACAAGCATTTTCTTTGCCTCACATCTTTCTCCTTGTGTTTTTTCCCCTGCTTTCAGTATGCTCTTAGAAAATTATACCATGAGAGTCCAAGAGTTATATTGGTACTATACACTTCACCAACGTGTGGCCCCTGTAGGACTCTGAAGCCTATTTTGAACAAGGTATTCATTCAATAGTCGACTTGAAATTCATCGGAAGAGATCTTGCTGGACTGATTTACTAACCATTTGTTCATTTCTCCTTCATTTTGTTTCAGGTGGTCGACGAGTATAACCATGATGTGCATTTTGTTGAGATTGACATTGAGGAAGATCAAGAAATTGCTGAAGCAGCTGGAATCATGGGAACCCCATGTGTGCAGTTCTTCAAGAACAAGGAAATGCTCAGGTTGGGAAACGTTCTCTCAGTTTTAGGATTGTATAGATTATTGTGTTCAGGTTTGGCTAAAGATTCCAAGTCTGTGCAGGACTATATCGGGTGTGAAGATGAAGAAAGAGTACCGGGAATTCATTGAGGCCAATAAATGAGGACACCAGATAGATTTTATTGTTTCTGGCAGATGCCAAATCTTATCATGATTCGATTTTGTTCTTTCAAATACTTTGGAGTTACTGGAGCAACGCCATTGAATCTCAAATGTAAACAAATAGAATCATCATATTAAGCTGCACGCATAATGTGTTGCAATTTGCTTTATGATTATTTTACGAAACTACTACCCGTCTCAAATTGGGGTGGTCAGTTTCAGTTTCAGGGACATCGTCAAGGATGAAGGGACCAAGTCTACCTGTCCTAAACAAAGTAAGAAATTTCTTGGAGACCATTAACCTTGCTTCGGATGCTTTGTGAGGAATCTTCAGAGCCTTCTGTAGAACTTCAAACTGTTGCTCTATCAAACATTCCAAATCATTCTCATCCTCTGTGTCCCCATCAAATTCTGAGAGTGTTATATACAGTGATCGTTGCACTTCTGAAATCATATCCTGTAGATGACAGGGAAACTTCATTGGTCAGGACAATTTCAGGAGGAAAGCACGGTATAGATATAAGGTTATTATGCTAACCCCGACATAGTGCAGAGCAGATGAATCTGGTTGTTTGGTTCTCTGGTGTCGAAGATCCTTTAAGTTATAGCTTGGTTTGTCAACGCAGTCTGCATGAGGCCCTTCGTTTCTTCCTTCAACTAAGTACTTCCAATGAAGAGGAGTCCCTCGAATGTTTAGAATAGCTAGAAAGTATTGTGCAATACGCTCTTCACCCACTACTGAATCTTTAACGGACCCTTAGAATGTCAAACGCATAACAATTAGCTAGGGAGATCATATGCTGTAAGAAATACGGCCCTAGAGTAGATAAACACTAAGAACTGAGATTATAAGACCTAAACTGTATCGTCTTTTGATGAAGTATATCTAGTGAACGGGTATACATGATCTAGCACATAGAAGAAAGAAGAGAAAGGAGATAAAGATATAGATAAGAACCTGAAAGAGCAAGCTTCAAACCGGTTTCGATATCAGGAATACTTGGGACCAACACACCAGGGGAGTCTAGAACATATATGCTAGGTCGATGAGCAATCTGTACCACAGAACATTTTCAGTATGTGGTCAAAAATCATGCTGGGACATAAGAAGCAAATCCACAAACCAAAGGCAAAAGGAAAAAGAGGAGGAAGAAATAAAGATTACCTTGAAACCAGCAATATCTTGTGTTACACCAGGCAATGGACCAACCGTAGCTCTCTTTAATCTCTCCTGCACTATGCACATAATGCATATAATAACGAAAATAAGCCACATTACATTTCCTTCATCATTTTGTTCATGAAATAATCAACTGGTAAGCTTAAGTTTGGAGAAATGGGATTCAGAGTTCAGACTATATCTGTGAAATGTGTATATAATACAGCCTGTAAGCTGAGACACTAATACCTTACCAGGAAAGCGAGCTGCTGCGATTTGATGGACCGAATTAATGAGGGCAGATTTTCCAACATTGGGGACACCAACCACCATTACAAGTAAAGTAGGCTCCCTAGCAATCACTTCCTTGAGCTTCAACTCCACGAGATCAAGCAGCTATACAAAATCACACAAAGAAGGTAACTTTTTCAAATTCAGAATAGTAGCAATCATTCACAAATTATGTGTGTGACAAAACTATTACTGATTTAACACACCAACCTAAATGTAAAGAGGATCATCTAACCTTCATGACAGAGCTTCTGCTATGAGCATTAATGGCAATACAATCTTGCTTGCTGGATTCGAAATGACGAGTCCATTTCTACAAATTGCAGAAAAAAATCAGAAACTCAACCTCACAGAGACTAACAAGAAGAAGAAAACAAGGACCACAAAGAAGGAATTACATTGAGAACATTAGGGTTTGCTAAATCTTTCTTATTCAGAGCAATGATACGTCTCTTAGCTGACATTTGGGATTGTAGATCCTCGTTCGCCGATGACAGAGGAATCTGCAAAAATACCAAAAAGACAACGACAATCCAGATTAATCCTTCCACGATCATAAAGGGATAGAAATAGAGAGAGATATTGTGAGAGAGTGTTTACGGACACGAGCATCGCGAACTTCGATGACGAGATCGGAGAGCTTGAGGCGGTTGCGAATAGCGCGAGTAGCTGCAGCCATATGACCGGGAAACCAATTGATTTTTCCAGCGTCTTTAGCGAAGCTCATTCCGCCGATTAAACCTTTCTTAACTGTCTTCTTCAACATCATCACCATTTTCTCCGGCAACAAACAGCTTCAGAGGAGAAAGAGGGGTTTTCTGAGGTTTTACAGCTCCTCACAAAAACACCGAAGCCAATGTGGTTATAGAAATTGGGCTTTAATATGGGCTTTATATGATTTAATTTTGGGCTTAATACGTTTACGCAACAAAACAGTTTTGACGACCCACCAGTCACCACCCACCCATTTTGGGATGCTGTAACTATATTGAGGCAGTAAGAAAATCATGGTACGGAGAAGTGGTTTCACTGGTTTAATCATTGGTACGGAGAAGTGGTTTCACTGTTTTAATCTTTGGACAGATAGATGCATTTGGCTGTCTCAACGAGAAAGGATGTCTACAACTACAAGGACAAAACGTGAAACTTGACTTGAGATTTGGGACACTTTGCTCGCTCGATAGCTTGGTAGTAGGTTGTTGTTGGCTCAAATCTCAATGGTTTGCTCATTCCTAGCTTATCTCATCTCATGCATTATTGTTTTATCTAGTTTCAACTTAGCATTTTAACTTTGCCAAAGAAACTCATTACCCGCAAAAATTTGGTAATTAACTATGTTATATTTTGGTGATACGTACAAATCCACATTTTATCCACACAAAAAAAAAATTGCGTCAGATAACTATTTTAGTTGTGTTTTTTAAAAATGGTTTCAGTTTGTTGGAGTAGTTTTATTATTAATACATGTGATATGAACACACTTATTAATTAGTGAATAATTGATAAATGATCAATATCTGTAACTACTTAGAAGATATTTATGTTGTTTTTTCTTTATTAAATGTTGTTCATCAGCTTAAGCTAATACACGTGTTTGATTAACATAATTATCATTATGTTGCTAATTGGATGGATGAGCACTTTAGGAACACACTAGTTGTTTTAGAGGATATAATTGATGGTACGAAGATTAGCAATAATTTTAGTTTCGGGTATAATGCTTTGTTAAATAGTAATGCATTATTAAGGCAGAAAAAGTCACTACCTTTGTCGGCTTAAGATCCAAAAAAAAATATCTCGTGAAAATATCTCATGCATGGAAATATCATTCACGTTGTCCTTTCTTTCTGGAGACTGTAAGGATAATGTTTTCTTTATTTGTATAATTAAATATTGTAAATCACTCTGTGCGAATACGTGGACGTGTGTTTTATACGAATATATAAGTTACATAACATCAATTATAGAGAGAGATTCAATCAATTTTGTAAAGAAAAAGTATTATTTTGTTTGGTAACGTTAGGATATTTCAGATCTCTGGTCTTTGATTTGTTCTAACCTGCAAAGATATATTAGACTATCGTACATATATTATACAATTAATTAAGTTAATGTTTATTTTGGACTTTATTTAGGCTCGATTTATGGTAAATTACTTAGCCGCGTCGACCTCTTGATCTGAAAAAAAAAAAATTAACATCCCGTTTCGTAATGAGCCATTGAGAGTAATTTATAATATTTAGTTCTTTACTTCTTTACATTCTTCATGAATGTTCACTATATTATATATCATTGCACTGATGAAACAGATTAATTGTTGATCACTAACAAAAAAAAAACATATTTTTATTTGTTCTTTTTTTTGCATTTCTATTTGTATTCATAAAAGATTATGTGTAAATAAAAGATTAAATGGTTTTATTTCTGTTTTTGTTCTCTCTCATACCTCCTTCTCTTTCAATACTACTATACTAGTTTCCACCTTTTTTGAAATGATCCAAAAAAGGATTCCTAGTCACAAGTTATATCCAAATACGTACAGTAAGAGCAATTTTAGAAATTTAAATAATTCATTTTCTCTTACTCATATATTCGGCGAATTTGTATATCTTGAACCTGTAGTTACATTCAATGATAACAAAATTCAAGGATGTATGCAAATGATCAATTTAAAACTAACAAATAACAATATTAATATGTCATACATATTACTAGATGATTATAGCGTCATACTCAACCATATGTAGGATCATTTTCTATAAATGATCGTTTCTATTATATAATATAGTTTTTTTTTTTTTGGTATCAACCAAAAGATTGAAGAATGTGCTATTGTTAAGACTACTACACCAGCTTCAAAGACAATAAAATCTCAGCAAGTCTGAAGAGCAGAAGCATAATTTGATCTAGGACAGTTTATCATGTAATATTGTTAAGTGTGTGTGCATGAAAAACAATCGATTAATGACATGGTCAGAGTTGAAAAAAGTTCATCAACTTGTTAACTCCCGTCATAATATTTGATTAACGCAACGCTGCTACAACGAATGAGATATCATTTAACTCTACTTGATCTCTAAACCTAAGAAAAAATATGAACTGTATAAGAAAAAATATAATTAAGATATAAAAAATCAAGATAATACAAAATAGGGTGTCAAAGTGATGATTGATCTATGTGACCAAAGGCATGTTACCACTACGATTGATTGAACGATCACCTATATCATGTATGTTATATGGTTGGTTGGACTTGACTCTTGAGGCACCATACGAGGCCATCCTTATATATGTATAAAAAAATATTTTTACATTTTAAAATCGAAGGTAGATAACATTAAACCCAAAAAGAGAAAGTTTTAGGATAGTATAAGGCTAATTAAGGCTCATTTATTTGACTACGAACTTTTATTATATATATTCACACGAAAATCATGATTTACCATCGCCAAATTGAGCAAAGCTAATCCATAGTGATTCCTCTTTTTATGTCGGATCCACTATATAACTATTAGATATACACTTTCTATTGGTTTTATTCTTTTAAGAAAAAATAAATCAGTGTTAAGAAATTAACATTCAAAGAGTTAGCGCACCGCAGTTATACACGTGAAGATTCACTAATTAGTCATAAACAATGTATACATATATTTAAACAAAAAAAAAATGTATACATTTGCCGGGGCAAGAGAATTCAGATTTGCCAACCCAAAAAGCGCATTGCTCCATAATATTATAATGCCTAATTTTCAAAATTATATTATAATGAGTGTTATAAAATACTCTAGACGCTACTCGGGCGATAAATCATTATCTAACGCCTAACTGTATCGTATATACGGTAAATATATTTTTGTAAATATATATATATATATAAAATAATATAAATATATTGCACATATATGTAAAAATATTAAATAAAAACTAAAGTCTAAGTTAAAATGATGTTAAAAATAAGTCTAAAAAAAAAGTCAGTGATAATAGTTAAAAACAAAATCTGCGGTTCGTTTGGCCTAACACAAAAACATAACATAGTTGTTTGATTCTTTGTAAATTTAATTACATACAATGTTAATCTAATTCGTTCAACATGATTAATTTGACTTTAAACAAATTCTAGTGTTGTATACGAAATGCATCTCACGTAAACATCTAAATCAAGCATGAGATGCCATAGAAACTAAGAGACTAAGACACAATAAAAAAGTAGGTAATGAACTAATAAACAGAGATAACAAAATAATAATATAGTTAGGGTTTTCTCTCTTTATTAGTTTATTTTTAAAATACATAATTAATTTATTCTTTATTTAATGAACCGAAAGAACATCATCACTTAGTTAAAATATGAAAAAGGCATTTCGTATATACGGTAACCGTATAACCGTATAAACGTTTGTATAAGCACTGTATATTCAGCCGTATTAACTTTAATCGTATTTATTAAATATATAGCTTAAAAACGATACATTGGCTTACCATACACCGTATAGACGCCATATACGGTCGTTTAGGACGTATTTTAGAACAAATTTATAATGCATATATAATAGCATAGGTTAATTAAATCAGAAACACAAATACTGCATACATTTTCCTCCTACGGGATATAAGATATATTTAGAAACGAAAAATAATTTATAAGAATAGCCAGCTTTAACAAATAAAAGGATTGTTATTTTCATTTCAAATATTATTCATCAAAATTAGTATTTTGTCACATGTGGATTTCCATCCATATTTTGTTGGAAAATTATAAAAAAAATAGTTGTCGTAAATTATATTGAAAATGTTATTTGGATTTGATAATTTATATATCGTATGCTAATTTCAGTAAATTATTTCCACCAAGTCATGTTATTTTATATCCCAAGAAAAATGGAGGAAGAGATCGATCCGTTAAAAGAAAAGAATATAGAAAGAGAGGATCATATGAAGACGGAAGTGTAACAAATAAAAAACAGGAAGACATGATGCAGATTAGATTTGCCCGAAGAAAAAGTGTCAATATTAAAATTGTTATGGCGAGGGCATGTGTTCATGATGTGTTCTATCTGGAATCAGGTGTACAATTTAGCTTATTTAATCAATAATGCAACACCTTATATGATATGCATGGATACATGTGCCTTCTGAGTATATATCTATCATTTATAGCATGACTAACTAAAAGTTTTGTGTGTAGCGCTAGCTATATATTGCTAGCCACATATATATTATTTTCTGATGTTTTTTCCCGTATACTAAATTTATGTACAAGTGATGACTTTTAAAAGTCTATGAAACAATATTTGTGGGTTAGCTAGGTTTATATTGCTCGATTTGCCTTCATGATTTCTCATTTTCGGAGACTCAAGGAAAGCTACCTGCATGCGCGATTTGTTAAGTAGAAATTGGTTTAAATTGCTCCTTCCGTAGTTTTCTGATTCACGTACAGTTCCATTCCTCTTTGTATTTTTCCCGTAGGAACAACGAACAACTTAGTGTTTCCGTTCGACACACAAGTTTTTGTGATCTTTGTGGAGTAATGGAAAATAACGTCGATCGATATTCATTGACCTACGACTTGTTACTATAAGATATAGTAAAAATCTGTTTATATAGCACATGCACTTCTACTGATGTAAACTAAAACAAGGTAGCACATGCACGCTTTTCTCTTTTTGGAAGAAAAATAAACCTTTACAATTTTATTGGAAATATGCTTCTCTTTTTTTCTAATTGGAAAAGTCACAACTGTGGTCTTTACATTTCTTGTCTCCATATATATGATCCGCTCTATCGTCTAGGCTAGCTATGATGCATAAACGTATAGCACGATCGATATGTATTTGTATATATATCAGATTAATATAATGGCCGATGCATTTTGTTTTAATATTTCACATGTAGGTATGCATGCATTAATTTTCCTTTTTAAGCTTTCTATTTTGGCTGTATTAATTTTCCTTTTTAAGCTTTTTTGTTGTAACTTTTGTACAGAAAAAATCAGAAAATTGGTATAAAATTTAACCTTTTACCAAAAAAAGGTATGCATGCATTTCATATTATAATACAGAGCCCGCTAATTATTGCTTGGTATCGATTTAACGATTTTATAAAAGTTTTGTTTGTTTTTTTTAAAAAAAACTTTTCATTTTGTACATTAGATTTATGAAGTTTATCAGAACTAGTTATTTTAATTGATCTGGAACTTAAATTTTTAAAAATATATATATATATATATAACTTTTTGTAAAGTCTAAAACAATAGAAATATTTTGGAGTTAGGAGATTAGGATTTTTTCACTGCTATTCTAATCATAGTTGATCAATAAAAATATTTTGAATTAGAATTTAGTTTGGATTTCAGTTGACGATTCTGCGGTTATTTTATATAAAGTAACAAGAATGGAAAACAAATGTGGTCCTAAAATGCAAGGAAGTTTTTGTAAAAGGGAATTTTTGGCTTTGCGGCTGTTTGATGAGATTTTGGACTTTTGTCCACTAATTTAAAGCCAATCCCTGTGGGGTTTTCCGCTCTTTCCCACCCACTTTTTTTTCACGATCCATCCCTCTATTTTCCATCTCCTTATACTTCTTCCCCATACTTTAATATTAGTTTCTGGTTTTATATATTCTCGCATATTCCATAAATGATAATAGCTCTAAATTCTTATGTAAATTAACTAATTCAATTCTTATGTAAATTAACTAATATCTTTTATATATTTTTACACATATTATTCCTTAATTTTTTTTTTTAGTTTACATACAAATGTAACTGACTAATTTGATGGTTTTATATGCTAAATCTTGAATAAATAAATAAAAAAGGTGTTTGGTTATGATTTTGATTGTTACACGTTACAACTCAAAAGCAATCCCGCTTTCTACATAATATACTATTGTTTAGTTTAAACTAAATCGCTCGCTGCTTTACACGTAAAATCGAATTCGCATTGCTCAAATAAAATACTAGTAAGAGTTTATAATAAAAGACAATGAGAATCTTAAATTGGCATTAATCATGACGGACCATGTGGGGATCTTCATGCCTTGCATATAAGCAACCACAAACTAATAATCAAATCCTTCTTTTCTTCTTATTGAACAATAACAAAGTCACAAAAATACCACACATCAAATAAACAACTAGAAAAACAAAACATTATCATACTCTAGGCCACCTCTCTCTCTCTCTCTTTCATATCAATATCGCTTACATATATTTCATGACAAACATTGCATTCATCATATCACATATATATAATAATACGTCATTTAAGACATTTTCAAATTTTAACAAAGTCAAATTGTCTTCTTTAATTTATTATATTCTAAGAAGAAAAATACTGAGTTCTGGACCTCCGTTTTTGTCCGGGTTCATCATGTAAAACGCCTCCGAGTCACGGCTCCCAACGACTCGTTCAAATTTTCCTCTCATATACAACAGCTCCCCAAGCTCCGTTCCACTACCAACACCGGACACGTCATCAATAGTCTTCGGCGTCGGAATAACTCCGGCTCCAACAGTAACCCTAGAGACCGTGTTCAACACGCGCCAATCCGTGTCAGTACACGCCCCGCCACGTGACACAGCGTAACCGCACTTTCTCCCGTTGCAGTACATCGTCCATTTGGGCTCTTGGAAAAGCTTCGTTCCTGATCGATGACGCTTCTCGCACTCCAAAGCGATCCTGACGAGCCCCGAGGACATCTCTTTGACGAGAGTTGCCGTTGACATGGCCAGGTCCAGGAGCAAGACCGGGTCGGATCTCTGGTTGTACTGGACCGAAAACGTGACGTGGCCTCTTTTGTGTCCGTACAGAGTCCCGGTAACTCTTCTCCCGAGAGAAGAGGATCCACCGGTGACGAGTGAGATCAGTTGGTTAGAGACGCCGGAAGAAGAAGACGGCGGAGAGGGAAGAGAGAGGATTTTGCAAGCGGGGATATTAATGATGTTGATGAAAGAACGCAAGAGCAAAGAAAACTTCAAGTGGAGTTTCCCGATATTGTTAGAGGACGACGATGAGGAGGAGAGAGGGACGTAGGAGCATCTCCGGCAAGGAACGAGGAAGAGTTCGTGCTCAGGTATGCTTGGGATTAAAGCGGAGGAAGAAGGAGAACGGACGTGTGAGCTACGCGCCGGAGAAGCCACTGGATTGATCTTTCTTGAGTTGTAGCTGAAGCTTCTCTGAAGAGAGAGTTCTTGGTATGGCACCATTTTCTTATGATATATATGTCTCAATATAATGGATCCACTGAGAAATTAAGAGGGATGTTATATGTGTGTAGATTATTTGAGGAGGAAGGAAGGAAGAAAGCGGCCGACCAAAGTGATGATGAGTGTTCGAAGAGGTGTGGCCGATTTGTGTGTGTATTTATACACATTTTGCATGAATATTTATTGCTTATCATTTGGGAGGCCCCCATAAAATTAAACATATATTGTTAGTTTATTAAGGATAACATTATTATAGCTAGAAAACATAAGAGTTAGTTTAACAATATAAGTATTAGTAATTTAGTACAGTATATTACTTGTTACCAATACGCATCCAGGATCCATACGCATGTGTATTGATTATCTTTTGCAATATGTGTTTTCATTAGCTTATTTTATAAAGTACACTTTTGGAGATTAAAATAATTAATTAGGCGAATATATATGATATGTAGTTGTTAACAAAGGGTATGTATACGATATGTAATGTTTTTTCCTTACGTATGATAGTTTGGTATAGTTGTCTCTACAATTTTATACAGTCAGATTTCACTTTCATTATCATCAAAGTCTCGCCTCCATTTTTATTAAAAGAAAATAAAAAAGTCACGCCCCAATACTCTAATCCCAACCGTCCATTAAGGTAGGTCCACGATGGACCCGGCTAACAAATTGTTAATTTTGATTTGATTTTGGAATTTTGTTTTGCGTTGACGCTCTCTTTGATCAATATGTTGACATTTGGATCAGATAAAATGACAAGGGACAACGCAACTGGAGTCGTTGAACATTATGGTTTTGGCTTTAAACGGTGTCGCAGAGATGCTTTTCCATATTGTCCCGGTCGTATGTAGTGACGTGGCTCATAAACGAAAGAAAACGATACAAAATACATTGGGATGTTAAAATATCACTTCTTTATGGTAACTAACAACATCACAAAAAAAACATGCGTCAAAAGTTTGTGTAAATAATGTTACCGATATACATAATATATCTACTATGCAGGTTAAAGTTGTTTTCTTGATTAAATTTAAATGTATAAATACGATACGTAATTATACTTTTATAGTATAAGTTAATACGTGAATGGAAATCAAGGCTGGAAACCATATATATATGTAGAGAGACCTAACTATCTCTAGTGTCACAAGCTAGTTATTTCAAAACTATTGTATACTTTACTTAATAATAACACAATCAAGTTCTCAATGATTTCTTCTCATCTTATTTGCAGATGGAAAACAAGATTCTTAAGGAAATGGATTAGATACGAGCAGAGAGACTAAGAGAGCATAGTCGAGGATTAAATTCTATGTGTGTTAATTTCTCAGATGAGATTTTGAACACTCATAAACGAAAAGAACATGATAAGTTCGTGTTATGATATTATTAAAGACTACGGATACGTTTTAAAACAAAAATTGAAACACTACGGATTCGTGTTGTAATTAAGCAACATTTTAAGTTGATTATTGGAACGTAATACACAAACCCAAATAGTTGATTTAGTTTTAGTTTTTATTTTTATAAGATAGAATGTTTAGTTTTTATTATTTATACTGAATTGAATTTGGTTAGATAGTTCGCTTTAATCGAATTTGGACACTACTACTTGATTACTGTACTAAAATTTGAACACATCACGTGAATACTACAGTATCTCCTATTACACTGGAATTTAAATTAATGAAAGGATATCGGGACGAAGAAGGTATGACATAGTGTATGTGTTCGAATATTAGTGAACCACATCGACTATTAGAGAACCACAACTTAACAATTCTTAGAATTAATCATAACCATCCTATGTTTAAATTAAGTGTGAGGCCACAAAGTACCCATAAATTCGCACGTAACCTTGCTTTCATTATAATTAATCAAAACCATCTTAAGCTAAAAGTGTTTTAGTTGAAACCGATAATATAAAAAAGTGAATATATTACAAAGGGTGATCCAATTACGGTATTCGGGCGGTTCCAAACATGAGATATGGTTCCTTGTTAATGATGTAACAATTACCATGTTGGTTACCTAATTAACTGAATCACAAACTGCAAATTATCGGACACATGGTTTCTTTGATTGACTGGTCACTTGTATGACACATTTTTAAAATTCCACCTCAATAAGCACTTAAGCCTATTTCATTTGCGATGGAAGAAAATAAAACAAAACACATAAACTGTAGATTATAAGTCATAAAATTTTCGATTTTGTTTCCAACAAATAACCATAATTATCATTTTTTTTGTTAACTATATTTATGATTGTGTATAGAAATGCCAACATATTTCGAAGAATCTATATTATATGATTATGACGACTTATACATGATGTGTATAAGTCACTCGACTCTGGCAGACCGACCTGGTCTCCGGCATGCTCTTCCGCTGATAACAATTATGGAATCTTCTGAGCTTTCTTGAAACGAGAAGAAGTCTACATTGCAAGGAAGTGTCAGCATCCTTGTCATTGTCCAATGAACATCTCTCGGGCTCAGCTAACCCAGAGACTGATTCCTTGTTGGTGTGGCAAACAAGCTAAGAAAATGTGTGAATAGAAGAAGCGATTCAGATACACTAGTTACTAAAAACATATAATATACACTGATAGATAAATTTTTACCTCTCCGCGCAGCCATGCTTTTTGTTCTTGTATTGGGTCCAACTTTTGGTTAATACAAGCCGTCAAAGCTCGTAATATCTGAATGTGAAGTATGGACAGGTCGAAGAAAGTCATACCCTCGAGCTCTCTACCATTCATTCTCCTGTGAGATGAAAGAAAACCCAAAATGAAAAAAAAGAAACAGAGACTTTTGCAGAGCAAGAAATGGGAAATGGTACTAAGTTATTACTCGTTAAAAAGCCATAATCTGTCGAACTCGCTCTGCAAGGATTCAGAGCTGCGTCTCTCGAATCCCCTCTTCATTTCCAGCTGCAAGGATTCAGGGCTTCGTCTCTCGAATTCCCTCTTCGTTTGCAGCTGCAAGAAAAATGAGCATATTTAAGACACAATCTGAGGAAAGAAAAGAGATAGGAACAGAAGAGAATATACACGCACCAGTGGTGCTCCACCATTTGGATTCTCCTGTCTTTCTCCCAAGCTGTATTATATATGCAGAACAAGTCGGCCTTTACTTTTACACAATTGGTTTTGATGATCAAAAAGCAAAACATCATAACGTGGTGTTATGCCTCTCAGATTCTGAGAGATGAAGGATTCAACTCCTACTGTTGAGTCCAATAGTAGCTAATAATCCAAGAAAAGGACGAAACTACAACTGATTTTGGTTTATATAGCTCATAAAAAAGCAGGTTTGTTTCATATACACTCACTTCGACAGAAGAAACCCTAGAAAATGGAACCATTTGCACTGAGACACAAATTGTTGTGACGAAACCCAACAAAGATAACTCAATTCTTTAGCAGAGAGATTACCTGCTGGCAGAGAATTTGCAAGGAACCAAAACCCCTCTCCTCGTACCATCAGCCTCATGATCTGCTTCCTTCTTCTGCAAAATCGTAGGGGTTTGTGATATATGTTAAAATATGTAATTACCCGAAAAAAGAAAGAAAGAAGAAAAAGTTGAGAAAGCTTAAGAACTTGCAAGGAACTTTAAGAAGAAGAAAAAACAGAAGCAAAAGCAATGGCCTTGTGAGAGATTATAGACTGGAAAGGGTAAAACTGTCGTTCCTCAAAGATTCACAAACAAAATTTGGATACAGGGCAAAATAAAGAAGAGAGCTAAATTATGAATTAGAAACTTTACCTGTTTTTGCAGCCTTTCATCTTCTTCCAGCTTTATCTTCTTCTGCAATAACCAATCGTTAAAGAAAATTCTTGAGAATTACGATACCTTCAATAAAAGGAGAGAAAAAAAAGAAGAAAGTCAAGTAATATATATTTTCCCCCTACTTCACCTTTTGCTCCAGCACAATGGGTAGGACATTCTTAAGGTGACTTTCAAGAGCTAGCAGCTCGGTGAAGCTGACACCATCGTCCTTACCAGTCATTCTCCTGGAATTATGAAAGAAAAGCACATGAACCAAAAGGAATAATTGAACAATAAAGTGGGAAACGCAGGCAGGCAGGCAGGCATACTTGATCAAAAGCCGTAATCTCTCGACTTCTTTCCGCAGCTGCAAGCAAGAACATAGGTATAAAACACAAAGAGATAGATAGATGAGTGTATATATATATATATACACACATACCATTGCTTCATTGTCTTGCTCCAGCAGCTTATCTTCAGAGCTGCATCCATATCTGGAAAAGGTTAAGGGCTTTAGGTTTAACTGTTTGCTAAATACTCTGATTCAATCATATCATCAGATTGAGAGTCCAAGATCCAACGAAGCAGAGTAAATAGCTAATCAAGAAACCTAAGAAGCAGATTTTGTGATGGTTCCCATATCTCAAATGACCTAAAGACCTAAATCAACAATAAAACCCTAGAGAATCGAACCCTTGTTCGTCAAGTCTGTCTGTGTGAGAATTACCTGCTGCTGGAGAATTCACAGAAACTGCAGGACACTCCTCTAGTCTTGGTCTTTGGATCTTTGAGCTTTATTGAAACATTTGGTGATGGAACATGATGCTCATCATCCAATGAACATCTCTCCTGCTCAGTTCCCGGAACCTCTCTTAACAGAGATCTGCGCTTCTTAGCGATTTGTTCCCTTGTTGGTGCATACATATGCTCCAGCAAATCCTGCAATCCAATTACTATCTTAACTTCAAGTAAGCCCAGCTCGCCATGATTCATACCGTCAAGCTGTCTACCGTTCATTCTCCTGTCAGATTCAAGAAAGAAAAAAAAACCATCAGAAACAAAGTGAAACTGACATCGACTCTGAAGAGAGCAACAAGTGGGATGGCGAGTCATTACTCCTTCAACAGCCATAATCTCTCGTATTCAATCATCATGGTTTCAGCATTTCGTCTCTCGAATTCTCGCTGAAGTTTCGACTGCAAAAAGAGATGCACATTTATAACAACACAATGTGGGGCAAAGAGAGAGGCAGGACTGTGAATGAATATAATATACATACCAGCCGCGGCGGTGCTGGTGCTTCATCATCTTGTCTCTCTCCCGTGCTGTACATATACCAAGACCAAATCAGGCTTTAGTTTTGCACAGTCAATAATGTGCACCAGACAACTACAACTTAGAACCAAAAAGTTCTTCTAATTAAGCTAGGAAGGAGGAGACTACCTGCTGGTAGAGAATTTGCAGGGAACAGTAACCTCTATCCCCACACGATCATCGCCCTTCCTCTACAAAAATGTAAGAAAGCTACAAAGTTGGAAGATATTACAAGAACAACATGAACAGAAGCTCCTCGGAGATTCACAAACAATAATTTTACCCGTAGAAGCATCCATTCATCATCTTTAAGCAGCTCTATCTTCTTCTGTAACAGTTGTAAAAAAAGAAAAAGATGTTTATTTAACACTTTGAATGATAGAAGAAAGAAGTAAGATGCATTATTTCTTATATTCCCCCAATTTTAAAATTTGTTTACTCACCCTTCGGTCCTTCACAATGAGCAAGGCAGTCTTTAAATGGCTTTCAAGTAATAGCAGCTCGGGGAAAGTCATACCGTCGAGATCCTTACAAGTCATTCTCCTGGGAATAATATAAAGGATAACTCATAAGAATCACAAAGGAAGAGAGGAGAGGGAAAAAAAAAAACAGATTACTTTCAGAACAAGAAATGGGAAATGTTAATGAGTTAAGACCTGGTCAAAAGCCGTAATCTCTTGAGTTCGTTCTCCATAGACTAGAGAAGAAGTGTGAAAAACGATATGTGAGCAAAACCAAAAAAAAAACAGAAATAAGATATCAAAGTCCATATAAGATACATTACCACTGCTTCGTGATCTCGTTCGTGTGGCCTTTGTTCATCATATCTAGAAAGAGTTTGCAAACACAGAAAACAGTTGTTTAGGTGACTACAAGAAAAAGAAAAAAACGAAACGAAGAATCAAAAAAGATCTTGCGCGATGGTTAGGGTTTATAACTCATATATAAACAACGGGTTCCATTTATCTCAATGACCTAGGAACTAGAAAATACTGTATAACCCTTTCCGCAAGAATCGAAGCTAATAATAATAATTAATTCCGCGAGTTTACCTAATGGTGCTGCTGGAGAATCCGCAATAATCGCAGAGCTCTCTCACCTTCTTCTTCTTCTTCGTCAAATCTCTTCGCCTCCCCTTCAACTTCATCTTAATCTTTCCTCTCCCCATTATCGACATCTCTAATCGGATCGACGAAACCCAAAGTTAATATCTGATACAAGAAAAAGCAACTCTTGTGTAATGTAGAGAGAGAGAGAGATGGTTATCCAAGGCAAACCTTAATTATTATTTCCAAATTTATTATGGAAAACGGAAATAGGAAAAAGTTACATTACACTCCCTTCCAATTTTGTTTTTTCCATTTTTATTTAACATATGTTTTGTAAAAATAAATAAAGGAAATTCTATGTTTGGCCTTTTTTATTCATCGGAAATTGAGTTACATTATTTTCTTTGTCCTTTGCATTTGAGTTAGAGACATTGCTGACTATGAAATGTCTAGTTGCTGACTATTTTTTTTTTTTTTTTTCATAAGGATATATATTACTAGCTAATTGAATCACGATGCTAGAACAAACAATCAAATTCATTCTCAAGACAAAGGAGCACATAATTTAGACATTAATTGAATTTCCATGCATGCATGATCTTAAATCCTTAATCTCTCTATTATTTGATTTATTTCTATAATTAAGCTCGATTTTCTTTTGCAATTAAGAAATTTACAAGTATTTGAAACAAAAGGTTGGTCTTAGAATCTTCATTTTATTTTCAACAGCTTTTGGTTCGTGAATTGAATTCTTTTAATCTAAGTATGATCCAAATTAAACACCTAAAATGAACACAAATAGACCTAGAATGCTACAAATTCCATGAAAGAACATTGTCCCTTGTAAATTCATAGGGTGGTGGACTATCCGGATCTAGGATTATAGGATCATCTTTGCTTTATTCATCATATGAAAAGCTCTCTTTCGGCGCAATTTTGTGGCCAACTTCTTCACCGGTTCTCCATAGTATGTCTCTGCCAAAAACCAGATCAATCGGAAGTCGCTCGACTCTGACAGAGCGATCTGGTCCTAGGCAAGCTCTTCTGTTGATAACGATTGTGGAATCTTCTCAACTTTCTTGAAACGAGAAGAAGTCTAAATTGCAAGAAAGTGTCATCATCTTTTTCATTGTCCGATGAATATCTCTCGTGTTCAGCTAGCCTCGAGACTGATTCCTTCTTGTTGTGGTAAGGTAAACAAAGTAAGAAACGATTAGAATAGAAGAAACGGTTTCGATTAACTACTACTTAGAACACTGATAAATCTATACCTCTTCGCGCTCCCTTGCTGCAATTTGTTCCCTTCTTGGTCTCATCATTTGGTCATCCAAATCCAACAAAGCCCGTGATATCTGACAGTAAAGTGAGACCAGTTGGGAGGATGACAAACCCTCGAGCTCTCTACCGTTCATTCTCCTGTGAGGATGGAAAAAAAACAAAACCAAATTGAAAAGCTGAGAGTTTTGCAGAGCAAGAAGAGGGAAATGCTCAAGAGTTATATTACTCGTTAAAAAGCCACAATCTCTCGAACTCGCTCTGAAATGATTCAAAGTTTCTTCTCTCGAAATTACTCTTCCTTTCTAGCTGCAAGAACAGGAGCATTTTACATACACAAGCTGAGCATTTTATAAAAGAGACAGGACAAGAAGAGAGTGTACACAGACCAGCATCGCTCCATCATCTTGTTTCTCCAGTCTTTTTCCAGAGCTGAATATGTTCATAATATATGCAGAGCAAGTCAGGTTTTAGACTTACACAATAAACAAAAAGCGAGATATCCTAACTTGCTATTCTGCACCAAGACAGCTACAACTTAGAAACCAAGTGATATCTCTCAGGATAAAGGATTCAAGTCCTACTGTCGAGTCCAATACAAGTAACAAGCAAAGAAAACGACAAAATCAAAATTGATATTGGTTCACAACTCATTAAAAAAAAAAAACAGGTTTCACTTTCATATATGGTTCACACAAGCACTACTAATTCAACAAAAGAAACTTATCTGCATAGAGGTACAACAAAACCCGACAAATAAGTTCATTTTTTAGCTAGGAGAATACCTGTTCGTCGAGACCAAAACCCCTCTCCTCGTACCATCACTCTCATTCTCAGCTTCCTTGTTCTGCAAAATTGTGAAGATGTAAGAAAGCTTCAAACATAGTATATATTGCAAGAACAACAAAAGAAAAATAGAAAACATTGTCTTCTTGCTCGTAAATTAAATAAGACTTGAAAGGGTAAAACTGAGGGTCCTCAAACAATGATTTTTACAGAATGAGACGCTAGCAAATTTTATGAATAAAAAAAATTTACCTGTTTGCGCAGTCTTTCATCTTCTTCTAGCTTTATCTTATTCTGCATTAGTTAAAACAAGATTGTTGAGAATTACAACATCGAAGTGAGTCGGAGTTCATTCTTCCCTATCCCCCGTAAATGAAGTTTCCTCACCTTTTGGTCCAACACAATGCGCTTAACATCCTTAAGATGGCTTTCAAGTGCTTGCAGCTCGGTGAAATTTGCATCGTCGTCTCTTCCAGTCATCCTCCTGAGAGTATGAAAGAAAAGTCAAAGTCATACAAACCAAAATGAATCAGAAGAACAAGAGAGTAGTAAATGTAAACTTAGGCATATATACATACTTGATCAAAAACCGTAATCTCTCCACTTTTTCCCGCAGCTGCAAGAAGAGGAGAAGTGGAATATAAACAAGAACAAAGAATCAAAGATAGAAATATGAAGAGAGAGAGAGATGGAAATTCATTAGATGATATAAATTTTGTTGCAAAAAGAGGACATAAGGAATTGTATATACCACATTGTCTTGTTCCTGAAGACTTTGTTCAGAGTCACATCCGTATCTGGAAAAAGGTCAAGGCTTTTTTTTAGCTCAAAGAGATACTATTGGCTAAATGATTGATCAAAGCATTCTCCTTTTCAATCATAATCATGTTGCAGAGGACAGCGAAGCCCAGTAACTAGATAGATAAGCAATAATAATCTAAAGATGCAGATTTGGGGATGGTTTCCATATTCCAATTACCACAGACTAATTCAATAGCTAAAACCTACCTGCTGCTGGAGAACTCGCAGAAGTTGCACCCCACTCTCATCTTCTTCGTCAAATCTGTTCGCTCAGAGAGATTCTTTTCCAAAAAAGTATATTAATAGACTTAAAAAGAGGAAATTAAAAATAAAAAAAAAGGAAATAAAGAGCTTTATTTGGGCTGCGTTTATAAGAAGAGTTTATGTACTTAAAAAGCGTTTATTTGGGCTGCGTTTTAAGGCCTATTTAGAACCCTATAAATCCGGTTTCGACCTTGACGGACATCAAATGAACACAAATAGACCTAGCTAGAATGCTACAAGGACGACACTCTAGAACAACTAAGGTTCAACATGAGCCAGTTGATGACGTATATTCAATCAACCTCCACATGATGACTGGCTAAGTGTTGTGACCAGAATGGAAACTTCATTCACAAGGTGACCATGGCAATAGCTAGCAGCTTCCAATGCTATACATACCTTACTTTGACTGGATGGATCCATAGCTTCTCACTCCAGAAGCATCCTCATCCCCTTCATCCCTCCTGGAAATCCATTAGCCGGACAAACCATTTCAGCTTCAGTCATCTATACATGCACACCAGGGGAAACTCAACTACTTAAGAAACTCACTTCAGGTTTCTATAAAGCTGATTGGTATATCCTAGGGTCTTTTCTAATCCAGTGATGCCTACCTCAACCAACTCAACCATTCTCACGTTGATCACCAAATCAACCATCTCAACTCAAACCTTCAAAATTCATCTTTAAACTAGGAATTGGTGTTACGTGCTAAATCCTCAAAGTAATAGAAATGAGAGTGCTTGAGTGCGAATGAAACATTCAAGTTAGATATATGCTTCCCTTCTTTTTTGAATGTTTTTCCAAAACTTACTTTTGTTGAATCTTGAACCATCGATCCAAAATTGGACCAAATGTTTGACTTTGGTTGAACTTGTGTAAATAACATTATACGATTCAGAATATAAAACTATTCACATATGCAGAAGAATAAACAAAATGCGAACATGTCATTCCTACTTAAGATTGCGAAAGGAAAACAGTGATACTTAAAAGTCAAACTAAAGAGACTCATAGTCCGAAAGTATACAAGGGAGGAGACGATAAAAGATAAAATTATGTCAAAGTAAATATTAGGGAGGGTAAATAAAGAGAAGAAATCAATCGAAAGAAGCAGCTACATGAGTCTAGCATAGCATTGCATTTTGTTCCATTCTTGGTCAGGTCATATATGATGATGCTCATGCACTCCACGTAATCCTTGGTATATCTGACTTATAAGTAAATGCAGCTCGGAGAAAGTCATACCTGTCAGCTTTCTACCATTCATTCTCCTGTAAGGATTCAAAGAAACCCATAAGAACCAAAGTGAAAAACATTATTTTGCAGAGCAACAAGTGTGAAATGTCATTACTCCTTCAACAGCCATAATCTCTCGAATTCGCTGTGCATGGATTCAGCTTTTCGTTTCTCGAATTCTATCTGCGTTCGCGACTGCAATAACATAAGCAATGAGAGGCAAGATAAGAGACATGACCGCAGGGTGAATATACATCTATATGTATATATATATAGGTACCAGTGGTGGTGATCCATCATCCTGTTTCTGTTGTCTCTCTCCGGAGCTGTTATATATCCAATCATATACCCACAACAAGTCAGGCTTTACTTTTGCACAATTGGTTCAGTAATCAAAAAAGTAAGACAACATAATGTGTTTTTCTGCACAACCTTAGAACCTAAGTGATCTCTCTCATATTCTAAAACACCAAGGACTCAACTCCTCCAATTTAACAGAACAAAGAAACGAGAAGATTGGATTCTGCAATAAAAGAACTGATTCCCATATCTTTTTTCTATTACCCAAGTACTGATTCAACAAAAGAAACCCAAGACAATCGAACCAACCCTTTGGACATAGATAGATACAAATTGTCATAACCAAACCCAACCAAAATTTTCCTTTTTATTACCCGCGGTTAGAGGATCTGCGAGGAACCAAAACCCTTGTCCTCGGACCTTCATTCTCATCCCCTGCTTCCTTCTTCTGCAAAAAAAAGCAGGGGTTCACTATTTATGTCAAATAAAGATGAAAATAATTGGGAAAAAATGTAAGAAAGCTTCAAACATTGAAATAACTACAAGATCAAACATGCTGATTTCTCCCTCATAAATTCACAAATAAATCTTGTTGAGCGACACTGAGGTAATGTACTGTTTAAAATCTTTACCTGTTGGCGCAGCCTTTCAGCCTTTTCCAGCTTTATTTTGTTCTGTAATAATGTAAACAAGATTTTTCACTACTAATAGGAGAAAGAAGAAATCTCATCTGTTTACTCGTATAAATTTGTGTATTAACCTTTTGGTTAGTCACAATGACCAAGACATCGTTTAGATGGTCTCTAAGTAATTGCAGCTCCGCGAAACTCAAACCGTCGAGATCCTTACCAGTCAATCTCCTGGGAATATAAAGGGGAGCTCATATGAACAGCAGTTGAAAGAAACAGAGAAACTTGAGAGCAAGAAACGGTTACATACCTGGTCAAAAGCCGTAATCTCTTGAGTTCGCTCTCCATAGACTAGGCAAGTGGTGTAAGAACAATATGTGAGGCAAAACAGAGAGATAAAAAGTTGAAAACGAAATTTGTGTATGTATATACATACCAGTGCTTCATGTTCTTGTTTGTGTGGTCTTAGTTCATATCTGGAAAGAGATTGCAAACCCAGAAGAAGTCAGGGTTTAGGTTAAACGGTTGGTTTGATGAGTAATAATAGTGTTGCTGAGTAGAATCATGAACTAACAGATCAAAACTTAGAAGCTACAGCTAGAGGATCTCTATAGATTTATCTCAGCTTAGAATTAGAACTGAAAAAAAACGGGGTTCCATATCAATTACCTAAGAGCTAATTCAACAACAAAACCCTAGAAAGTAGAACCCTTGTTCGTCAAATGTTAATGTGAGATATACCTGCGGCTGCTGGATAATCCGCAGAAATCGCAGATCACTCTCACCTCCTTGGTCAAATCTCTTCGCCTCCTCTTAAGCTTCAGCTTCATCTTCATGGCTGAGAAAGAGACGGCGATTGCGAGATTCTTCCAATTTTATTTACGATATGTTTTCTTTTCTTTTTGTACTTAAAAATTTCCTTAAAAATCAAGGAAGAGTTATTTACAAGTCCAAAAGTAATCATATAGCGACTAAATACGCCAAAATCCAAATTTCTCTTATATAATAGAAAGCACAATAAGAAATCTCCAAGTTATATCAGATTACAAGAGCTAAAACATTAGCAACTAAATACGTCATTAAGTACATAAGCTTAATTTGCAACGACCCCTGAAGACATTAAAGGGGCAAACAGCGCCATATTAGGGCTGCTCCATACGCTTCTCCAGCTCTTCCTTAGCCTTAATCACCACATTTTCCAACAGTTTCTTCAGTTCAAGCAGCTCCTCCGTACTCATGTTCTTCAGATCTGACTTCACAGCAGTTAGACTTTCAATAAAGTCCTTGAACCCATTTGGTTTCTTTGAACCGCCGTTCCCAGATGCATTCATGCTACAATAATAAAAAAAAAAGGTTACAAACGAAAACATCTAAGAGAATTTCTAGGGTTCGAAAATAGGATTATGTTGTTGTTACCTTGATGCCGCCATTGTTGGTAAGTAGGGTTCCTCACTCTTCAGATCTTCAAAGTCAGAGACGAAGAAACCTTTCTTGTATACTTATTTATTATTGGGCCACTCGGCCTTTCTATCATGGGCTATTGATACTATTATAATAAACACATGACGACAAAGTCCAAACTTTGTTTATCAATTTCAAAATTGGAATTTGATAGTCAATAAATATTTTTGTAGGGAGAAAAAAAATACAGTATCCAATATTTTTATTTTTTAGGGTGTGCTTCAAAATTTCCTAAAATATTCAAAAAAATTGATTTGTTATCTTAGCGAATAATAAGTTTTTTCCTTGATTAAAAAAAATGAATTTAATTGTCATTCAACTTTACAAAAAAAAACACGCAACACTTTCTTCTGCTTCTTAATCTTCTCTATGTAACAAGTAATCTTCTCTAAATCTCCTTCTAACGGAGAAATCATACGAACGAGTTAACGTTTCTCTGAATCTTTTCAAGTCAAGCTTCACGTTTTGTCCTTGTAGATATATTTTCTTCGTATATTCCCATCCTTTATCGTTGAGACTATCCGGATCTCGGATTATAGGATCATCTTTCCCATATTCTTCATATAAAGAGCTCTCTTTCGGCGCAATTTTGTATCCAATGTACTTCAATCCTAGCTTCTTCGCCGGTTCTCCATAATATGTCTCTGCCGCCCAATCGGTCCCTAACGGGATGATCTGAATGAAAACGGTTTTCGGTTTCAAGAAAAGGAAATGAGTCATTGCTGCTCCATGTACACCGATCATCACATCGCTGGTGTTCAACGAACGATAAATCCTAGCCATTTCCGTTGTTTTTTGTGGTCTTAGAACCTCAACATTGAATCCTGTTTCCTCTGCTAGCTCCACAAGAAGATTCTCGTTCAATATTGCCCTCGATGATCCGTTTCTTGATAGAATCACCAGTTTTGGCTTCTTCTTGAAATCGAGTGCGGTCACATTCGCCTCTGTTTCCTCCTGAATCAAGCTTTGGATACGATGCGAATAACCCCGATCCAAAACGTTTCTGAAATCAACAATGGTCCGATTCCCAGTGACTAGTGAAGAATTCACAGTTAACTCGTCGTGAATACGTAATCCAACGGTTGCTTCTTTGAAACAATGTGTTCTCGCATCTCCACTGAAATCAACCAGAGGATAATCCGAGAGCTGCGAAACGATATCTCCATACTTCATCTCCCACCAATCATGATACTCGACGATCACAAACACAACTTTTTTGTTGTAATGTTGTGATGTTATAAACAAAGGGATAATCCCGTCGTTAAACTCGTGATAAACGTTACCGGTATATCCACCAGTGGAGAAGAACACAGCAGGAACATCGTGGTTCACATCGCAGGCACGATCAGAAGAATTGTTCGAATCTTTGGTGATGAGGTTGAGTTCTTGAACTGTGTCCATCACACTAGTCTCCCATTTTCTAGTGTAAGGTTTGATCTTTTCGGGTTTTGTGTTGTTCTTGGTGGAGGAGGTGAAGAGGAAGACTGAGGAAGAAGCAGAGTTTGTACGAATATCACCTTTCATTACACATATATCGGATCTTAAACCAGTTCTGTCACAACAAATGGTTCCTGCGTACAAAAACGAGAATCGATAACCGTCAGTTTTTAGCAGATTGCACAAACTCTGTTTCTAAAAGATGAAGAGAGATCAAAACTCTGTTTTCATCAGGAGTTGGTAAAAACTAAAAAGTGAAATAAAAAGACTAACCATTGGAGATTTCTGAGCAGAGAGGTGTGAGAAATGGCTCATAAGAGCTAAGACCTTCGATTTCTCTGCGAAACGAATCTGAAGAAGAGTAAAAAAACAGAGAGATAAGTGATACATCAAAAGAAAGAAGAAAAGTTAAGATTGTGTGGGAGAAAGAGAAATAGTAGTACCTAGGAGGGAGAGAGTAGAGAAGCCGAAGAGGTAATAAGGAGACATGACGAAACAGCAAGAGAGGATAGAGAGAAAGAGAAGACACCGGAACTTTTGTTTAGCTCTCTTAGAGTAGCAACCACCTCCACCACTTTCCTCTGCTGAAGAAACTCGAAACTTATCCTCTTTTCTTCCATGGTGGACGATTAATCTCTGGTACTGGACCATCTTCTGAAAACCCAGAACGGAAGTATCGATTTTGAGCAAGGGTCTGATCAATCTTGGGGATGTTTGAAGCACAAAACGAAGAGAAAATTCAGCGGTAAAGAAAACTACACAAACAGAGAAATACTTTTCTTGGGGACGAAGGAGGGGAGAGATAAGATGGGTGACTCTGAGGATATAAAGAGACTTTTTGATACATACGCATATATACATACAACTATATGAAACGAGTGAAAGGGATCAATTAGATTCTTTTTGTAAAGTAATGTTTCCATTTTTAAGTATTTGGGGTTTAGTGGACTTTCCTCTAGTTTTCCGGTAATAACACGGAAACAACAGAGAGGAGACGGCTGTCAACTTAACTTGTGTTTGGTCAAAGTCAAAGAAATTGGCCTTTTCTCTCTTTTATTCTTGCAAGAATTAGATAGACCTATCAGTTTGATTGTTACCTAAGATTTTTCTTTATTCTTTTATATGAATTTAAATTTAATATGAATTTTCTTTGTGATATTACAAGTAGGCCTGAATTCAGGTTTTGGTACTATAATTTCTTCAAGTTCAGCTTAAACACAACTATTTTGGTTTCTTTCGGTTAAGAAAATCGGTTTGGTTTGGTTTCAGATTTTTAAGAAAAGGGTGATAATAACTAAACTACTTTCTAGAGGAGCCCCGAAAACGACGTAGCATTTGGTGTAGTGGGCCTAAAACGGCGTGTGGCATGTGCATGACGCTGAACATCTGCTTTGACAACGGATTTCGCATACTATGAGCTATCCTCGACCCCTTTGCTTTACCAAACTCAACGAGTTTTATTATTTTATTTTGGTCCATAGAGTTGTATCGTTGCCAATTATTAACCTATAAAGATAAGGAAACAAATAAAATATATATTTAAATCCCTTCCAAGTTCCAACGAATTTCAAAAACTGAAATTTATCGGATAATGAATTTATTATGTAGCTACATATGTATAGTGAATAATCCAATGTTTAAGGCTATTTTAATGGTCGACTACAGCCTAACATCTCAACCGCGTACGTGAAATTTACTAAACTTAAATATTGAATTTAATTGTAATTGATAAAAGCAACATAAGCAAAGTTGGTAAATAATGGTTTCATACTTACATTTATGTCGTCTGGTGTCCAACGTGTAAATGAGAGATACAACACAAGTCGACTTTCAACCCTTATTTTACCCCCCTTCGATAACAAAATTGTATAAAACGACTCCGAATTAAACCATATTCTCATACCAAAACATGTAGTTCAATGGTTTTGTTGATATTATATTGTTATTCTGTTATTAGTTGGAGGTGAAAATTTTCTTCTTCTAGTATTCATCTTTAGCTGATTCTGCTTACTCTGTGCTTGAATGATTACTTTGTGTATTGGTGAGTTTTGCTTTGAGATTAACAAAAAAGTAAAATATGACTAATTAAGTAGTTTTCTTTTGACTTGAGGTAGATAATACATATTCCATACGTTGTCAAACAAATCTCTTTCTTTAGTTTTCGTAGCAAATAGATTTATGAAAAACAGCTTTAATCCTTTTATGTGTTTGGGTGAAGCCGTAAAACGAGGTAACGTATGATGTTTATATTTGCTACAGCCTCAATGTTTTCTCTACCTCTATCATTCTCTAGATGATTGAAAATCTGTAGAGTCATCAATTATCACCACATTTCACTTTCTTTCCCCTTTTTGTTTTCCTTTTTCTTTTTTTGCTAAGTTTACAAATATCATTAGAAAATGAATGTTGAGGTATACTATATTGAGCATTACCTAAGATAAAGTAATCTTGGCAAAAAGAATAAAAAACAAGATTACAATACTTTACAGAAGATGGGAGACGATGCAATTACCAAAAACAGAGAAGCATTAGCATTCTCCATCTCTAACTATGTCTTCTTGATTATGGTTTCTTGTGAGAAAAAGAGCATTTTGCTTCCTCTAATTGCATGGTTCCTAGCTATTATCGTTATTTGGACAAGATATGTTATATCGCGGCAGCACTTGTTTATAAACGATATCCAACGCTATTAACGATCTGCATACCTTTTAATTTCAACAACATTTTTTTAATGCGCATGATAGAAATATGTATCATCGAATCTCATTGATCCACTCCAGAAATTGAACGTTATAAAGTCCAAACTATTGCTATTTGGAACTCTTGTACAGAATTCATACCCTTTTATCATCCAATCATAATTTACCTTCACAATGCATGACTGTTATGAAAAGTCTAAATAATTGCTGCAATTCATACCCTTATCATCTTTTCAGATTTACTTGTTTCTTATTTTCTCACATGCTATTCAAACAAATTGTGAATGGTGGCGCGGATTTAATCGTGGAAGGACACAATCTATCTTCTTGTCAGTTGTCATTGTGGTCAACTAGTTTGGCATCCCCAAATGTTTCAATGTTTTGGTAAATAAAACTCATATCATGTAACAAAACAGCTTTTTCTTTGAATTAATTTAACATTATAAAAAATACATATACATAAGCATGGATATAGCTGATAACCTGATACAATGTCAGCAATTTTAATAATCTACAATGTTTAATTTCCTTGTATGGAATATCTAAATTGCTTTAAAATTTTCAAAGTATCTATATATAATTTTGCATGGTAAAGATTAACATCTAATAAAAACAAAATCTGTGATATTTAATGTTTAGGTGTAAGTACTATATAACATTAGGCAAAAATATCTTCTAAAGTGATTTATAAGGTAATGTCTTAAAAATAAAAGACTCTATTCATAAATGTGACTTATCTTGAGTAAGATTTTGTTCTTGAAAAATTGAAGTCACATAATATGGATATAAATCCATAGCATTCATTTTATTTATTTTGGTTAAAGTTGGTTTTTTGATAAAGTTGTTGATTCAAACTTCAAAGCTTTCATATTTCATTAGATTATAGTAAATTTCTGTAAATTTTGTGAGACACGTATAAAAAAGGGGTGATATGTCACATTCAAGGGAAATTACCAGTTTTGTCTCACGTACAAATGTTTAGCTATTTGAGGAATAAAATTACCCAAAAGTTGGTTTCTGTATTTTGATTGTATATTGAACCAAGTTCAAAAAGGGTCCATTATGCCGAGTGTCGACAATGGCTCAAATGCCAAGTTTATATCTGTACCTATATCCAAACACTCCTAAAATCTTCCAACTAAATTCCAACACATGCGACCGGTATGACTTCCCTAACAAGTCACTTGTTTCCTTTTCCTCTGTCCTCCTAAAACGGACAAGCAAGCTATTTAAAATAAAAATAAAAAACAAACGTCAATCGCTGGAGAAAATTAATCCACCGTCCGATTGATTATTAATAGGTCCCACTAAAATCAACGATCCAGATCTTATCTTCACCGTGCACCGCTCTACAGCTTAATTGTCCCCAATCTCTTTGTCTATAAAACCGGAAACCAAACCTACGGATTCTCTCCTTCTCCACATAAGTTACATCTCTCGTGTTTTGTTTTCTTTGTCTCCGATTTTTCGCGACGAAGAAGAAGACGAGAGAGCGAGAGAGAGAAGTAGAAAAATCGAAGGATTCTGTAACCGATTTTAAGATCTCAATTTTAGGGTTATTGATTTTTTTTCTGGGTTAAATTTTTAGGGTTTTCTTTGAAATCATGTCGGATGCGTATTGTACGGATTGTAAAAAGGAGACGGAGCTGGTGGTCGATCACTCAGCCGGAGATACCCTTTGCTCCGAGTGTGGTTTGGTTTTGGAATCTCACTCCATTGATGAGACCTCTGAGTGGCGTACCTTCGCTAATGAATCTTCCAACAGCGATCCCAATCGTGTCGGTGGTCCAACCAATCCGCTTCTCGCTGATAGTGCTTTAACCACTGTTATCGCTAAGCCCAATGGTTCCTCCGGTGATTTCTTGTCTTCCTCTCTCGGGAGGTGGCAGAATCGTAACTCCAATTCCGATCGTGGTTTGATTCAAGCGTTTAAAACCATTGCTACCATGTCTGAAAGGTAGTGCCATTTTGAGATCTCAACTTCTCTGAGATTGGATTGGAACCTTATAAAGAATTGAAACGTTTAGATCACATGATCCTTGATACTGTTGGAGATTGATTTTGTATGGACTTGTATTTGGGATCTTGTTAACGGATCTACCTCTTGCATACTCGTTTGTGAAACCACATTGTCAATTACAGAACAAAAGGAGGTTCCTTTTTAATCTTTCATTGAGAGTTCTTTCTTTCCTTGTACTTTCGTGCGTTTAGCTCGCGTTGTGTTAGTCTGTTGAATTAGCTGCTGCTGTTGGTTTAGAGTGTTTGTTTACGTTACCAGATTTATGTTCTGCTGTGTGTGCACATTGTGATGCGTGTGATAATAGAGAATGAATACTCACTTGTTGGTATGTTTTCCAGGTTGGGACTTGTTGCAACTATCAAGGTAAGCTAGTGTATATGTTTGTGGAACGTATTTGTTAGGATGTGCTATTGGAGCATTTCATTTATAGCTTTGGTGGCTTTTTGTGATATGTAGGATCGGGCTAATGAGATATATAAGAGGCTGGAGGATCAAAAGTCAAGCAGGGGAAGAAATCAGGATGCACTCTATGCAGCCTGCCTGTACATTGCCTGTCGCCAAGAGGACAAGCCACGAACCATTAAGGGTACATTTCAAAGATTTCTCATTTGAGAGAGTCTTGTTACCTCTTGATATAGCTTTGACATAAGTCAATCAAACTCCTGAACCTTGTGAATAGAAATATGCGTTATTGCCAATGGTGCGACAAAGAAGGAAATTGGCCGAGCAAAAGACTACATTGTTAAGACATTGGGACTGGATCCTGGTCAGTCTGTGGAACTAGGCACAATACACGCTGGTGATTTCATGGTGAGTTTGTCTAAAACTATATAAAGTTTGTTGCTGATACCAGAACCTAGGTGGTGCTTTTAATTATGTTATGAAACAGTTGATTTGGTTGGCTGCATTGACTGTAGTTTCATAACTCTATACTTGATGAAATTGCAGAGAAGGTTCTGCTCCAACCTTGGAATGTCTAACCATGCGGTTAAAGCTGCTCAGGAAGCTGTGCAAAAATCTGAGGAATTTGATATAAGGTACATTTCAATTATATCCCTAAGTTGGGAACGAGATAGACGCATGAGAACTTAGTGATGTTTATTTGGGATATTGCAGGAGGAGTCCTATATCAATAGCAGCAGTAGTTATCTACATCATAACCCAGCTTTCTGATGACAAGAAGACTCTCAAAGGTTTGTTTTTTTTCAATTTGTTGGGGGCACATTTATTCGAGTAAAGAGTTGGAAACAAATCTTAAGACTGATCAATATTTTGGGGTGCAGATATATCGACAGCGACAGGAGTAGCAGAAGGGACAATAAGAAATTCATACAAAGACTTGTACCCACATCTGGCAAAGATAGCACCAAGTTGGTATGCTAAGGAAGAGGATCTTAAAAACCTGTCAAGTCCTTGAAGTTGTTTCTTGATTCTTCTATATGCAATAGAGAACTATCTATCTATAAATCTATATTGAGGAAGATACAAAGCAATTGTTCTCTCTCTAGTAGAGGCTTTTTTTTTTTTTTTTCAAATCTTTCTTGGAGACCTTTGCTAAGATTCTTGTAATGGCGTTAAAAACTTGAAAAAAAAGAATATTATTATTTTTATAGTAAGAAGGTATTTCTTTTCTCACTCTTATTGCCCCATACGATACTTTCTTCACGATGAGAGTTCTTACTTGTTACATTTTTTTAAACTTTTTTTACATGATACATCTTTAAACGCCATAGCAACGTAAAAGTCAAAAATGTGTTTGGATTGACAGGTTAAAAGGTCATAAACAAAACTCCACAGAGCATTTTTTTTTTTTTTTAATTTGAAAAGAACTCCTTCATTGATTGTCTATTTCTAAAAAACGAGCTAAATAGCATCCCCTATTTTTTTTTTTTTGTTTTGTACAGTAAAAGAAAAGGAAAATATCCTTTAAAACCTTTGTTTAGTTAGGGTTCCGAAAAAGTTTAGTCTCTCTTTATATTTACGAGCCTTTTTGCATTTTTTTTTACTTCATCTAGATTTTCTCTCCCTTCAACCTCAAAAGCATCACCGGTATCTCCTTCGCTAAGAAATTCGACCAAATATCTATGTCTCGGCTTGTAAACCAATCCTCTGTCGATAAAAATATTGTAATCTATTTACAATATGGGTTATCAGAACTGACGGTTAATGATAATGTTATTGCTCGGAAGATTCAACAACAATATCAAAATAAATTGATATGTAACGATGCTGCTATTGCTTTGGAGATTCAGCAAGAAGAAGGTACATAAATCATTATATATATATATAATATATATAGGTTTTAGTTTTCAATAGCAAAATATTTTATGATATCTTTGTAAATAGTTTTAAATTCTCACTATCAATGTATCTTTGTGACTTACAAAGCAATGATCATACTTTTACTATCTCTTGTATAATGATCTTTTTCTGAAATCATATGTAAAATGATCTAATATTTAATTAACTGTGGGATTTTTGTCATATAACGAAAACCACCTCCATTTTGTATTGCAATTTTACAGAAGCTTGTGTGTACGCTTGCTTACATGATGATGAAGGATTGGCAAGAACGTTGCAAGACTTGGAGGGTAATATATCTTATTATGCTTTTATATACTTTAATTTGTTCTAAGTTTAATATCACTATATACATCAAAGAGTCTATCATCATTATAATGTAACAATTTCGAGGTTTATTTTTCCTTTTAGTACTATAGCTACGTGTGGAAGTTTCAACTCTAATGTTTTCCGGATGATGGAAACCCTGATATGCTTTTGATTAACATAGTTAGGGCAAAAAAAAGAATAAAAAACCCTTAAATTAATTGTTTTTTTCTTTTATGTTTTTGTACAAATAAAATAATATACATATTCCAAAACCATGAATTAGGGACCTATGAATCGTTTAATGGTATTTCGAATTTTATTTGTTTTGTAGGTAATCTGCAGCCCTCTCTAAGCGATGATGAAACACTTGCTAGATATTTGCAAGAACAAGATGAATGTAAGTTATTATTTTTTTCACCAAATGCTTTAGTTTCATAATTTTCACTGACTTGATCAATAACTTAGTCATTTACCAATTGAAAATGTCTGTACAATGTTTTACTGTATTATCATACCTAGCGGCAAATAATACGGACAATGATATGATATCCAAGAAATCCATCACCGTCAGTATCAACCCATGCAAGGTATATATTAAATATCGAGTTCGTAACTAGAATTACATCAAGTTACTTAGTTTTTTTTCTACTTGCTCGCAAAGAAAAAAGTGCAAGCATGATTGTATTGTATTTCGACAAAAATATTTTCTCATGACTTAGTTTGTTACTTTTTTTATAAAACTTTGTTCGACACTTTTTACGCTAACACTTTTATATTTCTTTCAATCTGCAGTAAATCGTTCAAACATACCTCCACGTGATGCTCCATCGGTAATTAATTACTCAGAAAAACTTACATAGTTTTCTTAATTGGGTATAGCTAGGGACTCTACATAGATAAATCAACGAGTATATCTATATTTTCATTAAATTTATGGTTTTATGTTTAACCAAAAAAATATTTTCTATATTTTTTTTAACCATGAGAATTGTCATATATTATTGTAGTAAATTGATTATTTGTTGAAAAAACTTTTTGCTTTGGATTGTAATTTAGACTAGTAGAGCTTTTTTTTCACTACGACGATGGTGAAAACTTCTCGGATCATTATACGCATACTCGTAGTCCTTCAAATATCTCCCACAATCCTCCCGATAATGAGAACATTGATCCCGCAAGTATGACGTATGAGGTGTGTACCGTGCCAACTCAACATTTTCATATTATTTATATATAAGGTTTAAAGGTTTATGATCCAGAAAATAAATCTTATCTATCAATTTTGTTTTCTTTTGATTTGGGTTAACAGGAATTATCTGAATTAGAAGACTCGATTGGAGATTTCAGTAAAGGATTATCGCAAGAGAGGATCTCTCGATTGCGGACTCATAAGTATGGTATTCAAACCAAAACTTGGTGATGTTGGCTTAAGAAAAAGAAGTTTGTTGCCGATGATTCTCAGTAAGATAAATAACTGTATCTTTTTCATGTTGGTTAAAAAGTTTTTGTCCCTCATTTGGATTTTTGCTTCGTTACATAAACCAAATTAATTAAGTTATTGCTTTCAAATATAAGTGTTGGTTTAGAGCATGAATCTAATTTGGATTTGATTTGGTGTGGATAATATTGTAGGTGTTCAATATGCCTAGTGGACTATGCAAAGGGAGATAAGATTACAACTTTGCCATGTAAACATATTTACCATAAGGATTGCATTTCACGATGGCTGAAACAAAACAAGGTATGAATATAAATTCAGTCTAAATGCTTATTTACTATGTATTGTGTAATGTACAAAACACATTCTCGTTTAAGTATTATTCTAAGGGAATCAATCTAATATGTATATTTTTATATTATCAGGTATGCTGCGTTTGCAAAGCCGTGGTTTATCCATAATACTAAATCTTGTCAGACAATTTATAATGTTCGGTTTAGACTTTTATTAAAATTTATCGTCCAATCATTCACCTATAGTTTACCATTAAATTAGATGAAAACTCGTACCTATGCATAAGTAATAAGTTTATATATTCAAATATGTGTTGAAGTTTTATAATTTCAAAACTTTAATTATTAAAAAGGTGTGATTTTTGATTTTTCAAAACAAAAACAAAATCAAAAATTCTCTTTTAAATACTAGAAAATTAATTTACAAAATTTATACACATATGAAAACCAGAAATATCGATAGCAATCTCTATAGTGAAAATCAGCTCCTTTTTTTCCGTCATGAAAGAGTAAAAAAGTAAAAACAAAAAAACAAAATAAAGAAAAAAGGTTTGAATCCCCCGAGAGAGAAAGAACCCTCTCTTTGCTTCTTCTCCGACTGACTGCGTAGCTCGAATCGAAAATCAATGGCGAACGACCAAGAGATGAGTGGTTGGACTGATCTTCTCCATTCTTCGTCGAAGCTTCTTGAGCAAGCTGCTCCTTCTTCTCAGTTTCCTCCTCTTCAGGTTCTTCCGCTTTCCGCTGCTTTTGAGGTTCAACATTTAAGAACAGTTCGATTGATTTGTGTATGTGTCTCTATCAGAGAAATTTAGATCAATTGGAAGCGTTATCGAAGAAGCTCAAGGCTAAAACCCTAAGGAACGAAGCTCCTTCTCAGTCTATTGCCGCCACTAGGTAATTCCCAATAATCGAGTGCTAGCTAATTTGAGTGGCAAAATGAAACAATTGAAATGTCTTGAGTTCATTGCTCAACTTTCAAATGGAAGTAGCTAGTTCCCAAAAGCAAGCGTTGATTCTCTTGTCTTTATTTGTTGTTGGAATTTGCAGACTACTCGCACGGGAGGGAATCAATGCAGAGCAACTAGCTCGTGATCTTAAATCTTTTGAGCTCAAGGTGACATTTTTCTTATTTTATAATTCATCTTAGCTGATTCTGCTTTTAATGTGCTTCAAGGATTATTTTGTGTATTGGTGGGTTTTTCCTTGAGATTAGAAATTGCGATATGATTACGTATTTTTCTTTTCATATTTCGTCAAACACTTCTCTTTCTTTAGTTGCCTTTGCAAACGAATTGTTGGTATTGTAAGACAGTGGAGTCTTACCTTTGTATGCTTACACATCTCTCAGCTTGCCGTCTGCTTTTCAAATGTGATTATGTGCCATTACGTGATGTTTTTTTTTAAATACTTTTTAAAGACAACATTTGAGGATGTGTTCCCTGCTGAAGCGACGAGCGTTGAAGAATACCTGCAACAGGTACTTCTATATCTTGAAGGTTTACTATTTATAATATAGATTGATTGTCTTGGCGAGGATTGGCCGTTATGATGTGTATCGTTTTGTTTTGTTTAGGTTCATGAAATGGCTATGGTATCAGCTATACAGGAAGCCCAAAAGGATAATGTTCGAAGCTTTAATGACTACATGATGAAAGTGCTGGAGGTTTGTATTCTGGCTATCCATATTTCCACTTATTTATCCGTTACTTCTTTTTCCTCCTAGCCTTTTATTTTGCATTTGTATGTAAAGATTGATAAGTCACTGTGTGATACAGAGGCACATATTTTGTTGTTTCCTACTTAAAAGTTGTCAATTGTACATTTGTTCTATGCTTTTATCTTTTGAAAGAGTCTTTTCATGGATGTGGATGGTTTGCTAAGTGATAGATTAGAAGGATATGGATGCTAAATATTGAATGTGAATTTGATTTGACAGGAGGATTGGAGAAAAGAAAAACGTGACTTCCTTCAGAGCCTCAGCAGAATATCAATGCTACCTAAAACAAATATGATTGATACAAGCAGAGAGGCTCATGCTGGTCAACTAGTGCCGGTGGCTTCGAGTCCTCGAGTATCCTCAACACCAGGCAAAGAACTCGTGGCTCTGGCTAACATACCCATTCATGAGAAAAAAGCATATGTCTATGGAGAGGTTGTGAAGAAACTTAACTCTTCAAGAGAACGAGGATTGCCATTTAGAGTATGGATTCCTATACCTTGTCTTGAAACTTAGTACTGGTTCACTTTACTTGAATTACTGTTGATACTTGTAGCTGAAAAATATTCATTTTCCTTAACTACTTTTAGAAGTCTAGCTAGAATTGTTATAACTTTTTGTTCGGTATGCACTCTACCTTTCATGCAGCAGCCATTAAAACTGGCTACCCTCATATTAATTTTTTGGGTGTGCTTTCTAGTTTCTACTGATCCCATTTATACTTTTGTATAGCCTGCTATGTGTTTTAAGGAAGCTTATGATACTCTTGGTGCTGAGGTTACTCGTGGAAAATCAGTCAACATGCAGAAAATATGGCAGCTTGTTCAGGTAATCTTTTGACTGGAGACTATATCTTCCAGCCAACCACCCTCGTAAGGATTGTTCTTATCTTTCTACCTTTATTAATTTCATGCAAATGACTGATTGTTGACAAAAAATTTCCAGGCAATAACAGGTGAAGATTCAGCAGTTCGACAGGGTGTTTCAAAGAGGATGGCCCTCGCGATAGGTGCAAGACATCATTTACAACATGGGCATGAGAAATTTATAATGGACACAATTCAAAGTCACCCTACCCAGGTATCCATTTCTCTCTGGTTTATAATTTTTTGTTTACTTAGTAATAACAGCTAAGACATGTATGTCTATACATATTTTGATTACCCTCTTCCTCAAATGGTTGGGTGCTGTCTGAAAAGGTTCCATGATCTTCCAATCCTATTTCAAGAGTGTTGGTAATCATTTTGACATGTTTCTTGCTTTCTTAATTCCTGTTCTAGGCTGCTCTTGGTGGATCTGTTGGAAATTTGCAAAGAATTCGTGCTTTCCTTCGGGTTAGTGTCCCAGATTTAAAAGAGTACCACACGGAAAATGTTCATAGGGCTGTTTAGCTTTCTTATTCTCATGTTATCTATACTGTGCAGATTCGTTTGAGAGACTATGGAGTTTTAGATTTTGATTCAACTGATGCTCGTAGGCAGCCTCCTGTTGATACTACTTGGCAACAGGTTTTTTGGATTATTTCCCTCTTGCTTTGAATTTTAAACTTTTTCATGACCATATGATTGAGATATAGAGATTTACACTGCGGACCTGAATGAGTTATATCTTTCTCTTAAACCCAGATATATTTTTGCTTGCGAACTGGGTATTATGAGGAGGCTAGGGAAATCGCTCGGTCAACGCGGTCATCTCAGCAATTTGCACCACTGGTAGGTTTACTTTAGATCTTGATATATCATACAAGCCTTTTGGAATCAGCTTTTTCTTACATTTCCGTTTTTGGCAGCTTACCGAGTGGATTACCACAGATGGTATGGTGGCTGCAGAGTCTGCAGCTATTGCATCAGAAGAATGTGAGAAAATGCTAAGGATGGGTGATCGGTTGGGTCGAACCGCTTATGACAAGAAAAAACTCCTACTCTACACTATCATTTCTGGTTCCCGTAGGCAAGTTGAGCGCATACTGAGGGATCTATCTACACTCTTTAACACAATTGAAGATTTCTTATGGTTCAAATTGTCATGCATAAGAGACGTCACTGGTGGATCTTCATCTGTGGTCCTGAATGATGGCCTTGCGCCTTACAGTTTGGATGATCTTCAGGCTTATCTCAATAAATTCGAGCCTTCATACTACACGAAGAATGGAAAAGACCCCTTAGTATATCCATATGTTTTGCTTCTCAGCATTCAGTTGCTACCGGCTATCATGCACTTATCTAAAGAAGCAGGAGACGGAGGGTATAATATTGATGCTATTCACCTAGCTATTTCTTTGGTGGACCATTCCGTTTTATCTGAAGGCTCTGGGACTGGCCACAAACTAAGTGTGATGGATTCTAACGCTGAGGCATCTAGCATGATTAGGCAATATGGGTCAATGTTCCTGCATCACGGAGATCTCCAAATGACGGTAGAGTATTATGCACAAGCTGCTGCTGCTGTAGGTGGGGGACAATTAGCTTGGTCTGGAAGAAGTAATGTGGATCAACAGAGGCAGAGAAACTTAATGCTGAAGCAGCTACTAACTGAGATTCTGCTTCGAGAAAGAGGTATTTACTTTTTGCTTGGAGCAAGAGGTTCTGGTGAAGAAGGTCAGCTTGGAAGATTTTTCCCTGATTCTAGATTGAGACAACAGTTCTTGGTCGAAGCTGCACATCAATGTCAAGAAGCTGGATTATATGACAAAGTAAGTAACTTCTCATCTAACATTGTTTCACTGCATAGTAAGTCTGTCTTTTGATAAAGCTTTCACCATGTTTTCCATCTTCTCAGTCCATAGAGATACAGAAGAGGGTGGGTGCATTTGCGGCTGCCTTGGAGACTATAAACAAGTGTCTATCTGAAGCCATCTGTTCTCTTGCCCGTGGAAGGTTGGATGGTGAAAGCAGAACATCAGGGCTTATTCTCGCAGGGAACGATATTCTTGAGACTTACAAATATTACCCTGAAGTCAGGTATATTATTGAAAGCTAGAAATCTACTTTGCCTTAAGTTGAAAATGTGCTCAAGGTGTTTGCTTTTATTCTGCCACTGACAGTCTCCAGGAAAGAGAGCGAGTGATGGAACAAGAAACCATACTAAGAGAGCTTGAGGCAATACTATCGATCCACAAGTTGGGTAGATTAGGCAATCATCTGGATGCTTTAAGGGAAATTGCAAAACTTCCTTTCCTTCATCTTGATCCAAGAGTGCCCGATGCAACCGCTGATGTGTTCCAGAGCGCATCTCCTTACTTCCAGACTTGTGTCCCGGACCTGCTCAAAGTTGCTCTAACGTGTCTAGACAATGTACCTGACACTGATGGGTCAATCCGTGCCATGAGATCCAAGGTACATAAATGAACAAAAACATAAAGTTTGGTTGAATGAATCTATTACAAAAGTCATGAAACTTGAGCCTCTGATTGCTTTGCGCAGATTGCTGGGTTTCTTGCAAGCAACACGCACAGGAACTGGCCTCGTGACTTGTACGAGAAGGTGGCTCGAAGCTTTTGAATATTTTTGGGCTTATTATCGTCCAAGTTCTCAAATCTCGACCGTGATTCTGTTGACTTTTTGACGAGGATCCGAAGCTTTCATCTCTTGCGTATAAAATGGGATACATTAATCTAGGTGACATTTGTTTTATCCAAAACATGTAATATTGCAGAGAGATTGTTTTTATAGAATTTGTTGTTTTTGTGTGAGTTATGTAGTGGATTTTGATAAGAAATTGTTATTTGTTTTCTTATATCTAAAATTATATAATATCAATTCAAATTAATTATTTTTTGTCATTTTTATTGAAAGTTACTGATGCAGAATCGAATATAAACAGATCTGAAGCAAAAGATAAATTTTTGCATGGCATGAAAAGAATTTCTCTCATGAAGTTTTCCAACTCAGAGTGCTTTCAAAAGCAATTCCCTAATGGAATATCTAGCAACATAGCAAGTTTTACCCATTTTTCTTTTTCTCTCTCATAGATGACAAAATATGGTGAAACAGAGCTTTCAAAACACAACAAAAAGTAGGATGGAGAAATTAAACATTAAAATGCGGATATACCATCAATTAAAAATTAATTGATTTTTGTCACTTTAAATGCAAAACCAGACTTACTCAGATCCGAAGCCAAAAAAAAAAAAAAAAACTTTTGCATGGCATAAAAGAGGTTCTTCTTATGATCAAGAGTTCAGATCGATCACTTTTTTTTCATTGACGAAGATATGGTGAAACAGAGCTTTAAAAACAACAAAAGTAGGATGGAGAAATCGAAGGGCATGAGAAAAGAGATGAAGAAGAAGAAGGTGAGGATAAATATAGAAGTAATGTTTAAGTTTTACCATTAATTTCATCATCACTCACCCAAAAATAACTCATCTTTAAGCAATAGTATCATTTACATTTACTTCATCTTGCCTCTGTTTTTTTCCTTGTTGTTTCAAATATCAAGTGTCTGATGTCTTCTTACTCTGTCTCCTACTAACGAAACAACATACTTGTGTAATTACATAAACACAGATCAACAGAAGAAGAGAACCATACACAAAAACCCTAAACAAGATGGGCTCTTCAACAGGGGACATAACCGCCAAGTACACACAATCTCGTACAAGAACAAGCAATGCCAATCCTTCCACTGCATTTTGAATCACCAAAACTCTTTTCTTCTTTCCTTCTTCTTTGCATAACTTGCTTATAATCCTCAAAAACAAAACACCAACCACCAAGAACGTTGTACTAGACCATCCCCGGTAGGCGACAATCTTCCCTCCCACTATTAATGGCTCTTTCCTGCATATACAAGACTTGCAGACTCCAGAGAAAGTAGATGTGACCAGAGCATCAAATCCTGTATAGTAGGGGAGAATCACAGCGTCTAAGTAAAGACTAGCGTGGAGAATTCCCGAGATAGTAGAGGCTTCAAAGAAGACAAAGCTTTCTTCTTTTTCGATATTGTTCTCGAACATAAGCACTGAGAGTTGAACAAGCTGTAGGATCGCAGGTCCAAAGATGGAAATAGGGAAAAGGGTATTGATCCTTTGACCTTTTGCAAGGATCAAGATGATCAAAGGAAGAGAGATTGGACCAGAAGGAAGTAAGTACCTCTTTGCTTTATCATCATCATCATCAGCATCTTCTCTTCTTCTTCTTGATATAATTACCTTCCTTAAGACAACAATTAGCGTCGTCAAGTAAGTAACCGTGACGAAGAAGAAAACCAGAACGTCAGTGATTTGAGGGTAGTCGCCGGCATAGATGCTGTCACAGAAGTAGTGGAAAGGGCAGTTAATAGGATCGAGTGTGTCCTCGAATTGCCACTTTGTGCATTTGAAAAATGTTTTCTTTCGATCAGAATCCATTTCCCATTCTGAGTTCATAATTTGTTTTTGTTTTGTTTTGTTTTGTTTTGTTTTGATCTATATGATTTTTTGGTTTCCTTAGAAGCTACACATATAGTGTGTGTGACATCATATGGTTGATTCCCTTTCATTGTCTGGTTATAGATGCTTGAACTGCAGACTATAAAATGGATAATGAAACTCTATCTGAAATCTGAATTCTATCTTCTTCATTTAAAATGTATAGAGAGAAGCCTTCATCTTTAAGGGAAAATAAAAGTTTGGTGGGCTGATTGGTACTGTGTAAACTACTAATTTGTTAATTGAATAAATTACGTTTGTAACTGTTTAAATTCCGGTATACTGAAATTGCTAGGGAAATACTGCGAACCGAAAAAAACCGAACCGAACCACGTTTTAGTCTACTACTTTTGTTTTTGACTGTTCCGATAGAAGCAAATATTTTTGGGGAAAGAGTTGAGAGAAAGAGAGAGAGATGAGGAAGCTGAATCCGCTTCTGAAACGAGGCTTGAAAGCTGTTGAAAATGGTGATTTGGTGAAGGTCCTACAAACTGAAATTCGTCACGAAATCTCCCATCCTCGTTTCCATGTAATTTGTTGCTCTCAGTAATCTCTCAATTGAGTTCTTAATCAATGGTGTTCAGCATTAGTTTGATTAGACTTTTGTCAGTTTCAATTTCATGTTTCTGGATTGATCAACATTATAGTGTTTTACCAGATTAGCGAATTTGAAGATGTTGGATCACATAAACCCTAGGATTTTAAGTGTTTAAGTACATGGTTTTGCTTTGCAGGGCGTTGAGACCGGTTCTTTAGGAGATTTCAAATTGGATTGGGATTCTCCGGAAAGCCAAGATATTGTTCTGAAGAGACAGTTTGTTTCAGGCGAGGAGGTTGTGGTTTCGGCTTTATTGCAACCAGAACCTATAGAACTAGATGATGATTTAGTGTTTCCTAGGGAAGCTCTTGCCAAAGTTTGTATCAAAAAGCCTGGTATCAGCTCTATCTTGCAGTTTCATTGCCGGGTTTACGAAACAGGATCTGGATCTTCTCATTTCGACGTTGAGAAAGCGCGCTTTATCCGCTCTTTGGTTTCTGCTTCTTCTTCGACTTATAGAGATAATTTTCTCAGGTGAATCATTATATCCTCCCTGGTAGATTGAGCTCTTATCTATCTCTGAGTATTTTAGTAACTTTGTATTGAGCTCATAACAATTGTAACTAGCATTTCAAACTTACAAATTCATCTAGTGGCATTTTCATTTTAACAACTTGGTTGAATCTTCTTAATTACTTCATCCAAACCTCAAAGCATTGGTACACTTTTGCTTCTTGGAGTAGTTGTTCTATATATCGAGAAGAAGCAGACTATTATAGTGAATTTGGAGAATGCTATTATTGATTATATGTAGCTGATATCTTTTTCCTCCATTCGTAATCGCTGCTTATATTTGTTGTTACCAAAATTGTAAAAAGTGTTAAGTGGTTCATGTGTCTGAATATGTTTGATTTCAATGACTGATGTTTTTTTTTTTTTTTTTTGTATCTTTAGGCCTATAGATTTCAAACTGGGGCATGAACTACGGCATTATCTAATATCCAAGGGAATCAGTGAAGGCCTAACCAATTTCATTGTGTGTCACCTGAACAAGAAGGAGCAGGATCAGTACGTTAACTGGTTACGCAAGCTTGAATCAACAATGTCACATTCTCCAAAGCCGTGAGTGTTTACTCCATAAGCTCATTTCTTTTCACCTTCTTTTTGTTGTTTTTTCCGGAATTTTTCTTGCAATGGTAAAATGGATTAGGAGTAGCATTATTAGCTAAGAGAGTCCTTGCAATGGATGTTTTGAGGGAAAATATATTGACAAATACATGTTAACTGTTATATTTCCAAACAAATGGACCCCAAATCGTATGCTTTTGAATTTTCAAGCAAGCTTGGTTTGAGCTTTGATCTTTCACAGATGATTAGTCCTGAGATAATAGTAATTGGCCGCTACATAACCACTCTCATTCATGCATTTGTTTTTCTAAATCAATACTTGATCATAATACAAATTAAACTGAGTTGTTATTAGAAGTATCATTGCTTTAAGCCTCTTAGCAGTTTCACAATGTATGGGTTATTCTTTTTTAATGTCTTTAGTTTAAGGTTTTGATGACATGTACACACCAATAATGTCTTTTGATCCTTATCCAAAAATGCCTAAAAAGTTTAAAAGTGAGAAAAAGGAATAAACAAATCCTTTACGAACAAAAAAATAAAAGGTAAATGAGAACAAAAATTCGGAGCACGGCAGCGTCAAGTGCTCTGATTCCTCCACGATCCAAAGTTGGGGCGGCGAATCTCTCCCCTTTTATGTAACACTAATAAACAAGTAAAGCAACATGTTTTTTCTTTTCTTTTTTCCAATCAGTTGTTTATAAAATGTGATTAGTTAGCCGAATCTTTGACAATTTGTCAATTTGATTATATGTGCTGTGCAACGAAAAGTCCAAACATAATCTAATTAAGCATAAATCATTTGACAATAAAAAACTTATGTTAGTAGAAGTAAAATTTGTACTTGTATTTGTTTAATTATTCTCGAAAACATAAGTCTGTTATTGTAATTACTATAGTGTTACTCACGTGACATAACATCATAGAAAAACGTTCAAAAAGAGCATAGATCTTGAGGTTTTCTAATTGAAAGACGCAAAAGAAGATAAAATAAAATCACAAAGCATATTTGTGGAATAATATTCGTCCGGGTCGGATCATTTGATTTGGTTCCCTTAATTATCCGAAATTTACGAATGAGACGAAAATGAAATTTGAATTTATGGGCCCATTCCGAGCACAAAATCCGATTAATTCGGGTCGGGTTTGGGTAATCCATAAAAAGCAACTCTCTCTCTCTCACCAATCCGTTGCTCAAACCTCTCATTCCTTTCAGCTGCCTTCGCGCCGGCGAAGTTTTCTCTGTGAACACAGAGAGTGAGAGTGAGAGTGAGAAATGTCGAATTTGCTAAGGGATTTCGAGGTCGACGCTAAGAATCCGTCGCTAGAAGCACGTCAACGATGGAGGTCCTCCGTGTCTATAGTGAAGAACCGTACTCGTCGTTTCCGTAACATTCGGGATCTCGATAAGCTCGCTGACTACGAGACCAAGAAGCACCAGATCCAGGTTCCTTTTTGTTTGTTCCTATCTCCATTTTTCATTTTTTTGCTGTGAGTATGATTTTGATTTTCTGGATGATGATTGATTTTCTTAGTTAAAATGTTTTATATAAAATTATTCACTGTGATACTTAAAAGTTAAAAGCCTTTGAAGAACGAATTAATAATGATTGACCATTTACGCTTTTTTCTCTGCCATTGATGATCCGTACAAAAGAACTTTATCAGAAAGGCTTTACTTGTTCTTTTTCATAGTCTAATCCACACTTTTGCACACCAAAGCTTTTATTTTTTGGTTTCCTTTAACATTTTTTATTCGCCAACTCTTCAAAGAAAATTTGTTTTTAATTCATCAACTTAGATTCTTTTTTCCTGTGTAATCAAAATACACATTAAAATTTCGCTAGTTTAAAATTACATGAATTTGCTAATATAAACTCAGGGAAGTAGGAATCAAGGATGATATGATAAAATATCCATAAGGATGAAATTATTATTTCTTTGGAGCGTTATCTTTTTTTGTTCAATTGCGGAAACCAAAGAAAATAATAATTCAACTGGCACCACACATGATACTGACATCAAAGTTGTGTCGTTGCTTCAGTGTGTCCTCTACTGTGTTTACAAATGGATAATTTTCTTGTCGCTACTAGGAAGATGAGCCAATAATCTGAGAGGCCAGCAAAAGTCTGACCCTTTTCTTTTTTAGTTTTTTCTCTTCTTTGCGACTGAATCCAAACACCAAAGGACGAATTTCAGTTTGAACACATCTACTTTTGATACCAGTTTTTATTTTCCTTAAATTCAACTTTGACTTATGGTTCGAGGACTTCTTGTGTGCAATAATTTAGCTTAAGGAAGTTACACACGCAAACTTTGGCCAGGTGTATTTTCATAAGGTTCTCTCCACTTGCACAAACCAAATAAAGAAGCATTTTTCGGATGGATATGATGAGCTCATGGTCTTTTCTTCTTTTTCCTTTCTGGTTCTCAAGATATTTTAGCTACATTAGTTTTAGTTGCGTTTTGTAAGATCAGTGATATAATTGACGTTCCAATGGTGTTGCAGAACCCTACTGCCTTAAAAAACAATGAAAATTAAGCAAGCAATGGATGATGGATCTTTTTAGTAATTTACCCGGTTTACGTTGATTGCACCAAAGAAAACTTTTTGTTTCTTCTTCAATTTCCTCTATGTCCAATGATTCCCATGTTGTGGTGTTTCTCTGTTAGCTCACTTTCTTTACTCTTTATCAGGAAAAGATCCGAGTTGCTTTCTATGTTCAAAAGGCAGCTCTTCAATTCATTGATGGTAAGATATGCAGCTGCATTTTGTGAGAGATGTATGATTTACCAAATTGAAGGCGACTTGGTTTCCACTTTCTATGGTTATGTGAATTTTTCTTTTCCTATTGTATTTTTCTCTAGCTGCTGCTAGGCCGGAATACAAGCTCAGTGATGAGGTTAAGCAAGCTGGATTTTCTATTGAAGCAGATGAACTTGCATCTATGGTTCGCAAAAATGACACTAAGAGCCTGGCACACAAAGGTGGAGTTGAAGAAATTGCTAAGAAAATATCTGTATCTCTAGATGAAGGAGTTCGTTCGAGTGAAGTGCCCACCAGGGCAAAGATATTTGGAGAAAATCGTTACACTGAGAAACCAGCCAGATCATTCTTAATGTTTGTGTGGGAAGCGCTCCACGACATAACCCTTATCATCCTTATGGTCTGCGCTGTAGTATCAATAGGTGTGGGTGTTGCTACAGAAGGATTTCCAAGGGGAATGTATGATGGGACAGGGATCTTGCTAAGTATACTCTTGGTGGTCATGGTTACTGCGATCAGTGACTACAAGCAATCTTTGCAGTTCAGAGACTTGGATCGAGAGAAGAAGAAGATTAATGTCCAGGTCACCAGAGATGGGAGCAGACAAGAAATCTCCATTCATGACTTGGTCGTTGGAGATGTAGTTCATCTATCTATTGGGGATCAAGTTCCAGCTGATGGGATTTTTGTATCTGGATACAACTTGGAGATAGATGAGTCAAGCTTATCAGGTGAGAGTGAACCGTCACATGTGAATAAAGAGAAGCCTTTTCTGCTTTCAGGAACCAAAGTACAAAACGGTTCTGCAAAAATGCTGGTGACAACAGTTGGTATGAGGACTGAGTGGGGAAAGTTGATGGAAACGCTGGTTGATGGTGGAGAAGATGAGACTCCTCTGCAGGTGAAGCTAAATGGGGTTGCAACAATAATTGGTAAGATTGGTTTAAGCTTTGCTGTGCTTACATTTGTGGTATTGTGCATAAGGTTTGTCTTGGAGAAAGCAACGTCTGGTAGCTTCACCAACTGGTCATCTGAAGATGCACTGACGCTACTTGACTACTTTGCAATTTCTGTAACTATCATTGTCGTTGCCGTGCCCGAAGGTTTGCCACTGGCAGTGACCTTAAGTTTGGCATTTGCTATGAAGAAGCTGATGAGTGACAGGGCACTTGTGAGGCATCTTGCTGCATGTGAGACTATGGGTTCTTCTACTTGCATCTGCACTGATAAGACAGGAACCTTGACTACTAATCACATGGTGGTCAACAAAGTATGGATCTGTGATAAGGTTCAAGAGAGACAAGAGGGAAGTACAGAAAGCTTTGAGTTGGAATTACCAGAAGAAGTTCAGAGTATTCTTTTGCAGGGCATATTTCAGAACACTGGTTCTGAAGTTGTTAAGGATAAAGATGGAAACACTCAGATCCTAGGATCTCCGACAGAAAGAGCAATACTCGAATTCGGTTTGCTTTTAGGTGGTGATTTTAACACGCAGCGTAAAGAGCATAAGATACTCAAGATTGAGCCGTTCAATTCAGACAAGAAGAAAATGTCTGTTCTTATAGCTCTCCCTGGAGGTGGTGCACGGGCTTTCTGCAAAGGGGCATCTGAAATAGTGTTGAAAATGTGCGAGAATGTTGTGGATTCGAATGGAGAATCTGTTCCACTAACTGAAGAACGGATTACAAGTATCTCTGATGTCATAGAGGGTTTTGCCTCAGAGGCTCTGAGGACTCTCTGCTTGGTTTACAAAGATCTGGATGAAGCTCCCAGTGGAGATCTCCCTGATGGAGGCTATACAATGATAGCAGTTGTTGGAATTAAGGATCCAGTACGCCCGGGTGTTAGGGAAGCTGTCCAGACTTGTCAAGCTGCTGGAATCACCGTCCGTATGGTCACTGGAGATAACATAAGCACAGCTAAAGCAATTGCAAAGGAATGTGGTATATATACTGAAGGAGGTTTAGCTATAGAAGGTTCAGAATTCCGGGACTTATCTCCTCACGAAATGAGGGCCATTATTCCCAAAATTCAGGTTCTTTGACATATGGTAGATTGAATGAATTGTTATTGTTCACCTGTCTATTGAAAGTGTTTAAGCATCTCTAAATTCCTTGTTTCTGCCTTCAGGTAATGGCTCGGTCTCTGCCATTGGACAAACATACTTTAGTCAGCAACTTGAGGAAAATTGGAGAGGTAGTTGCAGTGACTGGGGATGGGACAAACGATGCCCCTGCCTTACATGAGGCAGACATTGGACTTGCAATGGGAATAGCTGGCACAGAGGTAACTCTAATTATTCTCTGTTATTGGTTTGGTTAATAAAAAAACTCGAGATTAACATTTCCGTTCTGTGCTAATTCCCGATATGCAGGTTGCAAAAGAGAATGCTGATGTGATCATAATGGACGATAACTTCAAAACAATAGTAAATGTGGCGAGATGGGGACGTGCTGTGTATATAAACATTCAGAAGTTTGTTCAGTTCCAGCTAACTGTTAATGTGGTTGCTCTGATCATCAACTTTGTCTCTGCTTGCATCACAGGTCCAAAAAAAACATTCAAACACCATGTTTCTCCTATTGTTTGGTCGTATATAGTAACCATTTCTTTTGGTTTCTTTTCCAGGATCTGCTCCACTCACTGCTGTGCAACTACTTTGGGTCAACATGATCATGGACACACTTGGTGCATTGGCTCTAGCAACAGAACCTCCCAATGAAGGTTTGATGAAACGTGCACCAATCGCTAGGACCGCCAGCTTCATCACCAAAACCATGTGGAGAAACATCGCTGGTCAAAGCGTTTACCAGTTGATTGTCTTGGGAATTCTCAATTTTGCAGGCAAATCACTTCTCAAACTCGATGGCCCTGATTCCACAGCCGTTCTTAACACAGTCATCTTCAACTCCTTCGTCTTTTGCCAGGTACCACTCTAAAACAAAAACTAACCCAGCTCGTTTATAAAAGATAAGCAACATGATAATCAAAATGGTTAATGGTATGTAAAAACAGGTATTCAATGAGATCAATAGCCGCGAAATAGAGAAGATAAATGTATTCACAGGAATGTTCAATAGCTGGGTCTTCACATGGGTAATGACTGTGACCGTAGTGTTTCAAGTGATCATAGTGGAGTTTCTTGGAGCATTTGCAAGCACCGTTCCTTTGAGCTGGCAACATTGGTTACTATCAATCTTGATAGGATCATTGAGCATGATTGTAGCCGTTATCCTCAAATGCATACCAGTCGAGTCTTCTCACCATCACGATGGCTACGACCTGCTTCCTTCTGGTCCTTCTTCTTCCAACTCTGCCTGATACCGTCACTATGTTCATCTTTTTTTTTGTTATCCACAGATATGTAAGTTGTCTATTTTTTGCTTATTTGGATACTACTGCAAATTCTTATTTTTATACCACGAATGGAATTTTGTTTTCGGCTCACTCCAAATCCTCCTTCTATACGGTTTTTGTTCTTAACGTTCCTCTTCTTGGGGTAACAATCTAGTTTCATTGCGATCTTAGATAAATAACTTCAGTTACAAGGTTACATGACATTGAATAGTTAAAATGATGGTAAAAAGTACTGAGCAATTAAATTTGCATTTTAATTGAATGTTATCTATCAAGAGCTGTGCTAAGTAAGTTAGATTCCATTTTTAGTATTAGAAAATCTAGAGAGATGCTTTGATTAGTTGATTTGATTCACAAGAATTTATGATCAGAACATATCTACTTTTCTTCGTATAAATACATAACTAATTCGTTTTTGATAAAAGTAATAGCATCTAATTAGATTTGTGATATGTATAATGTCATTATTTATCCTGGTCGTAGGTGAGTCTATAATATTGGATTAGAACGCCTACGTAAAGTTAAAACAAAATAAAAACGCGTATTCGGTGAATTGTAAATTAGAATGACACATTATTCTCTGGATGACATGTTAAATCAAATCATATAGCATAATAAGATACAAGATTTTCTTCTATCTCACATCAATATATAACATAGCTTTATTTTCTGTATACACTGACACGTAAATAAAACGTAGAAAAAGATGGAAAGAACACCAACTTTGCTTCTCCAATACATGAAACTTTAACCCAAAAAAAAAGAACACCAACTTTGCTTAAAATGCTTTTATAAAAGTAAAATAGTATGCATAATAGTTGCACTTTTCGACACTTCCCTTTATTTATGAAGTTTAAGAACTTGGTCACGCGTATGAAATCTTTGGAAAAGCAATAACTGTACGGACGTCATTGTCAGATGTCAAGTTCAATAAACAAAAAAAAAGAAAGAAAAAAAAAAAGCGAGTTTCGCGGGACCCCTCGGTTTCCAACTCATTTTACGATTGTGCCATCTGACTCGTCATTTACTCCTAGCCGTCGGATGAAAAGGCTAGAATCTGGAGAGTGTACAGTCACTCGAAAACACAGGAACATATTCGCGTTTGTACAAGACCATAGTCAAACAAAAGTCAATAAATCTGACGGTTGAGATTTTCAGTTGGAGGAAAAGTGGTCCCCATGAATTAATAAAACGGCTTATGTTGGTCTCCACGCGCCTCCGTTGGTTTATCCAAATGTAGCATCCCCGTTCACCGTTTGAACCGACCTCTTTCTCTCTCTCTCTCTACACTCTACTCTAAATATTGCAGAGTGTGTTGTTCGTCGCTTTCACTGCCAGCCTTTTTTTTTTTCTCTCTCTCTCTCTTCTCTCACTAAATTCTCTCGCCGACCTTCTTCAAACCCTAGAAAAACGCTTAATTTCTGGAAGACCGATCGACGAAGCTTTTTCCTGAATTGCTTCCCCGGTATGGTTAGAGCCTTGAGTGTTCTTGTGGATTTTAGTTTTTTTTTTCGTGCATTTTGATTTCGAGGTTTGGAAATAGATTTTACTGTTTTTCCTTTGGTTCTTTAGTGAGAATTGCTTTGGCAATTTAGAAATGTGGGTGAAAGTGTTGGTTTTTTTTACAGGATGAATTTAGCGGTTTATCGTTGTGAGTGACCACCATGGATGATGAAGAAGATCTCTGGGGTCCGCCACGAGGTAATTTTGGTTGGATCAATTATGGTATCTACTGTTTCTTGTCTTGTGACTGATGATGATGCAAAGTTTGTGTTTTTTTTTGTAGTTGTGCAGCAAGACGATACTTTTCGTAAGCAAACCCTACGTCGTTGTGAATTTTGGTTCGATTGTAGAACAGGTAGTGCTGGATTTTGGTTCAAAATGTTTTTGATTTTTGTTTTGATTCTCTTTTGAGAACAATCGTTTGTTGCTCTTTTTAGATGTGCTCGAAGAAAATATCCAGAACGAAAAATATTGTGAGCAAGTGTGGCGGATTTTGACCGAGAAGAAGAAGAAGAAGCAAGTTGTTGCAATTGCTGAGCTTGAGGAGAGGGTTTCGGTTTCGGTTCAAAATGATACGGCTTCCTCTGGGAGTGGTGGTGACTTGCATGAGATAGACTCTTCTGATTCTGTAAGAGACTTTTAAGTTTTACATTTGTTTTCTGTATTCACAGATTACTAGGACTAGGAGTAACTTTGTTATGTCTTCTACAGGATAAGACTCTCAGTGCTACTCTTCCAGATTCTGATACAAGTTCTGCTAAATTGGCTCTTTATGACGATGATAACACTTCTAGTATCAGCGATGCTCAGACTATTCAGACCAGAGATTCTACTAACGACGACACTGAAGAAATTGAGCCTGAAACAAGATTGATTACTCACGACACAGCAGCAAATGATCCACTAACAGTTGAGGTCTGTACCGTTCTCTTCTTTTCTGAGTTCATTGTCATACATCCATGGGAATCTTGTATCATGCAACTTTTTGTTTTCTTGTTTAAAGAACCAAATGAGCAGCTTGGATGTTTGTAGTAAAATGCTGTTTTTTTCAATGATAGGTTACTGAAGATGCTGATACCTCTTCTAGCCCTGTGTTAGCAAGCAAGATTGACGAATCTGAAGAACATTCTTGTTCATCCTTGGTTACTGACCAAGTCTTTGATCCTATTAAACAAGCCCCCGAGAACAAATCTTCATCTGCTATAAGCCGTGAGAATATTGGAGGTTCCACCCTGAGGCCATTGCTTTTGGAGACCCGGAAGGCAAATGCTACAAACGAAGATGGGGACATATTGAAGGATCATCAGCAAAACGATAGCTTGCACGATATTGTAACTGCTTCTGAACCTTTTACCACAGAGTCTCTCTTAGAAATGTGTGATGAACCGGACAAAGGCAGAGAAATCTCATGTGGTGAGAGAAGCAAAAAATCACAATCTGAAGCTGTGGTGAAGACTGTTGTTAAAGACGAGCTGATCATAAGCTTGCTTACCGAGGCAAGAAAAAAGGCAGAGAGCAAGAATCCTGGGTCAGTCCTAATAAAGAAGAGGCAGAGACAGTCTAACAGCAGCGATAATGGCGTGAACACAAGTTTTATCAGAAACATCAAGCAGAAAGTACAAGGTGGGGCTGGTGAGATTAATATTGATCCAGTTAAAAACTCAGCCAGGTCGACACCTAAGATCATCAGTTCGATTGTTCCCACACAGCATGCAGATTCATTGTTGGATTCGATAGACGGAAAAATCCAGAGAGGTGGACATAATGGAAGTGACTCGGTGATATCATTATCAATAAGTGAGTTGAAGAAGAAGACAGGCAAGGAATTAAGAAGCATAGCAAAGGATCTGAAAGTAACACATTACTATAAGCTCAAGAAAGAAGATCTTCTTCAACGGATAACCAATCAACTAAACCCCAGTTAGCCGATTGTACAAAGCAGAGAATGGAGTCATAACCGATATCAGTGGTATAGTTAACATTAGGCCTTACACAACAGTCCTTCTCTTTTGTTTCTTTCTCTCTATGGTACAACCATTAGCTTGAATAATCATACGGAGGTTGCTTGGCTTTAGAATGCAGCGTTTCAAAATAGTCTAAAGTAGAATGCTTATTGAGATAATGAAGTTGATATTTGCTTAGTAACTAAAAATGTGTGTTTTCTTTCTTCAAGTAAAATTGTTTGAGCAAATAAAGCTCTCATTGATCATAAAGAAAATGATACAGTACAAGGATTGCTTTGACTCAGGTACTAAACAAAGAATCCATTTCAAGTTATGACAGAATTGAAACTACACCTTCCCATTAAAGCTATAATGTTTTAATGAAGCATCTGCAGCTTGCACAAGTAATTTATGTTGTATCTCTTAGTAATCACATCCAACAAGTTTGGATTGTAAAAGCCATGACTAACTAATCAAGGCTGACCAAGAAGGGAAGGCCTGTAGAATGCATGGCTCTGTGCAATCTCAATACGGTCTCTTGGATCGTTCAATGTTTCGTCCCTTAACGCTTGCAGAATAGCTTGCGTTGATTGTTCTCTGCAAATTTGAACAACATAAATTTATTAGAGAATCGAAGAAGCAAGTTTCTAATGATTTAATGTCTCGCAAAGTCCCAAGACATTCTTGGAAACTGAAATCTGACTGACCAAAGTTTAAACTTCAAGATTTCATATTATTTACCTTGTGATGAGTATCTTGTAGAGTGTCTTCAAAATAGGACATGATTCGACCGGAGCTACAGGTTTCTTCTCTTCAGAGGGCAATATACTTAAGCTTGACTGACTAAGCAATTGGTAAAATGCTCCCACAGCAGAAACACCCTATTCAACATAAATCCTCATAAGCAAAACAGATACCAAAACAATTTCAAACTTCTTTTAAGGCTTTGTTCTCACAGATTAAGTACCTGAATCATTCCCTTCCCGCTTATGCTATCACCCATGTCTCTATTTATTTCCCCCTTTGCCAGCATTTGACCGTACCATGCATTACGCCCTTTTAATAAGGTCACATAAGTGTCAGCTAGCAAAGGCCCTGCAAGTTTCTCAGGCTCTTCTGCTAGTAAATGAGTGATAAATATCATCTCAGATGTACAATGAGCAAAATACACCGACTTGCTTGTAGCGCTCTCTTTAGTGAGCGCCGCTACCATTCCTGAACAAAACAAGAGGGATCAAAGTGTGAAAACCAGAGATTATCACTCAAATCTTTGTGTACATACAGAAACTTACCAGCTCCAATGGCGTAGACATTCTTGAGACCTCCCATTACTTCATGTGTCACAAGATCACTATTGTCCCAAACAATGAAATGAGGTTGCCTTAAGAACTTAGCTAGTGGCTTCCTCCATTTAGCAGCTCCGCAGATTCTAGCATTGGCATATTCCTTGTTGTAAATTTCAGCAGCAATGTTCGGTCCACCAAGATACAGGACATTGTCGATTGGTACACCAGCTACCACAAACAATGAAAGTGCAAACCAATTTTAGAAAACTAAGATTGTGTCATTAGACTCAATACCAAGGGATCAAAATCAAGAAGAAGAAGAAGCTTACTTGCTTGATGAATCATCTTTGTTGGAGTTATGATATGTGGAACTGGTTCAAGAGCAGTTTCAATACCCTTTGACAGAGAGATAATAATAGGAACCGTTATTCTCTCTTTCCAATACTTACTAATCTCTTCAAACACTTCGCGTGTTTCGGTTGAAGGCAATCCATTAACAACAATATCAGCATCCCACACAGCTTCTTGCAGATTTGTCACAACCTTGAGAGGACAAAGCGGTGTGTCAACCATGTTAAGACAAAACCCGTCTTTCAAAATCTCATCAGCATAGAGCGTCCTATCACCGAGCCTTGCCTCAACATATTTCAGATAAGCGCAGCGTCTTATCAGTCTCCTCAAGATATCTTCCCTTGAATTGATCACTTCAAACAAATGTTCTGCAGTTGCTCTATCAACAGCTCTTCCAGCTCTTCTCCATATCCTGATCTGAAACTTATCCCTAAAACCTCCATAGCTTTCTTGAAGAAGTGCTGCAAAAACACTTCCCCAAGCACCAGCACCAACACTTACAATCCTCAACGGATCTTTGTCTGATTTCCCCAAAAGACGACGAAATTCATCAAGTTTCTCCTCCAAATTAAGACCATTATGATGAACAGACCCATTTGATTGCAGGCTTTTGGCCTCAATGCTTCCCACCATTCCTTCTTCTTTTGGTCCACACAAACACAACAAGTTCAAACAAACCAAAGACAATAATGAGCAATGTCTAGAAATGATTTTCTGGTGGTTATGTAAATCCACTACAGATTTATATATGGGTTTAGATCATAGAGAACAAAGAAACCAAGTTGGATTTGAAAAAAAAAAAAACAGAGAGACCAACTTGAGCATTACCAATCAAACCAACTCCTTGCTCCAAAAAAAATCAAGATTTTCTTGGTTCCCTAACTCAGATTTTTCTCACCAAACAAAATTTGAGTTGTTTTGTGTCCTAGCTTCTTCTGTCATGTAAGAAAGAGGCAAATCATAAAAATCAGACATTAATGCATAGATACCAAAAAATCCTTTAAATAGTAATACTACAAACATGACACAATGCGGAGAAAAATCAAAGAAAGATTAAGGAATAAAATAAATGAAATACAATAAAACTTTGTTAGCTCCGTCTTTGAGTTGTTCATCTACCAAAAGAAGACTGTCCAATAAAATAAAAACACAAGTCAAGAACAAACCTTTCGTGTCGGCAACCACAAAGAAGAAAGATATCAAATCAGCTCATGAGAATTGCCAAATCAAGAAAGTAAAAAACGCATGAGAAAGATTTGGGAATCATCAAAACTTGCATGCAGAAGAAGAGTTAAATTAAATACAGAGCAAAGCTTATTGTGCAAACGGAGAGGAATGGACATAAGCATTGATTGGTACAGTTGGGGAAAGGGATAGACTTTTTATTTTGACATTAGTTTTTTGGTTATGGGGATATTTAAGGGAAGGTGCCTAACTTCGGATACATTCATTAATGGCACAAGAAAATTTACTCCCAACTTTTTTGGTACCAGTCTTCTTCGTTTTCTCTATTATCACCTCCATTTTTTTTTGGTTTGTGGATGGATTCTCAATCTGAACAACATTTATGGGAAATTGTTTTAGCTATACCGGCATTTATTATACACCGAAAAACAAATTAATATTCATACAAGTTAATAAATAAAGGGAAAATTGAAAATAAAGGACAAATAATTAAACTATTGTCCATCTATGCATTCTATATTCATGATTGGTCATATATACTTTAATATTGGTCATATATGATTTCATATAATTAAAATCCCAATATGCCCACAGTCTATTAAAATCTTACTAAACTATTAAAAAAATTCAAAATTAAATTGATTTCTTTCTAAAAACAATTTGGAAAAAATATAGGACAAAATCAACATTTATTTACATTCCATTATTTGTTTGCCGTAGATAATTTCATATCTTCTTCTTCTTTGATTCTCTTGCTCATTAAAGTTAAGCTTTCGTAATTGTTCTCTCATCTCTAATAACGCCATATTAAATAACTTTTTTTTCTTCTTTCTCAATCTCTCTCTCTATCTCCCTCCCTTGATTTCAATTTCGTAATGGAGCGCAACTGTAATTTTTCGGGTTTTGAAACAAGAAATTAAGCGTAATCTATAGGAAAAAGTGTCAAGTATAAAGAAAAATTCTAATTTGTGTTATAATTTATTCACTTAGGTATAAAGAATTTTAAAGTATTCAAAATTCAACTAATTTTCTGGGTTTTGAGACAAGAAATTAAGCGTAATCTATAGGAAAAAGTGTGAAGTATAAAGAAAAATTCTAATTTGTGTTATAATTTATTCAGTTAGGTATAAAATTTTTTAAAGTATTCAGAATTCAACTTCTGTAATTTGCAGATGTAATCAAATTCACTATATTCAATTTCCATATTTTAAGATTTTTTTTTTTAAAATCTAAATTAGACAGAATGTACTTTCTAATTTTTATAGAATAAAAAAAATCTTAAGAATATGTTTTCTAACATTCTTAGAACATGAGTAAATGTTAGAAAACATATTCTAATTTTTGTAGAACAAAGAACAAAGTATAGAATATGTATTCTAAAAGTCGTAGAAACTAGTATTCTAAATACCGTAGAACAGAAATGACTTCTAAATTTTTTAGAACATGTAGAGTGTGTAGAATACATAATCTAAATTTTGTAGAACATGTAGAGTGTATAGAATATACATTCTAATTTCAGAAGACATATTCTAAACTTTATAGATCAAATTTTATCCATCTAAAACGAAAACAAAACAATATATTTTTGACATTTTATATATCTTCATGTCTTCTTCATCATTTTAATACATATTTTTCTTAATTATTTTTGAAACAATTGGTTCAATCTTATGCAAGGGGTAATTTAGGAATAGTTGATATTTGTTCATAGAATTCATATATGGACAAATACTTAAATATTTATCCTTTATTTCCAATTTTCCCAATAAATAAATGGGTCCGGCGCAAAAAAAAAAAAAAATCCATGCGTTATGTTCTGATATGTCATGTTATATATAAATGATTTGATCACCTAACAAAGACACACTTAATGAAATTGATTTTTGCCATTATAGATTTCATTTTTTTTACGAATTTTCTAAGATATAGTATATGGGACAAAAAAAAAAAGATAAACTCTATAATCAATCCGACATCTAGATGGTCTAGGTGAATTTGATTATTACATTAAGATGTTCTTGTCACATTTTCTCTGTTTATTTACAAAGAGAAATATTAATAAAACTGGATTTTGATTTTCACATTAAGATATTCAAATGGGCCTTTGAAGACCGTTTAGTTGGGCCAGAAGTTTTAAGAGATATGTTGTGGAATTATTTCTATATGGGCTCTCTGATCCACTGTAGAAACCGATAGACCTCTCTCACTCGATCATTTTTCTTCTTCGTCTTCGTCTTCGCTGCATCTGTTCTTTCTTCTAGACTTTGCACACAGATAGTGAGTGAGATAGAGAGAGTGAAAATGGAGAGTGGACTAAGCGAGATCGGGAGCACGAAGATGTTCGATGGTTACAACAAAAGATACAAACACTACAGTGAGACACTCGGATGTTCCATGACCTTTTCCATCTACTTCCCTCCTTCTGCTTCTTCTTCCCATAAATCTCCTGTATGCAATAATATTCCTTCTTCTTCATTAGTTTGATCTCAATTTGTTGTTATAGTTTTCTCGATTCATGTTCTTTGGTAGAGATTTGATTGTTTCTTCTACAGTAAAAAAGAACTCTTTTTGTGACTTTTCTCAATTTTCCATTTTTTTTCAATAACTGTTATCTATGGATTTCTTCCATATTGTTCTAAAGAAGAAAACTTTAGTTTTGCATGATTGTGTTTGGAGCCTTGGTTTTGCTGGGATGCCAAAAAATCATGCTACTTCATGACCACTGATTGGCATTTTAGATGAATGATTCTCCATGTTGTTGATTGACAGGTGCTTTACTGGCTTTCTGGCCTCACCTGCACGGATGAGAACTTCATTATCAAATCTGGGGCTCAACGTGCTGCTTCTACTCACGGCATTGCTCTTGTTGCTCCAGACACTTCTCCAAGTGAGCCAACAGTATTTTCATTTGTTTGATTTGCCCTGTTTCTTACTCTGGTTTATCATTGTCCCTTGATGTGTATTTTTAACACTCTGTGACGAGAACTTTGTGTTTTCCTTGATTAAACACTCTGTGGTGGTTTTCATATTGTAGGAGGACTAAATGTTGAAGGGGAAGCAGATAGTTACGACTTTGGTGTAGGTATGCAACGTTACATGCTTCTGGTTTGCATTCCATGTACTTTTTTTTCTGAACAAGTTGTAGCTTTGGACCTATTGGTCTGGTCTTTAATTATTCAGGTCATTCTTACAATGAAGGGTGATAAAAATTTCTTTCTTTTGTGTTTGATTTCGACTAGGAGCTGGATTCTACCTCAATGCTACTCAGGAAAAGTGGAAAAACTGGCGTATGTATGACTATGTTGTCAAAGAGTTGCCAAAACTCCTGAGTGAAAACTTTTCTCAGCTTGACACAACTAAAGCATCTATATCTGGACACTCCATGGGTGGACATGGAGCTCTTACTATATACCTGAAGAACCTCGATAAATACAAGGTACTTATTTCAAAAGATTTTGTGAATTTCCTTGTGGCATTGCAATGTGAATAAGATGCTTGAAACTTGGAATCTATAATCAAAAGATAGATTGTCTTTCATGGGGGTGTGTGGATAATATTCTTGAATCAAATACTTGTTACTCCTATATCATTCTTTTAAATTTAACCACTTTTTCTGTGTGACATGTTTAGTCTGTGTCTGCGTTTGCACCAATTGCCAATCCCATAAATTGTGCATGGGGACAGAAGGCATTCACCAATTATCTAGGTGACAACAAGGCTGTTTGGGAGGTAAAAACCAACCTAAAATAAGATATCATAGTTCCTTTTCCAAATTTGATGCATAGTTCCTTATGGAAATTTCAGGAATACGATGCCACTTGTCTTATTTCAAAGTTCAACAATCTGTCTGCAACAATTCTAATTGATCAGGTAAAGCCCCTTTCACCATGTGTTTTTGCTGGTTTATCTGTCTTCCTTTACGTGGAACCTGAACCATCTTTGCTTCTACCCATATAGGGAGAAAGCGACCAGTTCTACCCTGATCAGTTATTCCCCAGCAATTTTGAGGAGGCTTGCAAGAAAGTGAATGCACCGCTCTTACTGCGCCTCCAGCCAGGATACGACCACTCCTACTATTTCATTGCCACCTTCATCGAAGACCACATTAGTCACCATGCTCAAGCCCTTAAGCTCTAGCTCACTTCATCTGCTTGGAAACCAGCTTTGGGTTTGTCCAGATATTAGTATCTCAATAAAGCAAGTGGACTTGTAATGTTTTGTGTTCAATAACTGCCCTGTGTGCTCTTTCGTCTACGAAAAAAAAAATCATCTTTGTTTCATATCATACCCCATTCAACGAGACACAAGAACACATAAATGTATAAGACAAGAGTCTTTTAAACACAAAGATAGTGTTTCCTTTACCAAGCTTAGGCCAAAAACGACCAATTTTGGACCACATGAAGACTCAGATAAAGGACTGTCGGCATGAAAGAGCGTTTTGATTTGTTTGACATGGTAAGATATAAAAGTGTGGGGCAGAGTAACATATTACCGAAATATTTGGGTAAATGTAAAAACTGCCAATACAGTTACAAACAAGTGCTACTCACCTGCTGTGTTACTTGGCAACTGCTTTTATAGTCAACAAAAGAAGAAGGCCTCAATTGAAAGAATTCATTAAGGTCATTCAGCAAGAGCACTAATCTTACAAGGATCCTATTATTGAGTTCCTTGTCTGTGTGTTCTTTCATGGGGCTCAAAAGAATATGCAAGAGTGTGAAGAGGTAGAGCAGCCTTAACATTTTTTTTTGTTTTTTTTTCTGCTTGAAAGTGGCTGCATGATGAAACTTGGCATGTTAATAACATAATTAGGCATGACAAGCACCTTTAAGATATAATATAGTAATATGTTAGACCAAATTAGGTTTCTCATTTATTTGATCTTTTGAATGTGTTACAAACAGTATAATCAGCAAAAGCAAACATACATTTTTTCAGTTACGTGTAGTTGGGTCTCAACCTCTCAGTAGTCCCCCTTTTCACCATTGAAGCAAACAATTCCTTCGAGGCAAGCTGGTATCATTTGGGGGCTGTTCGTTTGCTCATTTGGGATATGCATCTAAATGCTTCATCCAAATGATCTATTTGGCTAATCCATCTGAATGATGTTCGTTTTCATTTTTGGTGGTTCATCTGGATGATCCATCTAACTGCTTTTGGTTAAAACTTTGTTTGTTTGGTTGAGAACCATTCTCATCTAGATGTTTTTGATTAGAAAAATGACTAAAATGCCCATGTTTTCATCTAATTATATTTTAATTTTTAATCTTAACTATATTAATTTTAATTATTGATCAAATATATTTTACAACCAAACAAATTTCAAATTATTATATTTGACCTTTATAAATTTCCATTTTCATGAAATTGATTTTTTTATAAGAACCAAAACATATGTTATGACAATTAACGAAGAGCCAACATCATTACCAAACATAAACTTCAAAAATCTTAATAACAATACAACCCGAGCCTCATATAGAGCATCTCCTTTGTCAAAGTCTTCAAATTCTGAAACAAAAACAAAGCAATCGTCACACAATCATCACCATGACAAAACAAAGCAATTTCAATAGCCTTAAAGTTCAAGAGGCTAAGCAAGATCCCAGAAGCTAAACTTTTTTGTCATAACCAAAGATAAATTCATTACCACTACTTTTGGTGCATTTACTAAACCTATCAGTACAAACAATGATTTGATTGAACAGAGAACCAATTACTATTGAAGAACAAGTAGAGATTATACGAATAATGACATACCTTATTCTGGTTACCAGTTCCAACACCACCATCAGTCTTCTCTGCCTCAGCCTTAAGATCAACCTGCAACATCTGCAACAGACTTCATACGATTCTTAAAGTTGACACCAATTCAACACAGAAATTCTCACAGAAAATCCCTACCAAAACTCAGCTAAAGTACCAATCTTATTGAACCAAAAGAGATTTAACAGGATCCCGCATAGCCTCCATAATTCTGTCACCAGAAGGTACATATGGAACATGCCCATCATTTTCATCACCATGCTGCTCATATGATTCCACCATTTCCCAATGTTTAAAATCACTATCTTCTTGCTGTGAATCTCGGATAAAATTATGTAACAATAAGAAAAAAAGGGATCAAAGAAAACAATAAGAAACCAACCTTCTTCTCCTGACCTTGTTGCATCGTCTTTAAAGCAAATTTAAACTAGCAAACAGTGGGAAATGAGGAGAAAAGTTAAACTAGCAATAGATCTATAAGATAACGAACACAAAGGGAAAGATATAAGATAAACACATCTAAGGCCTACACCACAAAACCAGAACAAAAGAAGAAACCTGAAGTTATTGTTCATGTTTTAGAACAATCTACCAATGACAAACAACAATACACATTTTATAGACTGTCTCCAATAAAGTGAATAAATGACAAAAGAGTTTAAGAATCTGTAAAGGCTTTAGAACAATCCAACCATAAGCTTAAACAATGCTAAGATTCCATTCTCATACAAATTGAGCTTAGGTTTTATAGGGTTTTAAGCTTCAAGAGATCATATATTCTCTTGAGAAGAAAGAAGAAGAAGACATAACAAGAAAAGAAAAAGGTACAGAAAAAGCAACGACTAAACTATATTTTATCAAGAAGCAAATTAAACTAAAGCAACCAAAGCTTTCATAACCGACGCAGACACATAATCAACAAGTAATCTAAAATCCAGTATCAACCATTTGAGTTCTATAACACTCTAATGCTCCAGATTAGCTTGTATTTATTGAATTAACGTTCATAAACATTAGAGAACACACACTTAGCAGAATTAAGAATAGTCTATTGTGGCTCATAAACACCAAGCAGCATACATATCCAAAAATAAACAGGACACAAGTAATTACAAGCTCTACCAAAAACAAACCAACCACTGATTTTGTGAGGCATTTCATCAAACACTTGGTTGGCATCAACAATAAGAACAAAACAAGTGAAATTTGGACAAACCCACAAGGTGAAATCAAAGGAAGCATATGCAGAATCAACAATAACGAAAGCGAAGAACAAAGAGATGAAGTTGCATCAAGACTGAGAGAACAAAATCGACGAGACTATGACACAACGAATCTGTGAGAGAGAACTAACCAGGAGAAGGAGTCGAGAGAGAAATCGAAGCGAGAGAGAGCTTCGTCCGCCGAGAGAGAGCTTCATCGCCGAGAGAGATCAAAATGACGTGTGAGAGAGAACAGAGCTTGTCGTCGCCGAGAGAAGAGAAGAAAATCGATGTGTAATTGTTGAGTTTCATTAGGGGTATTTTTGACATTTCCAAAATTTGGCTGAACCATCTCCAGCTGACTGCACCAATCAGACTCAGTCAAAATTTTCAAAATTTTTGGATGAGTTTAGTAAAGTTCATTCAACTGATTCATCTCAATGATCTGTTAAATGGTCAAAAAAGAACATCATTTTTCATCTTCATTTGGATGATCCATCTCAATGGAGAAACGAACAGCACCTTGCTGAATTGATGTGTAGCAGAGCTTTACACTTCACCAGCTCTGGAATAACACCTGGGAGGAACCCAGTGGATCCCTTTTGCTTATGCCACAAAAAATACTGCGTTCCTTTTGCTTACGCCACCAAGAATTTTAGCCTTTTACCACCACCAAGAAGGCGTGTTTCGGTTTGTCCTCCCGCTGTCCTTCCAATGTCGCCTGCTTGTCTGATATGGAGGGCTACTTGCTTCTGCAGCCTTTCTTCTGTAGCTTTCTCTAGATGCCCTGGCTTTTCTAATCTCTTCATCAAGTTCATAGTCCGACCTCTGTTACAACAAAAACCTGATCAGTAACCATTTATATGCGGCAGGTCCTAGGATGTTCTATTCCTGGTAAGTGTTCATAGGAAACAAACAGAAATCACATTAAAGGTTTGGCAGCATAACATGCGAGAAAGCAAACCTTAATTGGGTCAGAAAGAACTGAATATGCCTCTCCAATCATTTTGAAGAGCCTATCTGCACCCTTGTGAACCTCTTCTAATATTTCCTTCAACCACGGTCCTTCACTTTCGCTTCTGACAAGGATCTGTGCAGCCTGAATACATACACATCAAAGAGAACACATCAGCTGATGCAAAATAATGATTTGGATCATTATCAGCAAGTAAAACACAGATTACCTTGTCTGGGTGATGTCTAAGAGCTGCTTTGCGGTATGCCTTTTTGATATCAGCAGCAGAGTCAGATGTCTTCACTCCCCTGCAAATTAGCAAAACGAGAATAGAAGATAGCCTTAATATCAGCATACAATTATACTGGATATATGCATAACATAAACTATAGCCAGGTCTCCAATAATATGAATTGCAAAAATGACTTTGTAAAAAGTGAGCATACATGATGAGGAAGAAATCCAGAGGAATGCCCTCTTTAGATTTTTCTTCCATCACAGACAACCGTTGACGGGCCTGCTTTAGTTCTTTCCTGCTGCTTGCACGATCAGCAGATGTCTCTGGCGTTTTTGTCTTATCACTTTGCTTTACGAGAATGCTGATAAGCCTCTGGAGATCACTAGCTGCTTGATCATAATCTCTGATCATCTCATGTAATGTGGCTCTCCTGGAAACTGCCTGAAAATGGTAGGATAAGTCGGGTTGATTTTTTTCATGAAACCTCATTCTTAGAATGTGATGGTTACATGCTGCTTCAGTCCTTGCCACATTTCAAGAACATAGATTATACATGCCCTATTTATATAGTATTATTACTATCCGTCTCAGATGTGAGAAAATCTCGGAAGAAGCTCTATACTGCTAATCGGAAGTGTTCTTATTTGAAAACTTGAAAGATAATATAATATTTGCTTATTTATGAGTAGACAAAAATATTGTTTTAGGAAGATGGGTATTCAACAAACGAATCTTAATGCACCTATAGCAATTCCAATACAAAAGTTTATAAGCATTCCGTTTTAGATCACAGGAAGGTTCATGTGTGCATGTTCACAAGTTAAAAGCAAAAATATTACAATATACCTTTGTGTAGTTTTCATCAAGAGCCATGGCAAGACTACAGTCGGCAATTGCATCGGCAATTTGGACTAGGGCCTGATTAGCAGCCGCACGATTGCAAAAGCAAATTGCTGCAAACGGGCGTGAGTCAACATTTCTTGATAGTGCAGCAGTATACTGCTCTACTGCTTCCATATACTTTCTGTCCCGAACAGCTTCATTACCTGCGTTCTGCAATCACAGAATAAAACTTTGGTAAATAAAATCAAAGCAGAAAAAATATCTTTATTTAGCAAAGAAGCATAACGAATGATTGTATCAGACCTGTTGATGTTAAAGACAACATATACCACACAAAAATATGAAGAATCCCTAAGTTCCATCATAGAGCATACCTTATAACGTAAGAGTTCAGAAATGGTGGCTACTAAAGAAGCTGGTGACTCACGACACTCTTCCTGATTCCTGGGGAGCAAAACATACATTTTCAGCTAGGATAACAAATGAAGATAATGCAGACATAAAAATAAATTCATTGTTGCACAACATAGAAAAAGTGTTTACTCATTGCAGGTATATCCCACTTGCTGTAACTTTTCTAATATATCAAGGGCCTTCTCAAGGTTTCCCAAGTAGAAGTGCGACTTGGAAATCATGTTCCATCTCCAAACTATTAGCGAGTGATATGTAGACCCTAATCCATCAACATTTGTCGTCCCACTAATCCCTGCTGAAATCAAATTCCTCTCAGCCGTCTGAAGGGTAGTCTCACACAGCTCGATCACTTCTTTATATCGTCGGATCTGTAAGATTGACATAGAAGATCATGCCCACTGAAAGCAAAATTCAATTTCAGAGAAGTGAAAAGGAAAGGCTACTCACCATAAATAGGGCCTCGGCCTTCATTTGAAGCAATTTATCTGAGCATGAACTAATTGTTAAGGCATTGGCAATTGGAACCAATGCGTCAGATGCGCCATCGGGTGTTCTCTTTTCCAAAAAAGTGGATGCGCAGTTGGTAAAGTCAGCTACCCTCTGCAGGTAAGTAAAATAAAAATGTGTTCAATTAGACATTAACAGAACTATGTGCTGATTCAGCACATTGTTGGCTAAATCAACATCCAAATCATATCCTAACTAATAAAGTATAGAACTATTTTGATTAGACCATGGTAGAACAGTGATATAGCTGAGAAGAGAATGCATACTTGAGCCCGTTGTAAACCTTCAGCTGCTTCTATAGTAGTTCGTCGATCCAAGCAGACACTAGAGGTGGATTCCATGCATTTATTAAAATACTGCACTGCTGCTCCAAGTTCCCCCAGCACAAGATGACAACTAAAGCAAACATAGAAGAAAATATGAATACATCAAATTCAATTAAATAACATAATCATTGATTTTACTAGATTCAGAGTGTGAATTTTATTTCTAAGATATAAACTTCCTTGGCCACTTCAAGAAAATTCGTATCTAAAACCTGAGCAGGCGGGATCTACTAAATTCAAGCTATAAAGCTTAAGCAAAAAAAAAGGACAAATTGACTCAGGCGACACAATAATTTCTGGACATAACATAAGTTCCGTTAGTCAACAGATATGATTCATATGAATCACAACAAAACAACTCTGGACAAGTACGCCTTAAACTTACTTTGCAGCTCTCGTATACGCTTTAATGTAGCTTGGATCAAGTGAGGCAGCTATCTCACAGTCGCTTATAGCCTCCCTCAATCTTCCAAGAGAAATCCGTGCTGCGGCGCGGTTACCATAGCAAAGCGCAAGAGGCTTCACAGAGTATTCTGAATTATCATTTGACGGGGAAGAACGAATACCATGTGTGTAACATTCCTCAGCTTTACACATATTACCATTTTTGTAGGCTTGATTTCCCCTGATACAAACAATTACTTCGCTCAATTCTCAGAAAGAAAATATTCAAAAAGCGCCAATGTTGGAGCTCTTGAGTTAGTATATGATACCTTAGTCGCCAAACCTCACAGACATCAGGCATCATTGATGTAGAGCCTGAGTCCTGTTTGGATTGACCTGTATTCACACGTTGATTTTCTTGATTGTTTCGCATGGTTGTATTAAGATTGTTTTTGGGCACACTGTTATTAACTTTCCTCCTATATTTCTTTACAGCTTGAAGCTTTTTATGTGGTATTGTTCCCTGAGAGGTGGACGCTGAGAAAGAAAAATTTGGCATACAACTACTCCCATGATCCTCTGCCGTAAAGAGAAATGAATCCCTGGCTGAGGGTTCTCTTGAATGTGAGGGTCTCAGAGGAGTTTCTGTTGGAAGTTGATTGCTGGCTGTCTCACCTTGATAAGGAGAATAATCCATGGGTGAGCAATATCCAGGGGAATTGAGTTTTTCGTGATCCTCAATTCCCTCAGCAGTCTGATCGTTGCATCGATCTTGCTTACGCTGTTTCATTTTTTCCAAGACTTTCTTTGATCTCTTGTCCTTGGACGAACGATTACTTCGTGCAAGTACTGGATTTCTGTTTACTTCTGGAAATAGACTTCTCTTAAGCAACAAAGGATCCCATTCAGGTACTTTGAAATCATCAAAGGATGTTTTTGTACCAAAGCTAGTGTTTGTTAAGTTGTTTACGTTGGTGGTCTTGGAATGAAAAGTGGGTTTTTCATCTGCTGCATTATTACTTTGGTGAAAACCATCGGAACTGAAAGAGTATGGCCTTGATGTCGACGCACCTTCTTTACATTTAGGATCAACCTTTCCAAAGCTACTAAAAGTAAATACAGGTGTGTTACTGGATTTTCTTGCTTCCTCATAGTCACTGCCACCATGAACTCTGGAATCACTGATATTAAGCTTCTCCATGTCAGCAAGCAGGTTCAATTCGGGATCATCCCTATGATCGACAGTTTTACCATCAGCATATTGTACACTGTTAGACTTGCTACAAGATTTACTCGCTGATTTCTTGTCCATGCAATCCTGTCTTCGAAAAAACTCCTTGACAGCATCTGGATTCTGAACACTTTTCCAGCTTCCGTTTACACCACGATCAAACCTAACTCCATTTGTCGCATCACAAGTTGTGCTCTCACTACACGGTCTGATGTTTTCCCGATCATTATCCACCTTTCCCATAACTCCATGTGAATGTTCTTTAATGGATTCCGAATCCAACTCAGAGTCTCCTATAGGTGTACTAAACTCATCTTCATCAGACAAAGAAGCTATTGTGGCATTACCTGGACTAGCTTTTGCACCAGAACTGTTCTCACTAGCTCCAAAGACAAAAAATTTATCCCCAGGTGATTGGCCAGCAGCTCTATCATTCACACTGTTCATATGAAGACTACCTACAGAAACAAACTAAACCAATCAGCTCACAAAGTATCAAAAATGGATCTTTAAGGAAATCAAATTCGGCACAAATGCAACAAAACAAAATTACCTTTAGTTGGCGGCGCAAAAGGGTTGAAACCTGAGAGGATCGCGCCGGAAAAAGAGGGTCTTTTCACCTCTCTTCCATTCTTCCTCAATTTCGCCAGCCTCGGCTTTTGCCGAGTCTTCGTCGTTTGTCCTGAACCAGCTCCAAATCCGAAGGAGAACGAAGGGTCCATAGTTCGTTGATCGTGAGAGTGAACACTCTCCGGGAAAAATGCAGAGAAATCTTCCGTAGGGTTTAGAAAAGAAGAGACTTTTTCAACCGGAGACCCAATCTCCACCGCCGCAGGAGACATCCAAAAATTCGATTCTTTCAAAATCAAAATCGAAACTTTAGGGCTTTAGGAAAGAAATCTCTGGGGAAAACGAATCTGCTCTTGCGTGCTGAGGTGAAGTAAGGGAATGTATATAGCTTTCTACAGAGTACCGTTAGGGTTTTTGGGATTTGCTTATTACCAACGAAGAAGAAGAAGTAATTATGTAATAAATAAACTTTGTTGCGCCATTTTTCTTCAGGAGCCTCTGCTTCGCCTGACCGCCCACGAAAAAAATAAAATAAAATAATAAAAATATACACATAATATTTACATACACGTGTGTATTATTGCTTCACACGTGTGACAAACGAAGTGAAATTTGAAGAGAGAAAAAAAAAAAAAAGCTTGCTTCTATGCTCTTCGGGACTATTCATGGCGGAAAGGCGCCAAATTTCTGCCATCTTCAAGACAAATTGGGATAATCGTGGTTGTGGCAGTATAATAATGATGGAGTTTCGGATTCTCCAGCGGCTCGTGAGCTAAATTGAGAATCGATTCTTCAAGGTAGATTCTTCAAGCTATAGTAAATTGTTTGCTTAGAGTAGATATAAAAATGATGCTTTGAGTTTTTGGACCATCTTCTCTTGCCATAACGACAAATGTAATGACACTGCGTAGGATTTTATGGAGATCCTATACAATGTCACAATCTGTTTCAGACTGTAAAATTTGTAGTTCACTAAAAGAAACAAAAAAGAAAGAATTTTTCACTCTCTTGCTGCCTAGCCTGAGCCGTTACAAGGACACAGGAAACTTTTATACAGTTCTAGGTTTTGGCAGTATTGATGCTCTCTCTAGTGGTACCTTTGAGGACTTCCTGTTGCCTTTGACTTTGAGAGTTGGATGGGAGATAATTGCCTTGTTGTCTTTTGGAATATTCTCTGGCCAGGGGCTAGAATTGCTAGTGGGTCGTAGGCATGTTTCCTCTGTGCAAATGTTTCCCATCTATTGCCAAAGTGTGATTTCCACTCTTGTTGAGTTTCATAATGAGGCAAATACTGCTTCACGTTGAGGTTTGCTGCTGCACAGTAGCTAATAACTCTTTGGTTTTGTTTCAGAAGGTACTCTAAATCGTTTTCCCCTGAGGAATTTGGCACTGCAGAGGGAAGAAGGGCCACGAGATAGAAGATATCTTCATTTGGAGTTATCAAAGACGTATGTTTGTTCCACCTGCAACCATAAATTGTTGGATATGGTTAGTAAATTTATGAGTCATTGGAAGCATTTGCTTTTGGCATTTTGCTCACTTACTTGGATTGATTGACTGGATATATAAGGATAGGGCCGTTATTGTTGCTTGTGAGAATGTTGTTGAAAACTTCTGTAGCAAATTGATATATGCTGCTCTTGGGAATCAGGAGATTCAGCCAGGGATGTGGAACCTCCCACAAACCCTTTGCTCTCAGTTTTCTCTCTGCGATATGCACGCGATCCAGAAACTCGATATATGGCACTTCAGTTGAAAACAAAGTGGATGGAATATAATTTAACTCTGAAACTAATTTGCCAGTTTCCTGCAGGGAAATGATTCATTATGTTAGCAACCAACGGTTGATCTGGAGCTCTCTGTAGAAACTAAGTCTCATTATATATTGCTTTCGAATCTTACCTGATGCATAGAGTTAGCTTCTTCTGGGTTGAAATATTTGACCACTTCTAGGCAATAAAGAGTTTTTCCATCTGACTTGAATCTGCTTGCCTGTGTGGAATCGTTGGGACTGAATGACGATCTCCAATTATTGAGGAGGTCTGTTCTATTGATTATCACAAATCCTTCAACGTAATCAAAAGTTTTCTCCTTCGAAATCAGATGTTCTTGGTCCCTTGAAAATGCAGAAAAGTCAGAGTAGAGTACCCTGATCCATTTAACCTATTAAAAGTCATTTGACTGTGTCAGGAAACTGGTTCTTAGAATCATAGTTTGAACTTTGATCAAGATAGAACTTTACCATTTGCGGTGCTGGTTCAAGAGAGATCCGTGCCCGAGTGATTATGCCAAACTGTCCAAGCCCGCCAAGAACACTGAAGAAAAGTTCAGAATTCAGCTTCTCAGAACAGGTTACGACTTCTCCTTTCCCTGTTTCAGTATTGAAAATATATTGCTTATCAGTTGTATATAACTTTTTTCTTGGTGCAAGTTATAAGTGTGCGTTGCATGTTTCACATTTTTGCCTATGCACTCTTGTTTTAGAGTCAAAAATATTTAAGTCTTCAATGTTTTAGATTCAAAAAATATTCTTTACAGGTGCATACTTTGTTGAGACTACCACAGAGATAGAGCATGAACGAAATACCTGTAACAATCTCTAGCTGGTAGACGTTGTTGATTTGGGGTCCATGCTTGAAGGCTTGACCACTGATTCCAGCGTTAGATAGAGTACCTCCAACGGTCAGATGAAGGTAGTCTGTCCAGGACTTTGGTGAAAGACCGTATTTTAGAGTCTCCCGTAGAATGTTGATCCATAATTCACCACCTGAGACATCAACATATGGTTGCTTCCCCTTGTAAATCCTGATATCAGGACTTCTAAGTGACTCCATTTTGATGACAACACCTTGATGAGCTAGAGCTTGTCCTTGAAGCGAGTGACCATGGCCTCTGGCTGCTACTGTAAGATTTGAGGTGGAGCCCAGATGTACTATATGCTTCATCATCGATGAAATATCAGAAACAGACCTTGGATGTAGAATTGCCAAAGGTGGTAACTGGTATCTGTTGCCAAAGTCCTTGGCCACATTGTGGACATCGTCAAAGCTTATGTAACCCTCCAAATCTAGTGAAACTAAGGAAGAACGAATATCTGGAGGATTTGAAGGAGGTAATTCTTTTGGGGTACTAACAGAATGATTGGAACAAAGATTGGTTCTACCTGGTATACAGCTTAGAACCAAGATCATGAAGATTCTGAGGAAAGTCTTGTTGTTTCGTCTATGGAACCGTAAGGATGAGGTCAATCCCATTTCTACTTTCTTGAGAGAAATTGCAAAGAGGCGGAATGGTATGAGGGAAGTAGAGGTAAAGTTGAGGTTGAGAGTACTCTCAGAAAAAAATTGAGGTAGAAAGGGGAATTTAAAGGAAAGGTTTTGAGCGGTACAGTCATATACTTGTGTTCACTATATAGCTGGGTTACCATTACTTTTTGTCTCTTGCTGCAAAGTAGATATCTTTGTGACATTGTATATACATTTTGCATATTATATAGTATGAAAGTTACTAGAAAAGTATTTCTAACTTCTATTTCCCATCTTTTTTATGGTAGGTTAATAATTCACATCCCGGGTACATACATTCTCTTCCTGCCACGATTTCCTGCATAATAGGTAAAAACTTTGTTTTACTGCATAGTTATTTCTTGTTATTATTTTGTCTTTTGGCTAGGCTTACTGTCAGAGCATGTACACTAGGGCCCCTACTTGGGTCTCATGGTACTTGAGCTCAGTTTAAGAGAAGACAATCTTGCCCACCACCCTCTACACCCAGTCTGGTAACCTCATTGGATCATGCTTATTGGGACCATATTGCATCACTTGATCCTGTCAGTTCTTGCAGTATTTAAATTTGACTCTAAAGCTTGGAAGTAAGTTACCCCTTAGGACCAAACATCAGCTTCGGCTACTCTTCTTTGCAGGATGGATACATAGCTCTCCTAAACACATGTTATAACTAAGCATTCCTTTTTTCATGATCTTAAGAGAAAAAAATAATCGTGTTGTGTATACATATTTTAGGTCTCCCTGGTGCTGTTCATGTGGATCCTCTCTTGCCATAAATTGCTTAAGAAAGGAAAAAAGTACCACAGCTGCATGTGGAAGCGCTTTGCGTTATCTCAGTACAAAAGTCTCAACTTTCAGCATGACATATTGAACAGAGCATATAAAAGTTTGATGTTCTTATTGGTGGTCCTGAAAGACCAAGTAAGGCCTTGTCATGATATTTCTTCTCCAGTAAATTAGATCTTAGTTGGAGGTGATATGTGTTCTTTGCTCAGAATTATCATAAAAAAAAGGAAAATTCATAAAAAGATGTACAGAAAAATAGATACCACTTTGTGCTACTTGCAATAAATAAACATAGAAGATGTGATGTATGTATAGTATTAACTTTGTGGGTATGTGTTGTTTCTTCCAATAGCGTCATGTTCTGTTTGTTAAGATGTAGGGGCCTCGCCTACATAGTCGGGAAAAATGGAAGCAAAGGCTGAAGAAGATGGTAATGTGGAGTGACAGTTTGAATAAAGGAGGCATTGCGAAAATAAAAGGTATTGATTTTGCTTATTTGAATAGGAGTGTTGAAATTTTTAGACTGATATGTGCAATTCTTTCTTCTACTTTTCCTTTCTTTTTTAGTAATATTAAGTGGCATTCCAACAAGTAGAGTCTTAGGATATAATGACTTAAAGGAGTCTATGAGAGCAAAAAGTTTACAGTGACCAATTATGTCAATAGATTTGCAGTGAATAACTACCCTTCGTCGTGTATCTGTCTTATGTGACTTTGTGTGCAATGAAAACCAGTGGGCTAAACATTATTACTCCTTTTTCATGACTAAAGAAGCACCTTTTAATTGTTCATTGTTACATTCTATTTTCTGTTTGCTTTATTGTTTTTTATATTTTCATGATTACATTGTCCCAATTATTGGGGGCATTGGCTAATTCACCTTTGTTATTGTAATCGTAGCTCACAATACCTTGGTCGCTCTAGTGGACATATACATAGAAGAAACTTTTTTCTTCCCATGTAAGTAAGATACACTTTCTTCTATATTAGACAGATTAATAACAGAGCATATTAGTCTAGTTTTCGTATAAAAAGATCGAGTATTTTGGTTAATATGAATGATGTATTTCCTATTTCTTGTTCTAGAGAATCAATGCATCATCAAAGAACACCATAAATTTATGTAGACCCCAAGTGAATCCCTTTCCGTACAGCAACATTATTGACATTCTATAGATTTAGTGGCACAAAGTTGTTGGTTTTTTCTTTGTAAAGGTTTATTGTTCTGTGTGTGAATTCTTTTTTATTGTTTATTTAAAACTTGTCGAGTTTTTGCAGGTCTCATTGTAGTGTCACTTTCCACTTAAAAGTTTCTTTATCTTTATTTTGCCTTTCCTTTTTCTAATTTCACAGGTAAATCGCCGTGAAGATTGCAATAAGTAGATAGTTGGGCACTAAGACTGTTTAGATAGCATCATTATGAGCACAATATGAAATATTAAACCACCACCATTGCCGCATAAATAAGGTTAAACTCCACAAAACATATTTAATCATTACTCTATATGTGATACATGTACCTTATTTTTCTTCTCTTTCACCAGTGTAAATAATTAGATATCTCAATTTCAAGTTATTGATATTATAGATAGAGAGAGAGAGAGAAAGAAATGGTCCCAAGATAGAATGTCGAGGTGGTGATTTGTGGAGTTGAGCTCATTGGCTAGTTCGTTGACATTAGGTTTCAATTGTCTTCAATTATTTTAGAGATACCTTTTTCTGCAGTGATGGGTTATTATCTTTCTTTCGTTTCAGAAAACTATATGTCTTCTTTCCCCTCCCATTTTTCTCTTAAAAGTTTTAAAATTTTATCTTTTGGTTTTTGAACCAATTGGCCTATATAGCTTGTGTTGTATCACCCGTGAAGGAAAAAAAAAATTGTGTTGTCGACCCTATGAGTTCCATTATCACCAAAGACATAGTATTTTATTTCTTATTTCATTTGGTTTTGGTTAATTAATGCAAAGAAATCCTCCAAGCAAATCATCAACATATGCTTTTTACCTATCTAAAGTTGTCAAGTTACTATTTAGGGTAAGAAGACAAATTAGGTGTCTATTTAGGGGAAGAAAACATATTAGTTTGTCTATTAATGAATGTGTTTTAGCATGTTAGAATTTAGCTCAAAATGTTCATAACATGCACTATATATGTATAACCTTTCTTTTCTACTTTCTTTTTAAGTTGTATACATCCAAATATTGGGACACAATTAATTCGTTTAGAAAACAATATTATAATTTGATTTAAATATCTAGGGATGATTTTCTTGAGGAATGAGTCGCATTGGCCAAACCTTTCATCAACCACCCTAGCTAGCTAGCTTAGTTACTAGATTTATAAGGTCGTAGTTACTGGATTTACATTTGTGTTTACATGAGAAACAAAAATTTCAAACTAAAAAGATTCCACTTTTTGTGTATAGAAGATTTTTTCAGTTTTTCATATAATAGTCTAGCAAAAATGTAAAGTGAAAACACTAACGAATTTTGATAAAGATTTGTGAGAAAGAGTAGGTTTTTATTTAAACAGATATGATTGGTTTTTCTCTTTTTTTTCGATGCTATTATCACTGTAGAACCTTAGCCCCATAGGAGTAATGAACAACAACTATACTGCACATAACCTTTTTCTGAGCGCGAGAACCATTCATTAAGATTTGTTCCGAATATCTAAACGATCATTTATTTATTAAAAATCATATATAAACATAGCACTTGTCCTTTTCTTAATAAGATATTCAAAGGCAAAAAACTATAGCATTTGATTGTTTTGTTGGAGGATCAAGAAACCAAAAGAAGACCAATTGTGTGAACAAAAAAATGCTTTTTATATATTAATTAATAAATTATGTGGTTTTAGTGCAACGCATCATATTATATATCTAATCACCTTTTTCTCTTTTCTTCGGGATGAATAGCTCTTTTATTATGTTTTTATCAACATCTTAGGGTTAGAAATCCAATTTTCGAGTGTGGATCCATATCTAAAAGAGCTAAAGATGTTAGGGCTATAAAATCCAATTTTCGAGGTCGAGGATCCACATGAATACATGGTTTTGAACTTGTCATGGCACGTTCATTTATCGACTATATAATCCACTATCTATAACGTTTCTATACAAGGTATATTTGAACGCAAATAAAAATAAGGATTTAGAGGTTTATGACATTACAAATTTACAAATGTAAATATATGTTAAAAAAAAACTACTACAATAGTCACACATATTATATAAGTGTCTAAAAAAATTATAGTTGTAGAGTTATAATTAGTGTTCCTTATGATATTTGTCATAATATCATTGTTGTCAAAAGCATGATGAGACAAACAAACTCCATTCTTCATCTTATTATGATTTTTTCCCCCTTGGGGAAATGTATTTGGATCCGAAGAGATTAAATTTCAATAATACACATAATCTCTTCCTAAATCATATTATGTGGTCGGGATTACAAATCTTATGGGCTCCATCCTGAATTTTCATAGTGGTATGACTTGTGGGGGAAAATTATAAACAAATTTGATAAAGTATCTTGCAAAGTTATAATAATTGTATATCTTAAAGTTACAACTTCATACTTCATAGCCAAATGGTTGTTGTCTATTGGTTTAATATTACTAGTCAAATCAATAGATACACCTATTTTTCTTACCAGATAATTGACAGAATAAATTTCAAAATTAATGGAAACTTCGATCACTAATAATAATAAGAATGAATTACTTCACACTAGGGAATATTAAAATTAAGTAAATGAAAGTTATGGACATATTATTACTGTTAAGGAGTAAAAAAAAGTATTTTACCCTTATGAAATTTAACACAGTTTTTTAATAACGAATCCAATTGTGAATTTGTCATATAAAAATTTGCGAATCCGTAAAATTTGAGTCAAAATGGTAAAATCCATAAATGTCACTAAAAAAGGCATAATCCGTAATAACCCCTTAAATAAATGTACAATTTATGTTATCGGGAAAATTCACGTGTTTTGAACACAATTATGTAACAAAATTTAAATTGCCTAAAACCTCTTTGATAAATTATGTTATCTACAACAAAAGATAGCATGTAACAGAAAGAAATTACACGTCTTGTAACAATGAAATGAATCGTGTAAAAAGTATTTAAGCACCTCTTTGCAATTTTACACCCCCCTAAAAGTATTCTATCATTCTATTAATGAAGAGAGAACTTTGACACTTATGTG